ACCCAGAACAGCTTTGAGAGAAGAGGAGAAGCAGAGGCTGTCTGAAGAGGTCTGCAACACCATCCTGGATCACACCAAAGAAAGGTTCTCTTTCTCTGGCCACCTTGTGAGTGCTACCTTACTGCAAGCAGACATGTTTGAAAGGTACTGCCATTCATTTCCTGATGAGGCTCTGAATGCCACTGTGAATGCATACCCCATGCTGAGCAAGGCAAAGCTCAAGACAGAACTATCTCTGATCTATGAGAATCCTGAATTCAAGGGATGCTGTGGTGCACTGGCACTGTACCAGGTTCTCATGAGCTACAACCTCCAGGAGACGTTCTCTGAGACTGTGACTCTGTTGAACATCCTCATAACTACTCCCATGACAACAGCTGAAGCTGAGAGATGTTTCTCAACTTTGACACGAGTTAAGACATTCCTGCGAAATTCAATGGGCCAGGAACGTCTGAATGCACTGGCCATGCTTTCCATGGAGAGGGAACTAGTCCTCAGCATGCCTGATTTCAATGAGAAAGTCATTGAACGCTTTGCTGTATTGAAACAGAGAAGAGAACAGTTTCAGTACAAGTAATGTAGCCTCTCTCTCTCTTTGTCCCTCCCTGTCTGTCTCTTTAATACACACACGCCCAAATCAGTTCACAGTTGATGTTGTTTAAAATAGTTATTTTTCATTTTTAAAAAAGTTTTTAAAAAAATAATCTGTTCATGTTCATTTTTACAAATCTATACAATTGGCCAGAATATGGTTGTTCATATTTACAAATCTATACAATTGGCCAGAATATGGTTGTTCATTTTTACAAAGCCATACAGATAGCTGTGTTTACCTTTTCTAGAAATTACTTTCAAATTCTGTTTTCAGGCAAAATGTCTATCACTGTTCATTTTCACAAATCTATACAAGAGGGCATAATATGGAAGTCTATAAAAATGTCTTATTACCAATAACTTGCATCAATGTTTTCAGTAGCCTCTATCAAAAGCTCCTGCTTGCTTGTTGTGAATTATGCTCAGGTGCACATATTTCCAATTCAACCATGAGGCAAAAAATGTGGTAAAAGCTCTTGTTGATCCTGCAATCTGAACAAATACCAAGATGCTGTATTTTCAGCTGATATTTCATTTGTTTATGGAAATGCATATTGTTTATGCAGTGTTGAGGAATGTGAAAGAACACCCTTGATTATTTTTACTGTGATAACTTATTTTGATTTTGTAAGCCAACACTTTTGAGATCAGTCAATAAATGCTTCTGGTATTGACTTATATGCTGCCCCTGTCTTCATGTTGTTGCTGGACATATCTTTTTAAAAATGTGTGTAGGTCACCTAAATCATCAGAAAAATTGCCCCCCCTGAGAATTTTTTCAGGAGCCGCCACTGGCTATACCCGTAGTACTCGTAGCTGGACCTGAAGTATTCCAAACTCCAAGACTGAGCATTGCTTCAGAAGTCAAGCAATGCTCCCTATTAATGCCTTTGTACGACACAGCCACAGAACCATGTCTGCCTTCCCAGTTAGCCTCCCAGTAACAACACCCTTGGACACCCTCTCTGCACAGAGATTTAGGAGATGAAAAGCTCTCTGGAAGGCTTTGGTGAACCATATGAGCTGAATGACACTTCCTTCTTGTTCCCAGACAGAATGAGATGCCTATTTGCTGTGTCGGCATCCAGTGTCAGCTGGATGAAATCTGTTCGGGGAGAAAGATAACGTCTTGGCATTCCAATTATATTTGTATTGACAAAATATATACAACATATAATCTAATACAACATAGCAGTTAATAAATCAATTTAATTAACCTCTTGAAGGCCAACGTTAAGCCCTACCAGCTCTCACAGTCTCACGTCAGAATTAGACGTTCATCCATGTTTCTCAAACGTCAAATTTAGAAGTTGTTCCTAACGTCAAATTTAGAAGTGTTTAAGGTTAAGTTTAAGTTTAAGGTAAGGGTGAAGGTTTGGGATAGGCTTAAAACCCCAAAATAAAAATAAAGGTATCACTGGATTTGAACTTGCAACCTTTGGAATCAGGGGAAGATGCTCACACCATCCACCATCCCCGCCCTCACAAAACCGAAACCTACTTGAAGGTAACAGCACTCACTGTTGTCCCTAGTCACCAGTTTCCACGTCATCTCCTGACGTCCTCAGACATGGATGGACGTGGAATACTGACTTATATCACAGGTGACTTGGCTGGTTTAGCCAATGTGTGTACCTGTCACTAAAGGAGAGCTTGGTGCCTATAGGTGTGTTAGTTCATCGGTGTGTAATATTGCACAAAGTTAATCTGAGGGAGACTGGGTGTGTGTGCCAAAAAATCTTAGTCACCATGGAGAAGGAGAGTCAACTATAACTGCACACCTCATAACAAAGATCTGTTTTATATGCTATTGAGCAAGCGACTTAGTCATGCATGCATCCATTTTAAGTATGGGGGTTCCTAGAAATCGAACCTACTATCCTGGCGTTGCAAGCACCACGCTCTACCAACTGAGTTACAGAGGACCAGGGGTTACAAAAACTAAAAAGCATCAATCAGATTTAGTCTAGTTGTATACCAAAGTACAATATTGATGCAAGATGGTTCAAGAAATGGGGCGGAAAAAACATTTACCATCTTTAGCTATCTTATCCAATTCCTCAATTAGCGATGACTTTGAGACGCTTCCCAAGTTCTGAGAGAGATTTTTTCACATTGTCAAGGGAGATGTGTGGATTGACTGGGATGTTTTTAGGTAGCTCTTGAGATCCCGAAGAGGCACAAAGATATAAGAAATCTACAGAGGGATGAAGGAGACTGAAGATGGACAAAAGAGTGACGTTTACAAAACAAAGATTTTTGAGAGAGCAGTGGAGCACAGTTCCATAGACTGTTTTATAAGAACACACTAAAAGATAGCTCAGCATTATTTCTCCTCAGCTCAGATATCTCCTTCTCCATTTGCACAAGGAATCGCTCAGCCATCCCCAACTCAGCCTTCTCCTGCACTCTGATGTTTCTCTTCACATTGGCTAACCTTTTCTCTATAAAGCTGATCATCTCAGTGAATATCTTCTCACTATCCTTCGCTGCCACATATGCACTGTATTGTAGGCGAGACAGATCGAGTTAGAGGGTTTCAGTTCTCAAAGCTTTTACTGATTTAGACTGGAAACCCAACATCGACCTTCTCAGTGACTGACTAGAGAAGGGCCTTGCAGAGCTCTGAAATTCTGTTTCCTGCAGGGCCCATATTCACAAAGCGTCTCAGAGAATGAGTGCTAAATAAGGATCAGGTTTCCCTTAAAGATCATAATGACTAAGATTATGTGAACAGGGGGAACCTGATCCTAGAGCAGTACTCCAACTCTGAGACACAATTGTGAATACAGGCCCAGGTCAGAATACTCACCTTGAGACACTCCAAGGCAGGTCTCAGTTATTTTACTTCATTCTCTCCTGTGCCCTCTTCTGGCATGTATTCTGTATCTCCCTCAACGTTTTCTGCATGACAAACACTAAGTCAGCATACCACATTTTACGGTAGCCATATATTCACCCCCCCAAAGGCATTGAATACAAAATACACTGGAAGAAAATTGAACATTTAAAACAAGATAACAGGGAAGTCATGATATAAAGATTCAGCATTTCTCAAATTGGTTCTATCGTTACCTGTTGCTCAGCCCTCTGCTGCTGCTAAACCAACCGTATGTCCGTGGTGTTGATCCCATGGTTCACAAAACAGATGCAGTGATCCCATTGACAGTACATTTGAAGTACTTTATTGTAATGAGGGCAGATTTTATTCTTAATTTGACCGGTGTCGACAAGGGTAGACCTATGCTTCATCAAGGACGGGAACTTGATGGTGGTGCTTGAGATGAGTTTCACGAAACGAGGCAACACAAGTTAGGCAGGACTATACAACTTTTTGGTTTTTACCAACGCAGAAATCCCACTCCTCGTGACAGTCGACTTGAGAAGAAACTTGGGAGACTGGTCATTAGTTTCTCAATAGCCCCCACCATCATAACATCTTTCATCAGCACAGGCCTGGGGTGAATGTATTTCTACACTGAGGGCAGCTGTAGATACCGTTTCGATCCTCTCCATTCCAGCAGTATGTAACACAGCTCATGCAGTAACTGTGTCCATATTGGATAGTCACTGGATCCCATTTCACATCACGCATGCCAAAGACAGAAGGAAGATTTTTTTACGTTTTCTGTGGTGTGAATTCTGGGTGAGAATCTCGCCCCTCGTGGCAAATAGATTAGATTGCAGCTGCGCGCTCACAGCGGACAGGGGTGTATTAATTAGTGCAATGTAGCAAAAATGTCACAACAGAAAACATTTTGCAATGCAAACGACTTTCTATTTCACAAGGTCAGGTAGGCCCCTACCCGTATGGTTCCTAGTGAATACACCCCGGGTATATTCAGTTAACGCTTTTTCCTTAAAAAAAACAACAAGGTAGGCCTATAAAACAGTATAATTCCAATGCAACCCAGTTGCTATAAAGATGAGTTTAGGTACCTTTATTTTTTTCAAGTATTTTACATGCAGTTTCAACAAATCAACAACCATTAACACTGACAATTATTTTAATCTGAAAAAAAACGTGAACACAACACTTGCACACAAAAGTTAAACAGTAAATCACATGAAAGGCTTATAAAACGCCTTTACGTTCCCACGAGAATCATGGGGGTGTATAATTTCTCTTCTCTATTAACTAAGTGTCCACAGCATTCAATCCATCCCTCTACCCTCAAATGCTACTTCACAAGGACTACTTCCAATACTTTTCTCCCAGTCTCCACAAAAGAGGGGCGGAAGGTAGCTTAGTGGTTAAGAGCGTTGTGCCAGTAACCGAAAGGTCGCTGGTTCTAATCCCCGAGCCGACTAGGTGAAAAATCTGTCGATGTGCCCTTGAACAAGGCACTTAACCCTAATTGCTCCTGTAAGTCGCTCTGGATAAGAGCGTCTGCTAAATGACTAAAGATGGATGGATTGCTGGAGGTTTTACAGTGCAAGTTACTGTGGTGTTACAGATGGACTAATCAGTCACCAGCTTCTAATATTGTAATGCCAATCATGGAAATAAAATAGGCTACAGTAAGATAACTTTAACCACAAGATGCCATGTAACTAGAATGAGGACAGCATTTATGATGGAGAATGACATGAATATGGACAAGGATAACATAAACAGGAATATTTTGGCTTAGCACACCAAATACATATGTCATGTATAATAACATCAAACGGACATGAATGAAAAGATAAATATTACATTTATAAAGTCTGTGAATCCCAAATGAACATTTAAGCACAAACTGTATTCCACTAGTCTTAGCAAGACAAAGCTTAATCAAATTGATGATGGAGAATGGTAGAAATAGATCCCTTATGGTGTCTAACAACATTTTCCCTTCAGACTGGTTGCCATTGAAAAGTGAGTGTCAGCGAGAGTGTATTCTGAAATGACAGAACCATTATGCATATACGAAGGATTAAAACTATGGGCGTTCCCTTTGAGTCAGTTTGCGTCATGAGCTTCCCGTCAGTGACCTACAAAGAAGAAAAAAGACCAATGACATGTTAGATGCGTTGTAGTCTAACATTCCCATGAGTTTTATTGGTGCATCAATAATCAATGTTACATCAGGTTGGGGATTTCAGCCACTGGTCTTACTCAACTGTTGAGCATAATATTGATACACTGTACTACATTTCAACATGTTTGAATTTACATGTTCACCTTCCTAGGTAATGAATACCATATCTGATGTGCCAAGGTGGGCATTTCCTTTCATGAAAATGCTTGTCAGTAGAGGGAGAATCAAGAAGCTGGAACACAGCAACTTAAGTGACCAAACCAAGTACAGGGGTATCATGTACTGTATGACAATAACTAACATTTTGGGCACTCTAAAGACATTACTTTTTATGTAACAGCAATAGGAGTCATGGGATCCCACAGTACTAGTCCATGTCGGGTACTACCTGAGGAAGGACACTGCTAGACCATCTCGTACTGGTTGTTGGTGATGTATCGAGACAAGCAGCAGGACAAGAATACCCCAATGAGCTAGGCAGAAAGTTAAACAGTTTCAATTAGGATGTGAAGACAAAATTGACATGTATTCACATCATGTATAAAAAAGTGAAATCTAGCATTTTCTTGATCTCACAACATTTCAAGAGCCATTTTAAATGGTAATAACATTGTATATTTTTTCCCTAGAGATTATTATGCCTACAGGCCAATGTCAAATCAAGGCTCTTCAATGGATGTACCTGGAAGAATGCAATTCCAAAAGATATCCCTGCAATGATTCCCAGGTTAGACTCCATCAAATCGGTCACCAGTGAGAAGCAGCCCTAAAACATGTTAAGCAGAAGAAAAATAAACGTATTACAGAGGTTATAACTGTTCATTACGCATACTGACTTGCAAACAATTCATCTAACTATGAATCAAAGCAGGGTCTGAACTTACCTACCCAGAGACACACAGCTCTGACATAATTCTGTGTGATATGATTGATAATGATATGTGGCAGTGCTCTTACCGTGTCATACACTATGTCGCGAGCCTTCTCAAGGTCCTTGAGTTTCTCATCAGGGCAGACATCATTCTCTTTGCAACAGCTGGCAGGGATACCATTGTCTTTGAAGTACTGTGTCGTGTTCCAGTCCTTGTAACTTTCCATTCCACAGCAGTGCAACTGCACAAAACACACATTAACTCATTATCAAGAGGAAATAACAATGTTGACTTCTAATTCCTAATTATATGGTTGACTTAGCCATGTAGGCAAATCAAGTTTCAATGTCACATGCACAAGTACAATGAAATGACTTTCTTGCTTGCTCTTTCCCAACAATGCAGTAATCAATATCAGTAGTACTATATATTTTTTCAAATAAAAAAGTAAAGTAGAAGAACACGAGAAAGTAAGTAAGCTATATACAGGGTCAGCTCCAGGGTTAGTAGCTTTATACAGACTCAGTTCCAGGGTCAGTAGCTATATTCAGGGTCAGTAGCTACAGTTGAAGTCTGAAGTTTACATATCTTAGCCAAATCCATTTCAACTCAGTTTTTCACAATTCCTGACATTTAATCCTAGTACAAATTCCATTTTAGGTCAGTTAGGATCATCACTTTATTTTAAGAATGTGAAATGTCAGAATAATAGTAGAGAGAATGATTTATTTCTGCTTTTATTTCTTTCATCACATTCCCAGTGGGTCAGAAGTTTACATACACTGAATTAGTATTTGGTAGCATTGCCTTTAAATTATTTTACTTGTGTCAAATGTTGTTTCAGGTAGCCTTCCACAAGCTTCCCACAATACGTTGGGTGAATTTTGGCCCATTCCTCCTGACAGCGCTGGTGTAACTGAGTCAGATTTGTAGGCCTCCTTGCTCGCACATGCTTTTTCAGTTCTGCCCACACATTTTCTATAGGATTGAGGTCAGGGCTTTGTGATGGCCACTCCAATACCTTGACTTTATTGTCCTTAAGGCATTTTGCCACAACTTTGGAAGTATGCTTGGGGTCATTGTCCATTTGGAAGACCCATTTGCGACCAAGCTTTAACTTCCTGACTGATGTCTTGAGATGTTGCTTCAACATATTCCACATAATTTTCCTTCCTCATGATGCCATCTATTTTGTGAAGTGCACCAGTCCCTCCTGCAGCAAAGCACGATGCTGCCACCCCCGTGCTTCATGGTTGGGATGGTGTTCTTCGGCTTGCAAGCATCCCCCTTTTTCCTCCAAACATAACGACGGTCATTATGGCCAAACAGTTCTTTATTTGTTTCATCAGACCAGAGGACATTTCTCCAAAAAGTACAATCTTTGTCCCAATGTGCAGTTGCAAACCGTAGTCTGGCTTTTTTATGGCGGTTTTGGAGCAGTGGCTTCTTCCTTGCTGAGCGGCCTTTTAGGTTATGTCGATATAGGACTCGTTTTACTGTGGAGATAGATACTTTTGTACCCGTTTCCTCCAGCATCTTCACAAGGTTATTTGCTGTTGTTCTGGGATTGATTTACACTTTTCGCACCAAAGTACGTTCATCTCTAGGAGACAGAACGCGTCTCCTTCCTGAGCGGTATGACGGCTGCGTGGTCCCATGGTGTTTATACTTGCGTTCTATTATTTGTACAGATAAACGTGGTACCTTGAGGCGTTTGGAAATTGCTCCCAAGGATGAACCAGACTTGTGGAGGTCTACCATTTTCTTTCTGAGGTCTTGGCTGATTTCTTTTGATTTTCCCATGATGTCAAGCAAAGAGGCACTGAAACTATAGTTTGTTAACAAGAAATTTGTGGAGTGGTTGAAAAACGAGTTTTAATGACTCCAACCTAAGTGTATGTAAACTTCCGACTTCAACTGTATTTACATGGTCAGTAGCTATATACAGGCTCAGTTCCAGGGTCAGTAGCTATATACTACCCTCCACAACATAACCTTCACTCCAAATCAAAACTCCAAACTACAACCTGATTTTGGACAAAATTACCTGGAAGGATTCCTACTACCAAATATTCTTATTTCCAAGGTCTATACAGCAATATGCTCTGGCAAACCAACAACCAGCAAAAGAAGCACAATAAACCTTAAAACACCATCCAACCTGGAACTGAGTGAGTAATGTTTAGTCTGAAGCTATGATAGATTAATTATTAATGACTAATTATTACGCCTTGAAACTGTGTATAATGTGTTAGAAATGTGTGAGTGTAGGACCAGTAAAGGCTATGGCATTGAGCCACTATTTAGCAATGTGAGTAAGAGTTAGGCCAGACAACAAAGGACAAGGAGAACTGCCTACAGGCAACTGATAGGCTTTTTAATGAGTATGGTGCAGAATATTGTGAGAACGGCAATAACTGAGGAATGCTGGGAGTAGGCTATGATAAGAAAGTGTGTGTGTATGTATGCATGTGAGTATATGTGTGTGAACTGATGGTCAGGAGAGCAGTTTTAGAGTGGAAAACTACAGCCCGCCTACAGAGGGGAGGGATTTTTTTGTATGACGTATGAGTATAAAAGATGGACTCTGAAATTGTGATGGCAGAATTCTCAATGAATAAATCTCTGACTATGCAGACCGGGACTCTGTTCGTTACTTAAATCCCAAAAGACTTACAACCTTTTGGGAGACGTACAGAGACACTGAAATAGTTTGTTAAATAATTCACATAACAAGCTACTTTAAAGCCAAGAAGAAAAATAAATTACAATGATATATTTTACTTTATAAAGGACTGAATGCTAAGTTAAGGCTACCAAGCTTGCTAGGACAGAACAGATCAGATCAATTAGCACTGAGGTGTGAAGTGAGCGGTGTCAAAGCCCTTGAGCCCAACAATGGCAGGAGAGTTTCCACAGCCTCCCCCACCCAAATGCAGAGGCCTTTGAAACCCCCTCCATCTGTGCAGAGGTCATTACAATACATCGCTATTTTGAACTGATATGCAGACAGGACACTTCAATTGTAAATTACCTCGATAAGAAACAATACTGCTGCTTTGATCACATCAGAAGATATCCTCCTCACAATCTTCAAAATACAAAAGCCACAATACAACTTTGTTTGGACGTCGTAAAGGACCATTCGGCGAAACTAAAGAGATATAGCTAGCTAACAACCTCTTCCACATGGAGAAAAAAAACAGTGGACAAAGACTTGCTAGCTATGATAGCTAGCTAGCTGGGTTTTTCTACAAAGAATCTGCCGCCCGAAAAAAAAAAAAAAGTGGCTGTGACACCTTCTCCCGTTGCCTGCTGCTTGGATTCCACCTGGCGATCTGTTCACAGTCTGCCCTGGCCGGCCTGTCTCCCCCTGTCTGGTACAGGTACCCCCGCCACACTCCCCTCTCTGCCGAGCTTTCGCTCGCCTCCAGCACACACTCACTGTTGGGGCGAGTGACTCTGAACTTACAATGGCTTACCAAGTCGTTATATTTTTTTTTCTTTTGCTATTTGCCTCATGAGCACTGTGTGCTTTGTTGACTATGAACTTGCTTGTTTACCCAACCATGGGACAGACTGTTTGTTCCCACACTCGGGACTCTGACTCTCTATTGGTTACACAGACTCTTGGCCTCCAATCCAATTCTAACCACCTCTCACCGGCTTTGTATTCATGTTACCTGATGAAATTACTGTACAATATGATCTTGTTGCCATCTAGTGCACATTAAAATGTCATAAATCAACACTGCAGAGCTCTCCCTGTCCTCTGCCATGCCCTGACTGTATAACTGCTGATGATATCTGGAAATGTGCATGTACACCCTGGCCCTTCTACTGTTGCTAGCCCCAATTCTGACATCTGCTTCACTGATTTCTGCTCTCGTAAAAGCCCGGGTTTTCTGCACGTTAACACTAGAAGCTTATTACCTCAAATGGATCAATTGAAAGTGTGGGTTCACAGCTCCAATCCAGATGTGTTGGTCATTACTGAGACGTGGGTAAGAAAGAGTGTTTTGAACAATGATGTTAACCTTTTAGGTTATAACCTTTTTCGGGCAAGACAGCTCTTCCAAAGGTGGTGGAGTGGCAATCTTTACCAAGGAACACCTTCAGTGCTCGGTTGTCTCCACCAAGTCTGTCCCCAAACAATTTGATTTGCTGGTTTTAAGCTTTCAAATAGCTCTTTGTTGACTGTTGCTGGGTGTTATCGTCCACCATCAGCACAGGCCTGTACCCTAAATGCCCTAAGCTCTCTCCTGGCCCCTTACACTAAGTCTGAATTTGTCCTGCTAGGTGACCTAAACTGGGACATGCTTAAACCACCTGACCAAGTCCTAAAGCAATGGGACTCCCTAAATCTTTCTCAGATTATTACCAATCACACAAGGTATGACTCCAAACACCCAAAAAAGGCTACTCTCCTTGATGTTCGTAATGGCTGCTCAGTGAAACGACTAGTCCTGATTTGTCATAGACGCTTGCAAAAAAACTTTAATGAGCAAGCCTTCCTTTATGACCTGGCCTCTGTAAATTTGTATAGAATCAACTTGATCCCCTCTGTCGTAGACGCTTGGACCTTCTTTTTTGAGATTTTCAGTGGTATTGTTAACAAACACTCCCCCATAAAAAAAATAGAATTTTAAAAACAGGTTCAGCCCCTGGTTCGACCGTGATCTGGCAGAGTTACTTCACCTCAAGAATTCAATTTGGCAAAAGGCTCAGCACACGCATACTCAGGCTGACTGGCTCTCGTTCAGGCAAATTAGAAATAAGTGCACTCAGGCTATCCGGAAGGCCAAAGTTAGTTACTTTAAGGAGCAGTTCTCTCTCTGGAAAACATTCTGGAAGTTCTGGAAAACGGTTAAAGACCTGGAGAATAAACCCTCCTCCTCACAGCTAGCCCATGTCCCTTAATGTTGATGATGTGGTTGTTACTGACAAGGAGCACATGGCTGAGCTCTTTAATCACCACTTCATTAAGTCGGGATTCCTATTTGACTCAGCCATGCCTCCTTGCCCATCCCACATTTCCTCATCTCCCACCCCTTCTAATTCGACTAGCCGCAATGCTCCTCCCTCTTTTTCCCCCGTTACAAAGTTTCTCCCTGCAGGCGGTCACTGAGTCCAAGGTGCTAAAGGAGCGCCATAAACTTAACCCCAAAAAAACATATGGGTCAGATGGTTTAGACCCTTTCTTCTTTAAGGTTGCTTCCCCTATCATCGCCAAGCCTATCTCTGACCTTTTTAACCTCTCTCCTCTCTGGGGAGGTTCCCATTGCTTGGAAGGCAGCCACGGTGCATCCTTTATTTAAAGGGGGAGATCAAGCTGATCCTAACTGTTACAGGCCAATTTCTATTTTGCCCTGTTTATCAAAAGTGTTGGAAAAACTTGTCAATAATCAACTGACTGGCTTTCTTGATGTCTATAGTATTCTCTCTGGTATGCAATCTGGTTTCCGCTCAGGTTATGGATGTGTCACTGCAACCTTGAAGGTCCTAAATGATGTCACCATTGTCCTTGATTCTAAGCAATGTTGTGCTATTATTTTTATTGACTTGGCCAAAGCTTTTGATACAGTAGATCATTCCATTCTTGTGGGCCGGCTAAGGAGTACTGGTGTCTGAAGGGTCTTTAGCCTGGTTTGCTAACTACCTCTTTCAAAGAGTGCAGTGTATAAAGTCAGAACATCTGCTATCTCAGCCACTGCCTGTCACCAAGGGAGTACCCCAAGGCTCGATCCTAGGCCCCACGCTCTTCTCAATTTACATCAACAACATAGCTCAGGCAGTAGGAAGCTCTCTCATCCATGTATATGCAGATGATACAGTCTTATACTCAGCTGGCCCCTCCCCGGATTTTGTGTTACAACGAAGCTTTCTTAGCATCCAACAAGCTTTCTCTGCCCTTAACCTTGTTCTGAACACCTCCAAAACAAAGGTCATGTGGTTTGGTAAGAAGAATGCCCCTCTCCCCACCGGTGTGATTACTACCTCTGAGGGTTTAGAGCTTGAGGTAGTCACGCTAATACAAGGTACTTCGGGAGTATGGCTTAGACGGTACACTGTCCTTCTCTCCTCAGCCATATTCTTTGGTCCTCTGTAGCTCAGCTGGTAGAGCACGGCGCTTGTAACCGCCAAGGTAGTGGGTTCGATCCCCGAGGACCACCCATACACAAAAAAAATAATAAGAAATGTATGCACGCATGACTTGTAAGTCGCTTTTGGATAAAAGCGTCTGCTACATGGCATTATTATGTATTTTATTACATATCAACAGCTGCAGGCTAAGGTAAATCTAGACTTGATTTCCTCTATCGTAATCGCCCTCTCATTTCACCCCAGCTGCCAAACTAACACCCTTGATTTGATGAACCATCCTACCCACGCTTAGATTACGGAGACGTTAATTTATAAGATCGGCAGGTAAGGGGTGTCTCTCGAGCGCTAGATGTTTTTTACCATTCGGCCATCAATTTGCCACCAATGCTCCTTATAGAACACATCACTGCACTCTATACTCCTCCGTAAACTGGTGTCTCTCTATACGCGTCGCAAGACCCACTGGTTTATGCATTATTTATAAAACCCTCTTAGGCCTCACTCCCCCCTATCTGAGATACCTACTGCAGCCCTCATCCTCCACATACAACACCCGTTCTGCCAGTCACATTCTGTGAAAGGTCCCCAAAGCATACATATCCCTGGGTCGTTCCTCTTTTCAGTTCGCTGCAGCTAACGACTGGAACGAGCTACAAAAACCACTCAAACTGGACAGTTTTATCTCCATCTCTTCATTCAAAGACTCAATCATGGACACTCTTACTGACAGTTGTGGCTGCTTTGCGTGATGTATTGTTGTCTCTACCTTCTTGCCCTTTGTGCTGTTGTCTGTGCCCAATAATGTTGTACCATGTTTTGTGCTGCTACCATGTTGTGCTGCTGCCATTTTGTGTTGCTACCATGATGTGTTGTCATGTATTGCTGCCATGCTATGTTGTTGTCTTAGGTGTCTCTTTATGTAGTGTTGTGGTGTCTCTCGTCATGATGTGTTTTGGCCTATATTTTTATTTTATTTTTTATCCCAGCCCCCCTACCAGATTTACAATGTGCAGGGATACTGGAACAGATCATGTTAAAAGGTGGTTCTATTGTACATCAATTAGTTATTCAATAATGTTGGAGGAGGACCATAACCTAATACAATCATAAACAAGCTCTATGCAACTCTTAAAACAGACCATAAATCGTGACCATCTGTACTATAGAAGTTGTTTATAGCAACACTTCTGCAGGGTCTCTGATCAAATGTAGTTGCTAAAAGCCACTTCTCTAAACAGCATGTTTTGTGTTATTTGCAAAGGAACCAAACACAGTTAAGCTTCGAATTGAATAACATAATACCACTTACAGTCGTCTGGATGGTGTCAACTGCAGAGCTTTTGGGGTCAGGGAAATGGTAGTTCGTCACAGCGTCTTTATAGGCATCACCTAATACAGCCTTTATCTGCAATAAACCAAACATGTATTGGGTTTGATTTGTGGCCAACTGAACCCTATAATAATGTCAAGTGTATTGTAAGTCACCTCATAAGTACCTGCACATTGGTGTATGCTCATCTATAGTTCATTGCAACGTTTCGACCAAAAGGTCTTCCAGTCGTTGCAATAAACTATAATGGGAGCATCCCTCAGTGCACATGTATTTCCATTCCTTATACATTACCGTTTTTGTACCCAGCACCTGGTAAATTGTTGGATGTGGGAACACTCCTTTTGAACTAATATCTCACCTCATGTCTGAATAAGAAGCCAGAGATGCCGGCCACAAACTCAGCTAAGAACACCAGCACCAAGAACATGGCATACTGAGAGGAGAGAAACAACTCATCAATTTACATACAACAAAAGACAAGAAACATTTGAGGAGAATGTGCAAATACAAAATGTAACACTTCACAGTGTAACTGACCAGCTTTAGCATCCATGGGCTACCGCGGCATGTAGCGAAGCAACCAAACAGGCCAAAAATGACGATGATGGTGCCAGTCCCGATGAGGACATATGGTGCATTTGTGCTCTTCTCAGAGGCCAGCTGGAAATAAGCTTCCAGGCTTACCTTCCCCCATACTCCAACAGCCAGAAGGATAACCCCTGTAAACTGGGAGAAAGTACAGACAGTCAGCTCCAATCTCAGGTAATGCCGCTAGGTCTGGCCTAGTTCTGACACAAACTCAAGATTTAAAGCGCAAAAACAGCCCTCCTAATTATACATTTACATTTTAGTCATTTAGCAGACGCTCTTATCCAGAGCGACTTACAGGAGCAATTAGGGTTAAGTGCCTTGCTCAAGGGCACATTTACGTCATTTAGCAGACGCTCTTATCCAGAGCGACTCACAAATTGGTGCGTTCACCCTATAGCCAGTGGGATGACCACTTTACAAATTTTTGGGGGGGGGGGGGGGGGTAGAAGGATTACTTTATCCTATCCCAGGTATTCCTTAAAGAGGTGGGGTTTCAAGTGTCTCCGGAAGGTGGTGAGTGACTCCGCTGTCCTGGCGTCGTGAGGGAGCTTGTTCCACCATTGGGGTGCCAGAGCAGCGAACAGTTTTGACTGGGCTGAGCGGGAACTATGCTTCCGCAGAGGAAGGGGAGCCAGCAGGCCAGAGGTGGATGAACGCAATGCCCTCGTTTGGGTGTAGGGACTGATCAGAGCCCGAAGGTACAGAGGTGCCGTTCCCCTCACTGCTCCATAGGCAAGCACCATGGTCTTGTAGCGGATGCGAGCTTCAACTGGAAGCCAGTGGAGTGTGCGGAGGAGGGGGGTGACGTGAGAGAACTTGGGAAGGTTGAACACCAGACGGGCTGCGGCATTCTGGATGAGTTGTAGGGGTTTAATGGCACACCTTGAACAACTAATACTTTTATTCAGCTCAGTGTGACGGTTTTCAGGGGCCAGTACACATCTGAAAAAGTTTTGAGGTTGGCATAAATTGCCTACAACAGATTTTCCTCACATGGGAAGCCAAAGTCAACATGGAACTTAACAACGCCCCCTCACCCACACAACCAATAATAGCCAAAGGTCTCACATCAGTGAGCTCAGCATCTTCCTTTGTATAATGTATTGCCCTTCCTTCTACCAGAGTCATATAGTCATGGACTGCAGTTATCAGTCTGTCGGACCATGAATTATACAAATCACCCTCCATATAGCAATAAATGACAGAGATATGTGTTGTCGTGAACTTTGAACCCATAAATGCCACGTTTGATTAATCGCGTAGATAGAATAATAGAAACTGAAGAAACACCATTGACAGAGCAAATGTAATTTACACAACATTTGTCTAGAAAGCTGTGAAAAAGTAAACTGGCTTACGATCTTTGGCGATAATTTGGCAAAAAGACAAATATGTTCACCTAAAAGTACTGTTAAAAATATTTTGAGCTCATAATAGTTATTTAGTAAGAATACCGTTTGTCTGAGGAGGTTGTATCTCAGTCAACAACCAGGCCTAACTTCGAATAGTCGTTTCAAACATCGCCAATTTGCCTACGAATGTCACCACGATCCCCGCAATCAAACCTTGAAACGTTAACAATCAAAATGTTGCCTATACTCGCGGGCTGCAACGCTCAAAACAAAAAGGAAACCATGTAACGTGGCTGTGCAATCAAAAGTCGCTGTAGGAGAAAAGCACAACTTTCACAGACAGCAAGACTTCACTATATCCAACAATTAAGTGATTATTTTCCAACTGAGTGTTTTCGAGCTATCACTGGGAAATTGTTTTTTAATGTGTTGTTTTATTTTCAATAAATTTTCAATAACTCGAGTCCTTACGTGTCAGCCGCAGCTTTACGTTATTCGTTTGTAAATTCCAATTAGATATGTTGGCATCGCTGCTTAGCCCATTGTTACCGTGACTTGTAAATAACTGATGCAAGCAAGCTAACACTTACCCAAAATATGAGACTGTAAGAAATAAGAAAGGTCTTGAGACATGTAATCACAGGCTTCGTTTGAAGCCTTCTTGATGGGGGAGACATGATGGCTATTTCGCAGAAATTGGCAGTCAAATATTTTCGTTGTTACAAAGTGAAAAAAAAAAAAAAAAAACTGCGTCTTGCTGGAAAACTTTTGTCGACAAAACACAGAATCCAAGGAGAAGGGAAGTGTCGTCACTGATCCAGCTTCACTTTCCTGTGAGGAATTTCCGAGGATTTATGGGAAGTTTTGTATTCACTTGTATTTATGATGTTCCACAAAATAATATAATAGAAACAGAATATAATAACTTTATTTTTCACAGAGGAAACTTCAGTTGTGGCAAATCGGATGAGACAGTATACACATGACAAATACAAACGCTACAAGATACAGATTAATGCCGCTATACACGTGCCGAGTTCAACCAGTTCGCAGCAAGTCGGACGTGCTAGTTCCGGACGTGCTATTTCCGACTAGCACATGAACGCGGCAAAAGTCACAATAAATACATTTGTATTAAAAAGCCATAGGCTACTGATTCCGATAGCCTACAAAACTATTAGTGTCTGCCTTGGTTTTACGAGATAAAGACCTGATTTTGCGCCCTGATGTCAGTACGCAATTTAGTGTGTTTAAAGAGGCAATCTGCAGTTGCTTCATCCATTTATGGACTTCTGAATTAATGAAATGTACCCATTTGATTCTTGAAGAATATAATTTATAAATGCCCCATGACTGTCGCACCCAATCAGAACCCAAAAAATAAGCTTGTTTCAATCCAGTGTTTGTAAACAAGTTAATGTAAACAAAAACTATACCGCCTCAAAACTATTTAAAACATTGATTTTGATATCATGGATGGTCAGTCCTTGCATCCATAGTTCTATATGCATTTGAGAGTGGTTACATTTCTCCAACCCCATCCCTCAGCTTTTTACCGAAACAGGGTGGGAAGTATGCTTCGTTATTGTTTCAAAAGCTGATTGGCGCTTTAATGTATAATTTATTTTCCCCTCATGCGTGTGCAGTTAGCCCAACCAGTCGGCAGATCGCGCTATTATTCATTTTACGTCGTTTGTTGTTTGGGCTAGTGTGCGGTCAGCAACATGATTGACAGTTTCAATATCCTACAGCTGCAAAAAGGATGCTCCATTTAGATTAAATGTTGAAAATATGATTTAGTTCAGTAGGTGGATTTTAACATTTCTCCTTGGTTTACCCAGTGTACAGAAAATCCATAACGAATTCTTAACGATTTTAGTGCAAACAATATAATTATTTAACCACTGGTGGGTTAGGGCTGCATGATAGCCTTCATAAGTAGTCCAACAACGCCTTCTAGCGGTAATTTGTCGAACAGTATATGTGATAAACGAGGAGGACTTCGTCAGTAGAAGTTGGCGCTAGTCTGGTTTGTCTTGAGCGTTGGTGGGATTCTTCTTGGCTCATAAAGATACAACAAAAACAAGGCTAAAGATTTTGTCAGTAAAAAAAATCGATTAAATTAATTGACGGTATCATTGTTGCCTTCAAGTTTTCTGCGCTGTACGTTGGTCAATGGTCTCCACCTTGGCGACACTAGATGCCCAGTGGAACCACCTTTTATCTGAATATTTGTGCTTCAAGACCGTGTTGGCATGTCACGATTCCATATCCTTTTACTCTTCATGGTGACCTTTATTAGAGCGCTGATGGGACACAAAGAAGGTAATATTTAGATATACTGTACTTTCAATTTGACTATTAATATGTTTCTTTACTCACAGTTTAAACTTTGCATTAACCTTGATGTACAACATGTATGCACATGTTATTATATGCCTGATGTTGCATAAGCAGTTATGATTTGGACAAAATCATTAATGCCAGTAGAGACAAATGCATTCCCTGTCAGTCTCATCTATGGTCCATGATACATTCCATGCAATGGGGAATGAGGACATACCTCCATCGCCACAGTTATAAGGCAGTAAATGGAAGCAGCTGTGGTGGGATCTTTAGAGGGACCTGACAGAATACAAAGAGAGCATGGGGTATTTCCTGGAAAAAAACGAATCCACTCTTGTAACATTATTTTTCAGTTAAAAAGGAGGGAGCAAAGAAGCCCAAATATGTAATCTATGCATTTTTTCATGAATAGATACGTTTTGTAGGTGAATAGAAGTCCTCAGTCCTCACTGTAGTCACCTGTGTTTGCTATCTGATGTTGAGCATGTCACCCCCTTTCAGACCAATGTAATTACAACTCCAGTCACAGACAAATGACTGAGTGTGCACGGACCAGCTGTGGCAAGGCCCTAATTTGACACCTACAAGACAGTGATTTGAGTCACCTCAGATCCACCCAAACTCATGCCTGCTGCCAGTTGATAAGAAATCAAAACCACAAAGCAAAAATCTAGTCGGCTAATGGATTGATTCTGTCTATGTCTCACCATTGCTATTATCACACGTTCTTGTCATTTACCACTTCTCCAACTGAAATACAAAGGATGCTAATCGGGAATGACCTTTCTAAACCTGAACATTAGAATATATCCATTGAAACAAGTACAGTTGGACTGCAGTGAATAGTGGGCTTGTGAAATCCACCCCCTCCAATATGACTCATTTCTCCTAGCTGGATGTTCTCCCTGCAGTGGTCATTGCATATCTTCCTGGTAAAGTAACCGGCTCTCTGGGAGCTGTTGAACGTGTGCCCGGCTGGTCTTACTGTGATCCATGTTGTGTCAGAGTCTGTCTTTTTACAACCTCACCGTCATCAGGCAGACACAGTAGCATCCTGCATTAGTGTTATAATGGAAAATAGGCTGTTAGGATAAAGAGGTGTTTGACTAGTAATGCTACTTACATGTCTACTAAGATGAGACATGTTACAAAGGATTTCAATCACTGCAGAATGATTGTTCATTGTAGAATGGTTGGAACATGTTCAACTATAAAGTTGATGTTTATATTTTATTGTATGACTGCTGCTGAAATGTAAACTATCTTGAATACCAAAGAGTCTGTTTATAGACAGTAAATTAAGGATTATCCTCACTTGGATTTGCTAACATGAGGGAGACTTGGGTGCTAGAACTCTACTGGCATGTTTATGTGTTATTCAGAGTCAGACTGGAAACAAGGCATTTGATGAAAATTATTGTAACATCATTGTAACTTCTTCCAGTGGAAGTTTAGCAGCTTATTGCAAGTGCCCAAATTACCAACATTATAAACTTTATTGAGTTGTGTCAGCATTAATTGAATTTTCATTGGTCTAAATTAAAAGTAATGACACATTAACTATCCTTGTAGGCTGGGAAAGCTATTCTAATATCTGGACCAATTTGTTGTTACAAGTACTCAGGGATAATACTCAGCTCAGAAAAAATATCAAATCTGGCAGCCATCTTTCTAAACAGTAGAGTCTCTTATAAATATCCTTCAAGGGATTATGTTCATGAAATAGGCTAGACCACAAGTGAGGGGAAAGAATGAGGGTGGCAAGGGAGACCTACTGTATGGAAAGTTAGATTCAGCTCCTTGGTTTAAAGATACAGCGTAATGATAAAGAAGGCAAAAAGAGATGTTAACAGCTTTAGACCCATTACTAACCAGTAATTACATTCAAAATGGAGGAGAGGACCTCTGCTTGCCAGCTTCATCTTCTTCATGTGTCATGATTTCAGTGCACATTCAGCAAAGTGTGCCCAGTTAAGTCATTTCCCTACACTCTTTACTATCACCTTTTACTTCCATGTGATGCTTAAACACTTTTACGTTGCAATAAATTAAACGTTGGCAAACTAGAAAGTCTGTCTTTTGTCAGAGACATACTGGTTTGACTGGACTTCAGTTTTGGATCCAAACCCCTGGCGAGTTTCCATGTTTTTTTTTCGACTTCCCTTATTGGAAATCCAGGTGTCAAATAGTAAGCTGGCTCAGGGACCAGAAATCAGGTTATGCAGAACTGAGACTTTGTGGAAAAACCATTAGCATGCCAAAATACTTTCTCTGCATGACCTATATTCCACTCTTCGTGTTCTACATCAAAATCATTTGATATTTATCACAAATAAGCAAATAATTACAAAAGTAGGTTTATGAGTGGGAAAGAACAGTACAATAATAGTCTGTCATTGGTTTCAGGCTCTGGAACCACACTGCACAGCAGCTACAATGAGGTTGTGCCAGAGGAGGAGTACTATGCTCCCCGACTAGACTACAAAAGTACGTAAGGAGAAACACACAGTCACAACACTAACATGATCAACAACACAGGAATAAGCTTGTCATACTGTAAGTGGACACTTACACTGAATTGGAAATCTGCGTACCCCACATCATCACTGTTTTGAAATCAGTATCTCTTGATGTCAATTGGGTCTGTAGCACACTGGTCTTGCCGCTGTGTTCCAGTGTGTGATTAAACAGTGTTGTTTTGATGCAGATCCAAGATGGTGTCACTTTCTGAGGCTGGCCAATGGGGATGTGACCTGCCACTCCCCCCGTGGAGGGAACTACCACAGCACCCTGGGCACCCGCTGCGAGATGACCTGTGACCGGGGCTACAAGCTGCTGGGCAGAACCTTGGTGCAGTGCATGCCCAACCGTCGCTGGTCTGGGACCAGTCACTGCCGCCGTGAGTACAGGCTGAATACAGACAGATACATGTCATCTATTGTTAATGAAAAATGACCTGAGTTTTCTTTAGAAAAACCTTCATAGGAGTAATTTGTATCTCTTTTTGACTATGGTGTGTCGACTCCACAGAGGTTCGTTGCAATGCGCTGCACCTGATCTGGCACGGCACGTACCACTGCACCCAGGGATATGTGGTGGACTCCAGGTGTGATTACATCTGTGAGCCGGGGTACCGGATCGAGGGGGACCACTCTCGCACCTGTCTGGATGGGGGATCCTGGAGTGGGGCAGAGCCCATCTGTGAAGGTACAGCCTATACAGTGCCTCCAGAAAGTATTCATACCCCTTGACTTATTCCACATTTTGTTATGTTACAGCCTGAATTCAAAATAGATTAAATTGATTTTTTTCTCACCAATCTACACACAATACCCCATAATGACAAAGTGAAAACATGTCTTTAGAAATGTTTGCAAATGTATTGAAAATAAAATACAGAAATATCTCATTTACATAAGTATTCACACCAGAGTCAATATACAATGTTTGCCCATTATTCTTTTCAAAATTCTTCAAGCTCTGTCAAATTGGTTGTTGATCATTCCTAGACAAATATTTTCAACTCTTGCCATATATTTTCAAGCAAATTTAAGTAAAAACTGTAACAACATTCACTGTCTTCTTGGTAAGCAACTCTAGTGTAGATTTGGCCTTGTGTTTTAGGTTATTGTCTTGCTGAAAGGTGAATTCATCTCCCAGTGTCTGGTGGAAAGCAGACTGAACCAGGTTTTCCTCTAGGATTTTGCCTGTGCTTAGCTCCATTCCATTTATTTTTTATCCTGAAAAACTCCCCAGTCCTTAATGATTACAAGCATACCCATAACATGATGCATCCACCACTATGCTTGAAAATATGGAGAGTGGTACTCAGTAATATGTTGTATTGGATTTGCCCCCAACATAACACTTTGAATTCAGGATGCTATGCCACATTTTTTGCAGTATTACTTTAGTGCCTTGTTGCAAACAGGATCCATGTTTTGGAATATTTTTATTCTGTACGGACTTCCTTCTTTTCACTCTGTCAAATAGGTTAGTATTGTGGAGTAACTACAATGTTGTTGATCCATCCTCAGTTTTCTCCTATCACAGACATTAAACTGTAACTGTTTTAAAATCACTGTTGGCCTCATGGTGAAATCCCTGAGCGGTTTCCTTCCTCTCCGGCAACTGAGTTAGGAAGGACGCCTGTATCTTTGTATTGACTGGGTGTATTGATACACCATCCAAAGTGTAATTAATAACTTCACCATGGTCAAAGGAATATTTAATGTCTGCTTTTTTTTCTTCTCCCATCTACCAATACGTGCCCTTCTTTGCGAGGCATTGGAAAACCTCCCTGGTCTTTGTGGTTGAATCTGTGTTTGAAATTCACTTCTTGACTGAGGGACCTTACAGATAATTGTATGTGTGGGGTACAGAGATGAGGTAGTCATTCCAAAAGCATGTTAAACACTATTATTGCACACAGAATGAGTCCATGCAACTTATTATGTGACTTGTTAAGCAAATGTTTACTCCTGAACTTATTTACAGTGCATTCGGAAAGTATTCAGACCCCTTGACTTTTTCCACATTTTGTTACGTTACAGCCTTGTTCTAAAATTGATTAAATTGATCAATCTATCTACACACAATACTCCATAATGACAAAGCATAAACAGGTTTTTAGAAATGTTTGCAAATGTATTAAAAATAAAAAACGGAAATATCACATTTACATAAGTATTCAGACCCTTTACTCAGTACTTTGTTGAAGCACCTTTGGCAGCGATTATAGCTTTGAATCTTCTTGGTTATGATGCTACAAGCTTGGCGCACCTGTATTTGGGGAGTTTCTCCCATTCTTCTCTGCAGATCCTCTCAAGCTCTGTCAGGTTGGATGGGGACACAGCTATTTTCAGGTCTCTCCAGAGATGTTCGATCGGGTTCAAGTCTGGGCTCTGGCTGGGCCACTCAAGGACATTCAGAGACTTGTCCCAAAGCCACTCCTGCGTTGTCTTGGCTGTGTGCTTAGGGTCATTGTCCTGTTGGAAGGTGAACCTTCGCCCCAGTCTGAGGTCCTGAGCGCTCTGGAGCTGGTTTTCATCAAGGATCTCTCTGTACTTTGCTCCATTCATCTTTCCTTCTATCCTGACTAGTCTCCCAGTCCCTTCTGCTGAAAAACATCCCCACAGTGTGACGCTGCCACCACCATGCTTCACCGTAGGGATGGTGCCAGGTTTCCTCCAGACATGATGCTTGGCATTCAGGCCAAAGAGTTCAGTCTTGGTTTCATCAGATCACAGAATCTTGTTTCTCATGGTCTGAGACTCCTTTAGGTGCCTTATGGCAAACTCCAAGCGGGCTATCAGGTGCCTTTTACTGAGGAGTGGCTTCCGTCTGGCCACTCTACCATAAAGGCCTGATTGGTGGAGTGCTGCAGAGATGGTTGTCCTTCTGGAAGGTTCTCCCATCTCCACAGAGGAACTCTGGACCTCTGTCAGAGGGACCATTGGGTTCTTGGTCACCTCCCTGACCAAGGCCCTTCTCCCCCGATTGCTTAGTTTGGCCGGGCGGCCAGCTTTAGGAAGAATCTTGGTGGTTCCAAACTTCTTCCATTTAAGAATGATGGAGGCCGCTGTGTTCTTGGGGACCTTCAATACTGCAGAAATGTTTTGGTACCCTTCCCAAGATCTGTGCCTCAACACAATCCTGTCTCGGAGCTCTACGGACAATTCCTTTGACCTCATGGCTTGGTTTTTGCTCTGACATGCACTGTCAACTGTGGGACCTTATATAGACAGGTTTGTGCCTTTCCAAATCATATCCAATCAATTTAATTTACCACAGGTGGACTCCAATCAAGTTGTAGAAACATCTCAAGGATGATCAATGGAAACAGGATGCACCTGAGCTAAGTTTCGAGTTTCATAGCAAAGGGTCTGAATACTTACGTAAATAAGGTATTTCTGTGCTAGAGCGCGATAAGCCAAGAACATTTTCAAAAATTTATAAAAATGTGTTTTTGCTTTGTCATTATGGGGTATTGTGTAGATTGATGAGGGAAAAACATTATTTAATCCATTTTAGAATAAGGCTGTAACGTAACAAAATGTGGAAAAAGTCAAGGGGTCTGAATACTTTCCGAATGCACTGTAGGCTTGCCATAACAAAGAGGTTGAATACTTATGGACTCAAGACGTTTCAGGTTTTCATTGTTAATTAATTTGTAAACATTTCTAAAAACATAAATTCACTTTGATATTATGGGGTATTGTTTGTAGGCCAGTGACACAAAATCTCAATTTAATCTATTTTAAATTCAGGCCGTAACACAACAAAATGCGGAAAAAGTCAAGGGGTGTGAATACTTTCTGAAGGCACTGTATGATTAGTCAGCACAGCCAAGTTTACTGTCTTAAATGTTTTCTGAAAGCTTTTCCACTGTGGGGTTAAACTGAGGTGGTGTTTTTTGGTTTGATATGCCAGGAGGCAAGTGAATGGTATGTGATCAATTCAGCATATTTTTTATTTATTAATGTAATTTAATCTTGAGATACATGCACCCTATTCGCACAGCAAAACATTTGGAATCCATCTTTCAAGCTGATTGTTTTTCCAACTCTGTTTGTTTGTGTCTTTCATAAGCCTGGGCAGCTCCCAATGGGCATGTCTTCCACAACACAGATACTCATTTAGTGCCTCTCTTTCCACGTTTCATTTCCTCCTTCATGCTTTGGGCTCAAAACCAAGACCAATGGATATTTTTAATCTACAAAGTTCCCTTCCATCAAAAGAGGAATTGATTCAGTTGACCAAGACCAACAGATGTTAACATTTAACAAAACAAAAAATCTATTCTCTATTATTTTTCTTCACTGGTTTACCAAACTGGTGTTGTTTCAGATCATGATCCTCCCAAAATAAAGTGTCCCCTGTCCCGGGTGAAGGTCGCAGAGCCTGGGAAACTAACCGTCAGAGTGTCCTGGGACCCGCCGGTTGCCACGGATACTGCTGATAAAACACTAGAGTATGTCAGTCCTTTTTCACTGCCTTTTCCCCTCTCCTCTTCTTCCTCTTCCCCTTTGCTTTATCTGGAGGTGAAACGTTCTTTGTGTCTGTTTGCAGTGTAACGCTGATAGGCCAGCGCCCAGATACCAACTTTAAAGAGGGGATAAACATTATCCGGTACACAGCACACGACCAAGCCAGGAACAGGGCTGCCTGCAAGTTCATTGTTCGGGTTGAGGGTAAGGCATCACTGTCAATGTCAATGACCTGACATTTGGACTAGAGCAAAACCCAGACTTACAGGACAAACACTTTATACAAACAAATGTTCAACGTTCAATTGATACATCTCATCATGCAACAAAATCTGGATTTTTTTTACTGATTATACATCTAATTCCCTTCAGTGATAAACAACAATCATATTTCCCTTATGGAGAACTTCTATAAACACTTTATAGGCATCCAAGAGTAATCATATTCCAGTACTGTCAGAGGGCTGATTCCACACAGTTCAGTGTGTACTGGTCGAAGATGCTTGCTTTGGGCCCGTATTCACATAGCATCTCAGAGTAGGAGTGCTGATCTAGGATCAGGCCCCCCGTCTGTATGATCTAAAATACATAACTGAACAGCAATTGCTTTGTGAATACAGGCTCTGCTCTCTGTCTCTCCCCAGTCAGGAGGTGTCCAGTCCTCAAGCCCCCTCTCCATGGTTACCTCACCTGTGACTCTGACGGGAACAACTATGGGGCGGTGTGCGAATACCACTGTGACGGGGGCCATGAGAGGCGGGGGACCTCCAGCCGAGTCTGCCAGTTCGACCGCAGCTGGACTGAGGCCCCCACCGAGTGTGTCAGTTAGTATTTAGAGCCAATGACCTTCTGGTTTGTTGTGTTCGCAATTTAACCCATACATGTAAAGTATACAGTGATTAAACCAACAATACTGTTTTTTTTATTGTGTGCGCACGCACGTGTGCAGCAATGGAGTTTAAAACAGATGTGAACACAGCTTCTGCCCTCCTGGACCAGTTCTATGAGAAGAGGAGGATTCTGATCGTGTCGGCACCTAACGTAGCCCATGGAGACTACAAGCTCCAGAACCTTATGGTACAGGTGAGTCAAGAGACTGTGTTCAACAGCATCAGAACCGTGATGTATCATGGGTAAATTGACTGACTGACTGATCTACATTGACTAGTTATTTAGGAGGTAAGGTGATCTATAAATCTGTAAGTCTCAACTCACCCTTAAAGTAGTTTGCAATGTCGAACACGCCAAGAGAGACAGCTGGATGGTTAGGGCATTATCTGCTAGTCAGGGAATTTCTGCACTCAACTTACTTTTACTAAGTCCTCTTCGTTCCTATGTGGAACATAAGGCTTCCACAAGAGAGCCCCACTGTTAGCTACTACGGGACTTAATAAAAGCCTGTTCAGTGAATGAAATATGAGCAGCTTGTTTGTATGATTGTGACCATGCTTGGGGTGTTTTCATGCCTAGAAAGCAGATTGTGGTCTGGACCTACGACAAGTGACGGTGATTGAGCTGCTCGGTTCCCCCCCTCGAGAAGTGGGCCGCATCAAGGGACGTCACCTGGACATTGAGGTCATCGAGGGTCTGAGGTAAGGGGACCTCACATAATCATGTTGGCTGCACTGCATCTTCAGGCAATCAAATACACCATCACTGACTTGACACCAAATGGTTATCTGGTACTGTGTGTTATACAGGCAGGCTTTCCGGATCTCCAGATCCTACTTCAACATGGTGCTGTTGGACAAGGATGGTGTGGACCATGAGAGATTCATCACTCCCACCACATCCGATGAGCTCTTCTCATACATCGACAATAACCTGTTGGATGAAGAAGAACGACAGCGGCTGGAGTTACACAGAGACTACTGTGACTAAGACATCATAGTGCCACCTGGTGGTTTGGAGAGGTCAGACACTTATGCAGATAGTGCAGAGGGAAAAGCTCTGCTATGGAGAGATACAATCAACCGAGGTGGCCCAGAATAGAGAGAGAAACAAGGAAACACGCAGATAACAGCTCTGGTAGTCAGATGTTTCCACTGGCTGATAGATAATGATCTGATATATTTAGATATTAGAGGTAGCCTGTTTTACAGGTCTTAAAATATAGTGTATGTACGTACCTTTTTTACTTCACTACCCATACTGCACTGTAACAAAACGTGGATGATTACAGGTTTAGGCATTTCACATATTTATTAGGTGAATAAAATATTTGATACAGCCATAGCAGTGGAGGCTGCTGAGGGGAGGACGGCTCATAATAATGTCTGGAACGGCGGGTATGGAATGGCATCAAACCATGTGTTTGATACCATTCCACTAATTCCGCTCCAGTCATTAGCACGAGCCCGTCCTCCCCAATTAAGGTGCCACCAACCTCCTGTGAGCCATAGTAAAAGCAAACTTGACTCAAGTTACAGTATGAAAGATTTTGACATTTACTTTCCAGACTATAAATAAGAGGATAAAAGTTGTGAAATAAAATTGGTCACTTTTAGTGCAACTGATCATATTTACATACGTATTTCAATGAACCACACGCTTGATATCCCTATCACAGGTACAGTAGTTTTCATTTGATTGCCATGAATCACCACACAATATGTGATATGGACCAAAACTGGACACAATTTTTCAGTGCCTTCGAGTGCAACAGAGATTCAGCCTGAAACTGATAAATGTAAATTAAACATTGAGTTGTTGAATTATATCAAAAGTGGTTAGTGCTGTTTATTTTTAAAAGCATTTGCATGATTAAACACACAACCTTGCATTCAAAAATATGAAATGATACCTCTCTGCTAGCAAAAACCTGAAAACCTCAGATGAATTTCCTCAATATGCTTTCAAAAGCACTTTTTTTGGTGTGCTTGCAGTTAGACACAGCTGTGACAGCAGTCTTTTGGTTACAGATAGTAATGGTGATAAAAAGTTGAGGGATCGCCCTTTGTCCATATCTCTTCTCTCAGGTTACGAGGTGGAGTCCTCACTTGCTCTTGTTCTTGCCCATAGAGGAGCGTAATGGAAGAGTGCCCTCTGCCCACGAGTCAGGGTATTGCATCATCTTCTGCCACAGAGACGCCTCCTCCCCTGTTGAGTCCGCCTCCACTTCCTCCTTGCCAACCTTCAGTGTGACTGAAAAGTAGGGCACCAGAAATGCAGTGAACTAAAGTAGGTCTGACCTGTCCACACAACACAGGAGCCCTAAGCAGAGTGGGAGATTGGGGATTTCACAGATTTTGATTTCACTGCTTTTGAAGCGATTTTAACAATAGGCCGACTGCCAGGTAGCCTGGCGGTTAGCAGCGTTGGGCCAGTAACCGAAAGGTTGCTGGATCAAATCCCCGAGCAGACAAGTTAAAAATCTGTCGTTCTGCCCCTGAGCAGGGCAGTTAACCCACTGTTCCCTGGGCGCCGATGATGTGGATGTCGATTAAGGCAGCCCCCCACACCTCTCTGATTCAGAGGGGTTGGGTTAAATGCAGAAGATACATTTCAGTTGAATGCATTCAGTTGTACAACTGACTAGGTATCCCCCTTTCCCGTTCCTTTCCCTCTTAGACGTTTGACCTCTGAGGTAGTTTCTCTTCACTACCAACTTTAACATCGGCAAAATAGGTGACCTACAACTTAATGATAAATACTGAATCAAACATTTATAACGGTCGAGGCAATACTGCCGATGGATACTTCCCTACCATAACACTTCCCCTCCATAAATCAACAAGGTGTTGTGTCATTACCTGTGCCTGTGCTGAGTCGAACCCCACCCAGGAAGTCATTACTGGACATGGCCTCCCGGTCCCACACGGTCAGCTCCACACACATCTTACTCAGCTGGTCCAGGGTCAGGTCTTTGTACACAAATGTGTGGTCGTAGTGAGGGTTCAGAGTCTTCTTCACCACCGGAGTCTTCCTCTTAGTGGACTTGGCCTTCGATGGCAACAAGTATCTAGGGTAAAATAATCATGAGTGAAAAGGATTACATTTTGATGAAGGCTAGGTGGCTGAACAATGTTTCTAATTCTAGTAATCAATAAAGTATGTATTTTTCTTAAAATGAGCGGGAGTTGCACCATCTCCCGAGTGAGAATGATGAATCATCTCAGAGTGAACGTGAAGAATTAAAGTGATTTCATGCCAAAAGCTAACCCTTTCACAAAGGAATCCGACGTGTCCCCTGCTTTCATTGCCGTCAGGTTCTTGGCCTCTTTGATCAAGACGTGCAACTCCCCTCCCTCCTCAGTCTTTGACTTGTTGCCTAGAGAGAGAGTCTTGCCTAGGGGAGATAGTGGTGTCAGACAGCCACTGGTAGGAATTTGAAACACAAACAGTGCTGACTGAGCTTTTCTGTTCCGTCGACACTGACACTCCTACCTTTAGTCTTCTCAGTGGGTGGTTTCTTAGTCGAGACGTATTTCAGGGAAATCACCAGTTCTCCTTTGTACTGAGAGAAGGCAGAGGACTGCAATTCTGATGCCTATAAAGAGGAGAACAGCTGAGGTAAAACCACTAGCCCACAGGTTAGTACTGTATACTGTAGATTAGAAATACATTTAATGATTGATGTGTAGGGCCTGGAGATTGTCCCGACCATGAAACCTGACCAGGAACAACTCTGAGCCCTAGTGATGATAGCAACTACTCAGGCTTACTTTTGCCATGAGTGCCATACACTCCTCGTGTCGGCCGTCGAGGTCCCTGCAGTCCAGAGGCACCTCTACCTCTCCCAGGAAGGCATTACGGCCCAAGCGGTCATGGTGCCAGACGGAGAGCTGGAGGGAATGAGTGAGCACCTGGGAGCGACTGATGGAGAACTGGAGGAGAAGAAGGGAAAAGAAGAGAGGATGTGTGAGGGAGTGGCAGGACAATGTCAACATCAAATCCTGCCGACACTGATGCGTGAAACTACATCTTTAAAGTTTTCCTCCTTCCACCCTCTCTGGCCTTCACATCCAAGTGACCTGTTCTGTATACTCAGTGAATTAAAAAAGGGCAGCAACAAAATCAATATTTGTTTGTCTTTCACTAAAAGCAATAAACTCTCTTTATCTTGAATGTCAACATCAATCTTACTGCCTAGGACTATAGGAAAAGGAGGGCTGAACAGGCCCCCATTAACATCGACGGGGCTGAAGTGGAGCAGGTCGAGAGTTTCAAGTTCCTTGGTGTCCACATCACCAACAAACTATCATGGTCCAAACACACCAAAAAAGATTTGGCCTGGGTCCCCAGATCCTCAAAAAGTTCTACAGCTGCACCATCGAGAGCATCCTGACCGGTTGCATCACCGCCTGGTATGGCAACTGCTCGGCATCTGACCGTAAGGCGTTACAGAGGGTAGTGCGGACGGCCCAGTATATCACTGGGGCCAAGCTTCCTGACATCCAGGACCTATATACTAGGCGGTGTCAAAGGAAGGCCCATAAAGTTGTCAAAGACTCCAGTCACCCAAGTCATAGAGTGTTCTCTCTGCTACCGCACGGCAAGCTGTACCGGAGCGCCAAGTATAGGACCAAAAAGCTCTTTAACAGCTTCTACCCCCAAGCCATAAGACTGCTGAACAATTAAACAAATGGCCACCTGGACTATTTACATTGACCCCCCCCCCCCCCCCTTGTTTTTACACTGCTTTACATTGACCCCCCCCCCCCCCCTCCCCCTCTTTGTTTTTACACTGCTGCTACTCACTGTTTATTATCTACAGTGAGGGAAAAAAATATTTGATCCCCTGCTGATTTTGTACGTTTGCCCACTGACAAAGACATCATCAGTCTATAATTTTAAATGGTAGGTTTATTTGAACAGTGAGAGACAGAATAACAACAACAAAATCCAGAAAAACGCATGTCAAAAATGTTATGAATTGATTTGCATTTTAATGAGGGAAATAAGTATTTGACCCCTCTGCAAAACATGACTTACTACTTGGTGGCAAAACCCTTGTTGGCAATCACAGAGGTCAGACATTTCTTGTAGTTGGCCACCAGGTTTGCACACATCTCAGGAGGGATTTTGTCCCACTCCTCTTTGCAGATCTTCTCCAAGTCATTAAGGTTTCGAGCCTGACGTTTGGCAACTCGAACATTCAGCTCCCTCCACAGATTTTCTATGGGATTAAGGTCTGGAGACTGGCTAGGCCACTCCAGGACCTTAATGTGCTTCTTCTTGAGCCACTCCTTTGCTGCCTTGGCCGTGTGTTTTGGGTCATTGTCATGCTGGAATACCCATCCACGACCCATTTTCAATGCCCTGGCTGAGGGAAGGAGGTTCTCACCCAAGATTTGACGGTACATGGCCCCGTCCATCGTCCCTTTGATGCGGTGAAGTTGTCCTGTCCCCTTAGCAGAAAAACACCCCCAAAGCATAATGTTTCCACCTCCATGTTTGACGGTGGGGATGGTGTTCTTGGGGTCATAGGCAGCATTCCTCCTCCTCCAAACACGGCGAGTTGAGTTGATGCCAAAGAGCTTGATTTTGGTCTCATCTGACCACAACACTTTCACCCAGTTCTCCTCTGAATCATTCAGATGTTCATTGGCAAACTTCAGACGGGCCTGTATATGTGCTTTCTTGAGCAGGGGGACCTTGCGGGCGCTGCAGGATTTCAGTCCTTCACGGCGTAGTGTGTTGCCAATTATTTTCTTGGTGACTATGGTCCCAGCTGCCTTGAGATCATTGACAAGATCCTCCTGTGTAGTTCTGGGCTGATTCCTCACCGTTCTCATGATCATTGCAACTCCACGAGGTGAGATCTTGCATGGAGCCCCAGGCCGAGGGAGATTGACAGTGCTTTTGTGTTTCTTCCATTTGCGAATAATCGCACCAACTGTTGTCACCTTCTCACCAAGCTGCTTGGCGATGGTCTTGTAGCCCATTCCAGCCTTGTGTAGGTCTACAATCTTGTCCCTGACATCCTTGGAGAGCTCTTTGGTCTTGGCCATGATGGAGAGTTTGGAATTTGATTGATTGATTGCTTCTGTGGACAGGTGTCTTTTATACAGGTAACAAGCTGAGATTAGGAGAACTCCCTTTAAGAGTGTGCTCCTAATCTCTGCTCGTTACCTGTATAAAAGACACCTGAGAGCCAGAAATCTTTCTGATTGAGAGGGGGTCAAATACTTATTTCCCTCATTAAAATGCAAATCAATTTATAACATTTTTGACATGCGTTTTCCTGGATTTATTTCTTGTTATTCTGTCTCTCACTGTTCAAATAAACCTACCATTAAAATTATAGACTGATCAATTTCTTTGTCAGTGGGCAAACGTACAAAATCAGCAGGGGGTCAAATACTTTTTTCCCTCACTGTATGCATAGTCACTTTACAAATGACCTCGATTAACCTGTACCCCAACACATTGACTCGGTACCAGTACCCCCAGTATATAGCCTCGTTATTGTTATGTAATTTTCTTGTGTTACTTTTTGATTTTATTACATTTTTTGTAAAATGTTTCTTCACTCTTTCTTGAACTGCATTGTTGGTTAAGGGCTTGTACGTAAGCATTTCACGGTAAATTCCTGTTAAATTCGGCGCATGTGACAAATAAAATATGATTTGATTAGTGAAGGTGGAGGCATTATCGACTTAACGACCAGCAATTGAGCCAGACGAGTTATAAGGGATGTGTCCACAGCTCAGGTTCATCAGTGTCCATCTAATTCTACTGCAGTTCCAGAGAGGCCATCACCTTTAGGGTCTCATTGTAGGTAGGGTCCACTGTGTTACGTTTGATGCTGGTTTTCTTTTTGCCCGTGCGAGACTTGTCAGGGAGAAGGTAGCATTTGACATACCTGCAGGACAAAACAACATGAGAATAATATTTTTCAACATGTTAAAGCCCCCATGCAGTCTTTGTTATTGTATTTTTAAATCATCACTGTATGTCAAATCAGTGTGTGTGTTTATTTAATGAAAATAACTTCAAGACATATTTTTTATCATTTATTTCCCTGAGCCTCCTGTGGCCCTTGAAATGCTCAGTCTAATTATGTGAGCGTTAGGAATCAAATTTGAATGTATTTACATACAAAACCCTGATTGGCTGATATGATGTATAGAGCCCACCCCCTTACCCAGATGAACAGTCATTGGTCTATTATAATCCGATCACAATGATGTCATGATGTGGGCCAAAAGTTTCATCCTACCTGAAAAGGCTGAAAAACTCTTGCACAAAAAGGGCATTATCATCATTTTCAAAATGTCTGTGTTATTTTTCGACCTCATAGTGTATCATCAAAACAATTGGAAAGTCACGTTTTTAAGTGCACTGCCCCTTTAAAGAGTTCAAATTAATATGAATAGTCCTGCAATTAGGGCTGGTATCGTCATACAGACAAAATGAGGAAAAGAAATCCAGAAAATCACATTGTAGGATTTTTTATGAATTTATTTGCAAATTATGGTGGAAAATAAGTATTTGGTCAATAACAAAAGTTTCTCAATACTTTGTTATATACCCTTTGTTGGCAATGACACAGGTCAAACGTTTTCTGTTAGTCTTCACAAGGTTTTCACACACTGTTGCTGGTATTTTGGCCCATTCCTCCATGCAGATCTCCTCTAGAGCAATGATGTTTTGGGGCTGTCGCTGGGCAACACAGACTTTCAACTCCCTCCAAAGATTTTCTATGGGGTTGAGACCTGGAGACTGGCTAGGCCACTCCAGGACCTTGAAATGCTTCTTACGAAGCCACTCCTTCGTTGCCCGGGCGGTGTGTTTGGGATCATTGTCATGCTGAAAGACCCAGCCACGTTTCATCTTCAATGCCCTTGCTGATGGAAGGAGGTTTTCACTCAAAATCTCACGATACATGGCCCCATTCATTCTTTCCTTTACACGGATCAGTCGTCCTGGTCACTTTGCAGAAAAACAGCCCCAAAGCATGATGTTTCCACCCCCATGCTTCACAGTAGGTATGGTGTTCTTTGGATGCAACTCAGCATTCTTTGTCCTCCAAACAAGACAAGTTGAGTTTTTACCAAAAAGTTATATTTTGGTTTCATCTGACCATATGACATTCTCCCAATCCTCTTCTGGATCATCCAAATGCACTCTAGCAAACTTCAGACGGGCCTGGACATGTACTGGCTTAAGCAGGGGGACACGTCTGCCACTGCAAAATTTGAGTCCCTGGCGGCGTAGTGTGTTACTGATGGTAGGCTTTGTTACTTTGGTCCCAGCTCTCTGCAGGTCATTCACTAGGTCCCCCCGTGTGGTTCTGGGATTTTTGCTCACCGTTCTTGTGATCATTTTGACCCCACGGGGTGAGATCTTGCGTGGAGCCCCAGATTGAGGGAGATTATCAGTGGTCTTGTATGTCTTCCATTTCCTAATAATTGTTCCCACAGTTGATTTCTTCAAACCAAGCTGCTTACCTATTGCAGATTCAGTCTTCCCAGCATGGTGCAGGTCTACAATTTTGTTTCTGGTGTCCTTTGACAGCTCTTTGGTCTTGGCCATAGTGGAGTTTGGAGTGTGACTGTTTGAGGTTGTGGACAGGTGTCTTTTATACTGATAACAAGTTCAAACAGGTGCCATTAATACAGGTAACGAGTGGAGGACAGAGGAGCCTCTTAAAGAAGAAGTTACAGGTCTGTGAGAGCCAGAAATCTTGCTTGTTTGTAGGTGACCAAATACTTATTTTCCACCATAATTTGCAAATAAATTCAATAAAAATCCTACAATGTGATTTTCTGGATTTTGTTTCTCAATTTGTCTGTCATAGTTGACGTGTACCTATGATGAAAATTACAGGCCTCTCATCTTTTTAAGTGGGAGAACTTGCACAATTGGTGGCTGACTAAATACTTTTTTCCCCCACTGTAGCCCTACCTTCAAGACCAATAAACCATTTTGACTACAAAAAATGTGTGCCTACATTTCCAGAATACAAATTATTATTTTTCTTCTGTTGAATTAAATGTAAAATCTTCCCTTTGGAACTCTGATAATGACCTCTGGGTATATCAAACATTTTGTAAACAGGACGGGGTCTTATCTAAGATCTACGTTATGTCATACTGTAATAACACTGAAGTGTGTGTCTAGAATAAACAACAGGATTACTGGGAATCATTTTCTACAGCTCTTCTCATCTACTGTCATCATGAAAAGATGACAGGATTTATTGAAACCCACGGTAGAGTGTTTGTCTCACTTGAAGTAGTGTGTGTGTGGGGGGGGGGGGGGGGGTACTCTCACTGTTGGCAATGACATTATATAATGCATCTGAATAGTGTAAAACAGCTTAGTTGAAATACAATTCCAGATAGGCGTCCACCATTACTTTCATCCATCCTGTGTTTTCAGATGGGGGGGATATGAAGGAGGAAACAAAAGGAAGAAGCCTCTTTACACTATTGAGATGCACCCATAATTTCCTACTGAGACAACTATTAGACCCTAGTCCCGAGAGGACACTCACGGGTTGGAACGCTGGCGTGTGGCATCCCCGTGGGCCAGCGAGTGACACTCCTTGACGAGGACGGCCAGGCTATGGGTGGTGTCATCGTAGCTGAGAGAGAACACGATGTCCCCGCTCACCTCCACGCTGTCATAATCTCCTGCCTCACTGTAAATACTCATCAGACTGCCAAGTGTACTCTGCGGTGGACACACACATACACAATTCACCAAGTAGCTGTTAGTAGTTAGTTCAACTGCATTGATATTGGATACAATTCTACAACCTGGACGAAAAAGGTAAAAGTAGAGTATCCAATTAAGAAACAAACTTGTTCCTGAAAAGCACACAAACGAGGCCGAAACTGTAACAATGAAAGTCAGGTCATAGTCAAAGTTTCCTGCCCTGAAGCAATTTTGAGCTTGAGCCTTTGTTGCCATGGTAACTTAATTAGGCATCAGCTCACACAGAGCTCAACATACAAACCAGGATATCCTGAATTGTCTAAAAAAGTTGTGTGGTTGACTTGATCAATACTGCTTCGAAAAATATCTTGAGGGACTAAAAATAGCATCACACACTAACTAGAACCTATGAAGATAGGATAAGTGAGAATCGCATGATTTACCTTGGAGCCGCGAAGATTTGAGGTACTTGAGCCCACCGTCTTTCTATGGATGCTCACCAAGTTATCAATATCCTCATCATCCTCCTCGTCATCCTGCAATGACAACAAACCATTTTAAATCATGCAAAACGCAACTGCATTTCTCATCAAGTATTTTATAGTATAGTGAAGCATTATGCCTCAGTGTGTTATGAGGAAGTGGGCTACTGCTCACCGGCACATTGAGGCCAGGCACAGACTTGCTTCTGTCACCCATAGAGCCCTCCGATGCTTCCTTACGCAGGTCCAGCACAGATGTGAATTCTGAGTGAAACCCATGAAGACATTAAATGAGCATGCCTTCATTTACTCAAGCAGGCCTGAAGCCCTTAAAACAAACAGTATTTAATTATAGCTTGTGAGTCAGAACTACTGAGATGACCGACACACAAGAGTCTCACCGGAGGGTTTCTGAACTTGTCTGACACTCTTCTTGAACAGCCCGTCGTCTTCCAAAGAGACAGACCCTGTGCAGGGACTTACACTACGACGATTCACTACGGAGGTCTATGGAAAGAGACCAGGATTACAGTCAGGTATGACAATATAATATGTATTGGCTGGAGACATGAGGACTGATACTGATGACAGGGTTAGGGTCAATTCAATTTTTTCCATGTGGACTTTTCACTTCCCAATTTGACTGTGCTGAAATGTAATTAACCCCAACACCTGATTGATGGGTAAACTCACCGTGTCTAAGTTGGAGCTGTGGATCCTGCCGCTTTCTACTTTGACTGAAATACTGGACACACTGGAACCTGCTGGACTGGACCGACCTGTGCTCTTCTTCCTGGATCATAAACACCATTCATAATGAGGAGGCATCCCAATAGCAGTCTTGTTAGCATGTAGCGCTAATGCTATAGGCCTATTTTTTGGGATGTAGACTTACATTGGTAAGAAAGGAGTCCCAAGACAGGACTCCGTCTCTGTCCTGACAGTGTTTAGGCTGGCTTTCTCTGCAGACTCAGTGTCACTGCGCTGGTGCTGTTGCTTCTTCTTCATCTCAACTGCCACTGGTTCTTCTAAAACTTTGTCTGGCAGACTGTCAAAATAACAATGAGTGTCAAAGTTCTATTGAGTTGAAACTTCATCCACATATTACAGTAACACTAATGACCGTGAAGCCTGTGTTGTCCCCCCAGATATAAAGAGGACTCACTCCTTGTTGGAGGCCGCTAGGTCCATCAGTCTGGGTCGGGGAACAGGGATGGTCGGCTGGCCGGGTTTCAACTCTGTATTCTTCAAAAGGTGCTCTCCAATGGTCTCCCTCTTCCTCACTAGAACAGAACACCGAGCTTTAGCATGACAGACAACTGGTAACATGCTGTCAGTGGCTTCATTCATTCAGATAAGGAATAAATTACTTTTACTTTTGATGTCATTTGTAGGAAGTGCAATTCAAAAAGTACATGAACAAAAGCTATGCAATAATGGAGCTTCCCAAGTATCAATTTCGAAATTGAGTAGAGGAATTAGGACAAATTCCTATGCTGTCACAACGTTGACATTCCATTCTGCACCAGAAGTGAGAGTTTTTAAGTTTCCCATTGAACAGAGCAGGGCCCACATCACTTTCCTGGACTCACATGGGGGCCTCTTTTTGAGGGAAGTTCTCACTATGTCGTGTCCAGGGGTGGTGGAGAAGCGGTTCACTCGCTGGTCATAAAACCAGTCTCCAGTGTACTTCTTTAGATCACTGGAGAAAATAACATCACACGTTGTTACCACCACGTTAAAACATCATGGATCAAATATATGGACCAAACCCAAAGAGTAACACGCTGACATTGCAAAAACACTGTGCTGTTGTCAAAATAGAGAAAAAAAATGAACTAAGAATTCCACACAAGTTTAGAATGCAACAGATATGCATAGCGTGCATGGCGGATTCACACCATGTAAACCCGCTTAAATCATTATCCTCTCCTCGTGGGCGTTCTACAGCGAGAGGCTTTGAAACATAATGATATCACGCTTTGCATATAGATACAGCAAACACAGGGATCCTGGCCATGCTAAAGGACAGGGTGGGGTAACATACAGTACAGAGAAATGGGACTCTTACGCCTCTTTGGCACACACACTGCACACCCAGGATCCATTGGGGCGCACTGCGCGGCAGTTGCGGCACACTTGGTGTTTACATGCCCTACACTGGCTGGAGCTGGCAGACAGTCGACCCAGTGGTTCCTGGCAGCGGCCGCAGCTGCGCTCACTGTACCTCCCACTGCTGCGCTTGGCCCCCTTCCTCTTTATGTCCAGCAGCTCAGTCTTCAGCTTGCTGAAACAACACATGGAAAGTAAGACGTTGGTTAGACTCTCGCCTGTTGGCATCTGTGTTGAAACCTTTGCCTAACTGAAAGTTGAAAGTGACTTCCTCCTTCATCTGCACTGATGTGAAATTCTGAGCTGATGAGGTGAATGCTAAATTCCCACCAGCATCCACTGTATTGCTTTCACCTGTCCTGTTTTTTCAGATCTGTGCAGAAAAAGGAAATGAGACAAGGGGAGGAGGAAGCCACTTTAGGACTATTGAGATGCAGCCGGGGAGGTGAGTTCTCACCGGACACGCTGCTCCTCGGCCTGCCTCAGCTCCTCGTCCCTCCGCAACACCTCCAGGATCAGCTCCCGCTCCGAGTCGGTCAGGAAGGCCATGTTAATCATGTCTGCAGCCTGTGGCATGGCACCTCCGTCCCAGGCTAACCCCTCAGGGATAGTCACCCTAGGCCAGACAGGCTCCTGCTAGCCAAAGAGCAGACCAGGGCTGAGTTCAGAAGGCATAAAATGGGAACATATGATTTTATCTTTCTATAAGTTGTCCTTTCTGCCTGACAATGCTTTTCTCCTGCTTTACCAAGCACTGTAGCTACCATTTAAAATCACTCTCATGATATCACAGTGAAAACCAGTGAGTCCCTTCTAATCCCAAACATCAGCAGCACTAAAGATGGAGTAAAGCTGACAGAGGCGTCTTTATCCTCAGCAAATGTCCATTTAATGGGGGAGCCACTTTCAGTACATGAGCCATGACCTCGCATAAGGTACAGGCTACTCAGACAGAGCACAGCATGACAGTGGACCACTGCAGGAGAGAGAGTGTGTTCAAACAGTGGAGGGGTTGCTGTGAGGGGAGAGGACGGAGACAGGTAGAGAGCCCATGAGCGGAGGGCTTGCTGTGAGGGGAGAGGACGGAGACAGGTAGAGAGCAGTAGACAGTACAGGCAGGGCTGCCGGAAAACGGGTGGCGAGCAGGCATTTGCCACAGCACTTTTGATTTGGTTTAACGCAAAAACGTTGAAAACAGGGACTATGTCCTTCTTATCAGAGTGCTGCAGTTCGTGTGTGTGTGTCTTGACCAATCAGATTTACGGAAATCTGAGGTAGGGTATGGCGCACGTCTACAGAAAGCAGAGCACTTTTCTTCCGGTATTACTTTAGCAAATCGGAAAATAACTCACTCCCGACAGACACAAGCAAACACACTTTACAGAAAGAGCCTACACCTAAACATAAGCGATCTGACATGCTGCATCAGTCTGATCAGCTGTAGGTCTCTATGTGCCCAGTCCCATCTGGCCAGGGGAAACGAAGCGGTAACGTTATGCTTTTATAGCCTAAGACAATTTATTTCTGATTATTGACTGGAATTAATCAAATCAACAAATAGTGATGACATAGGCTAGACTGTGTTAACGCACCTGTAACTTCTTATAGGCCTACACAGGGTTGGAATGTAAGAATTTTGGGCACCGCCCATTCCCATCTCTGGGCCTACATGATGCAACCCTGCATAAAGCAAGCACTGCCCTGTTAGTTCTATTGTCCAATCACAGCTGTCTCTGTGTCTGCGTAATGTAAACTCCCGTTAGTCTAGTTTTAAAATATAATTAATATGAACAAGTACAAGGTTGCTGCAGTTTGACAGGGTTTTCATCCTCTCTACAGGGCAATACGTTTTTCCAGGAGTTTAAAACTATGTGACCTGATTAGAAAAACGCTGTTGTCCTCATAGCCCATATAAAACAGTTTTGCAACTGATTAAATCACTATGTCATGCCCTACACAGAAATTGACTTTAAAGTCTGAAAGGGAATTTCAAATTGGCCAAGTCAACAGTATTTTTTGGTTGCCTGAAGATTATGGTAACTTGCCTGGAAAATTGGAAAATAGTTGTTTACACGCTGAAATTAAACAACAGGCAGGACGCAGACAAATCTTGTTTTACTGGCCTGCTACATCAGATAGCCAACTTTTGCTGAGCGTGAGCGCGTTGGCTCCACGAGAGGCATGCGCTGCTCGAGCAAAAAAGTACTATTTTCAAGACGTTCCTGACGGGGTGTAACACTAGAGACAGCATCGCGCGGTGAAACAACGGCTCCCCAATTTATTTTCAATGGAAGGAAAGCATTGAGAATCGGAGTGGGCAGGGACCGTTGGGCGATGCGAGTATGGGCGAGGGAGCTGAATAGGGCGGGACTAAAGTTTGGGGAAGCTGAACATTATGCAAATCTTCAGTGAGACTGCTACACGAGTAACCAATCAAAACTCACCATAGCTTCCAACCCCTACTAGATTGGCTGACAATGGCTGTTGATACGTAGCACTACCTTACTGCTTGCTAGCACCCACGATGGCGAAGCTAGAATGGCTAGGTGAGTTACCACTAGTGTATCTCGGCCGGAGCAATAGAAAAAAGTGGCTTGCGCTCTGCTAGCCCTGGCCAAAAGTTACGCTTCCAGTGTAGCAGGTTAAAAAAAAAGTGACTTGTGACGCCCCTACTGGAATTCTTGCAGTTTGGTTGTTTTCAGTTTTAAAAAATCCCCTGCCTAATGGGACAACCACAGAGCAGGCAATCCTTAAGGTCCCTGCTACAACTTGGTTCAGGAGTTTTATCTGGTTACTATCAGGGAAAGAAAATGGCCCCACCACTCTGGGACCTGTGGTGCCACCTCTGAGTACAGGACTAACAGACAGACAGACAGACAAAGGAGACTGTTAGTGGATGGTGTGACCTTTCCCCTCCTCCTCTAGTGAGCCTCCATGCAGAGAGACTGCTGCTGCCACAGTGTCAGCCCATCAGAAGCCTCTCACTCTGCCTTGCTGGAGTTGGCTGGGTAATAACATAGATGGAGCTGACAAGCAGACAGACAGCACAGTGACCTAGCTTAGAGCCAACACCCTGAGATGACCGTGCTGTAGACAGAACAGAGTAGAGGCGGACTAGTGGAGGGTATAAATCTCCCTAGCATTTCACACCAGGACGTACAGTACTGTGTCAATCCCACTGGAGTAAACACCAAACTATAACACCAGCAACAAACTAAGCCTATAACTGTGTACTGTGCATGCTTACATCATGTAGAAAATCCTTTGCAGGGAAAGAAAACAGGCCTGCATATTTCTTAAAGTAGATCTTGTGCTTTTGGAGTCTGACACACAAACATAAATCAACATGTTTGACATAAAGATAGAGTTTTTATTTCTGCATGTCATCCTATGGTAAAATATAACAGGACGTGGGAAAATAGTCTCTAGCTAATCTTATTTTGACAGACACTGGCACACACATATACAGTAGTGGGAATGGTAAAGTAGGACTAATATGATCCTTGTGTTTTTAAACCCCATAGGGAACCTCTCTGTCCGGGTGAAAGGTTGTTTGGAGGAATGGGAACAGGAAAGGAAAAAACAACACGAGCTCAGCATTATCGCAGGGTCCCACCCTCTAAGGACACAGAGCGGCGGGTGGAGTGCACTGGTTAAACCATTTGTTTGATCCTGACTTCAAGACTGTCATCGGCCATGTTCAAGTCATGAGCTTCAAGCTCCAGCACCTCAGAAGACGTTGAATAGTGTTGAGAAGGAGTTTAAGAAGCAGGAAAAACACACTTATTGATTTCAATTCATTAGCATTCAATGGTCACTAGCACAGGGTTGGTGTGCTATGCTGTGTCACTCATGGGGGAGGAAACTTCTTCGTCATTGTTTGAACGCTTGAGGCTAACCGACTCACGCTTGAGTTGTGTACATTACCTGTAGGGCAGCTCAGCTCAGACGAAGGCTGCCTACGTCAAGGAAATTGTATGAATAGCATCGTTAGTAGGATTTATGTGGTTGTAGGAAAGAAAACTCTACTGAAAGTGCTTTTCCGGGGCATTTGTGTTTATAGGCTATATAAAATAATGATCATTCCAATTGAACAATCCATGAGAATAGCATAGCATGTGGAATTTCCTGGACAGTTACTCAATATGGAATGTATAACAAAATCTGTCGTCACCTCATTGGGCAAATAGTTATTTAGCTCGGCTTGTACTTTAACTAAAAATAAAGTAGGGGTATAGGCTACAACAAAACAATAAAATGTAGCTTACTAGCTACATCTAACATCCAAACAAAAAAAACAATGTCTTGGATGGATTTAATATTTAGTGTTGACATCCAGTTTGGAAAAAAGCAGTTGTTTATCATCACACATAATCTGAAGACAACCCGACATAAGAAATGTACCTGAATGAGTGAACGCACATATAGTTCATATTAGATCAGTCATAAAAATAAAGGTATTTTAACACCAGTCCAGATTGTGTTTTAATTCCCTTGAAAAAAACGTTAACTTTACTCCGATTGTGATTCGAATCAATTCACCACTTTAGTTCCAAAATCCAGGAAGGGAGGACGTAAAAAAAAGAATAGAATAGGCGCATTTTAGAGCAGACTGATAGCGGGCAAAACAAGTGGCATATAGTTTCTGCGCAATGTCGATGAATGGAGTATAGTAAAGAATTCGAAAGGGGGGGTTTCCCGTATCAGGAAGAAGTCTTCAGCAATTAACTGTTGTGTGTAAAATAACTTTGATTTAAACTGTAATTAAATATAACAATTTGAATGAATGTTATAGATCATAATGGATCACGACAAACTCAACGTACCTCTCTACCCTTTGCTGCAATGTGTCGTCGTGACTCCTTCCCAGTCTATCTCCCCGTCTCTCCTTCCTGCACTCTGAAACTGTTGACTTTCAGCGTTGGTGGTTAGAAACCTAAAATCCCGGAAGATATGGAACGGTTGTGACAACGGTGGTGCCGCAAAGAGTTACAATTTTTTTCCGCAACAGGTGCATTTCCTCTGCTCTATTTCCCTGAATCTCTGAGAACGGCAGAAGCAGTGTCGAATCATTATTACCAATAGTTTCCACAAGTAAATAATGAAACCATTTTCAAATTATTTTGTAAATAATACATTATGTCGAGTACTATTAGATTATGGAAATGAGCGGCAAAAATGCACCAATAATTATATTTTTACGTGTGTGTGATTATATAGTAGGCATAGTAGACCTTATTTTAGCAAATATGTCATCCTATGGTTACAATATTTATAAAGACATTTTACAAATGTGTCCCCAGAGAGCCGCCATACAGGCTACTCTTTTTGGCAAGTCAGTCATTGCATGTATTAACACTTGTAAAATCAGTAGTACAACAACCGGTAAACCACAGTTTAATTTTCAGATTGAATAAACCTATAAACCATGTTTTTCTTTAAAAAACTCAATTATGATTCATTTATATTAGTGTGCAACTATTTATTAGTATCCACAAATGGCAGAGTACGGCTCAGGGGCTGGTCCATTTTTAGCCTAGTGGGACTGTCTAATTTGGGTTTTTAGCGCAAAATTATCATCTGGCTAATAATGGGGGCCTCAAGGGGAAAAAATGGGCCGGTGTGTTAGAAAGGGACAGTTTTTTGTCCCAGTCCGCCACTGGTAGGACTACACAAATAAGAGTCATGCTACAGTCAAGTCCTGACTATTGTCTCCTCAGAGTGGCCTGCATTCTAAGACTAGTACTATATGGTGGATGTGAGGTGCGTATGACTTGACATGCTCAATGTGCTGGATGTCAGTCCTCCATGGTCCCCCAGTGATGTCCTGCAGCAGAGAGGCAATGTGGATGGCTGTTTCCTTTGTCCAGGCACCCCAAACCTCTCTGTCACTCCACTTAGGAGACACCTCCTCTTGGTCTCCTCCAGAAATGTCTACTCTCTCCATGACAGGAACAGAGGAAGTGTCACAGTCTGTAATATGATGTGATGGTGAGGTTTGCAACGCCAGGGTTGTGGGTTCGATTCCCACAGGGGGAAAAAAAATAATGTATGCACTAACTGTAAGTCGCTCTGGATAAGAGCGTCTGCTAAATTACTAAAATGTCAAATGTAAATGTAACATTCTGGTGAATATGCAACATGCCACCTGTCCTTTTCCTCAGCAGTCGACAGGCAACAGGCTAGCCATCCGCAGAGCTGGGTATGAGGCCCAAATTCACCCGGTCAGCCAGGTCACACAAAGGGTGCTGGAAAAACATGCAAACCGATTATTCTCGGATCACATAAACTGGTTAATTTCAGATCTACAGTATAAGGATGTTGTTCCTTACTTGCCGGTTGTCTCCATGGTGGGCGGTGCAGCGATGTGACACTCCATTTAACTCCAAGTTTCTCTGCAGGGCTTCCACAGCAGGCCCCCGCATGCACCAAGTATGGGATAGTGAAGTAGTCAATACCTAATAAGGAATAACAATATCAGGAATAACATTATCAGGAATAACAATATCAGGAATAACATTATCAGGAATAACAATATAAGGAATAACATCAGGAATAACAATATAATCCTATAGTGCTAAATTATGCATAGAATATTTTCTGTAATTCATGGACAATATACACAGACATATACAATATGTATTTTCTTACCTGCATATAAATCCACCACAGTCTCCCCACTGCAGTTGAATGAGGCGACCCTGAGCTTCTCTGTGATGTTGCCAGCAGAGAACATGCACCTGGTCACATCAAACTCATACCTGAAAGAAAGTTGTAAAACATGACAAAACAATTGGACAAGGAGTACATAACATGCAACTATTCCCTAGAGACTACAAAATAACACTTCTGGTACCATTTTTTTAACGAATACTAGTAGTAATGTAGTAATGTCATTGAAAGGGTTAAATGAGTCATTACCTGATATTGTTGTCTACATGTGTCACCCAGCTGTCCTCCAACTAGCATGGTCACTACCGGAGTTCTGAATCCATTCTTGGAGATTCGACCTATCTTTGCCAAACGTTCTTCACCCAGCTCTTTGACCACAAATCTGGACCTGTAACAGATTAATTGGAATTATCACACCAAACACAAACAGAACATAAAATTATGCCTGTATCATTATGATCTACAGATGATGACAGTTTGTATGCTATACTATATCATACCTGTTTTCTTCCATACTGGCTGAGAAAAAGTGTTTTCCCCTAAGAGCACCAAGTCTCCGTGGCACTGGCAACTGTGATGCATATCGTCTCTCAGATCCTCAGTCCATCTCTCACCATGGGATTGTAGTAGGTCCTATAAGACTTTCACCAGCTTGTCACTGCTTGAGATCCTCCTCTCTCTCTTTGACAGCCGAGGAGCATGTTGCATAGAGAAAAGCAGAACAATTACAGCAAATTGTCAGATTGCAATCCAAAAAGTCAATGGAGCTAGAGATCAGTTGATGATGATGATTATGCATATGGTTTGTTCCATTTGATTTTAATCACTTTTTTGATCACACCCCTTTGGATTTGAACAAAACTCTCCATACATATTTGCTCATGGTGGAAGTGGTCAGAAAGTGACTTTTTGGACCTGAATGCCAAAACATTCAGGAGATAAAGGTGGCCAAAGTTGACCCATTTTGCATACCCCACCATACCATGAGAAATCCATGTCTGCATCACTGGAAAAGAGAAACGGTTGAGTTTGATATCATTTAAAAGCTTACAGAAAAGTTTTTCAAACTATTTGATAATTTTTTGGGTAAAAATGTTTTTTAAATAACATTTGTAATTTAACCTTTAAGGTCAATTATCTAAAAACTCATAAGTAAGATTGTCTCACCCAATGTTCAAGAAAGGCCTTTTTCCCTTTATTCAGATTACAACCTCTCACTTTCAGTTATTTGAAAAGGAAATAATCTCCCAAATGTCACTATTTCTAAAACAAGCCATAGAAAGTTGGTTGCAATTTCAATTTAATCCTCCAGAAACGACAGAACAAATAATGCAACAAATATTGTGGTTAAATTCAAATATACTAATTGACAAAAAACCTTTATTTTTTGACAGAATGTTTAAAAAGGGTATAATCTTCGTAAATGATATCATCGGTAGGACTGGTGGAGTTATGTCGCACATGCAGCTAACAAAAACATATGGAAATGTCTGCTCTACCCAAAATTACAACCAAATAATTGCAGCCTTACCGCAAAAGTGGAAGAGGAAAGTGGAAGGGGGAGAAAGTAAGGAACTTGTCTGTCGGCCTTGCATTAAAGAACATAATTGGTTAAGGAAAACTGTGATAAATAAAAAAGTATATCAGTTTCACTTAAGGACCAAAGGATTGACAGCCGTCCCATATAGATTGCAAAATAGTTGGGAAGAGATCTTTGACGTACCGATCCCATGGCATAGTGTTTATGAACTGACACGCAAAACGACACCGGATTCAAAAATTTGAATCTTTCAATTTAAATTATTATATAAAATTCTTGCTACCAATAGAATGTTATTTATATGGGGGATACAATCCTCCCAGCTCTGCAGAGTTTGCTGTGAAGAGACAGAATCATTAGATCATTTGTTTTGGTTCTGTCCATTTGTAGCTTGTTTTTGGACACAGGTCCAGGAATGGCTAAAGGATTGCAATATTTACCTGGAACTAACCTTGCAGATAGCATTACTGGGTGATCTGAAAAGTCATAGTCAATCAATCAATAATATAATAATACTTTTAGCAAAAATGTTTATTTTTAATTCACAATCTGTAGAAGCAATGAGAATAGAAAGGTTCAGAACTTTTGTAAAACATCACAGTACGGTTGAAATATATATGGCAAATAGAAATCCTATATGGATGGTGTTAAGAGATAGATGGGAGGTATTGAATAGAGTTGAAGGATGGGACTAATAACAAATAACAACAAATAATAACAAAGATAGCTAATAATGTAAGCATACTGTGTCCATAATAAGTATATAGGTTGTATGTTGGGAGCTTTTGGGAAAGAGCACAGTTAGAAAGATATGGCATATAGAAGCAAACCGGATGGACATCATGAAAATGATCGGAGAGGTTGAGAGTAGAAGAAGTTCAGGAGCAAAAAATAAATAATATATATATATAATAGAATTATTGTAAAATTAACTCTGTCCATAAGGTGTAGATAGTAAGTATAGACCGGAAGTAGAGGCCTGGGCATTGTTGTTCACTAATTTACTCCAAGTAGGGAAAGGATGGTGGGGTTGAAAAGTAATAAAGGGGAATATATATATAAAAAGCATGGGGGATTGGAAGTGATGCAGACAATTACATTGATAGAAAATACAATCTATCTGCAATATTAAGCTGATCCACCCCCCCCCAAAAAAAAATAATAATAATAATAATAATAATAATCATAAACTCCGTTTTTTTTTCGATTTCCGCATATGTTGTAATTTAGACCCTATTTTACATCATCTGAGGTGTTTGTCTTCTGACCGCAATCGGTTGAGACATAACATACTCTTCCTTATCTTATATATAATATGTATGGAAAGTTTGTTCAAATCAAAAGGGGTGCAGTCAAAAAGTGCTTAAAACCAAATGGAACCACCCATACATACTGGACATTGTCAGGAAGGAAGAGGCGAAGCAAGACGTTTTACACCGGCCAAAATCTGAGAGTAAAGTAAGATGTCGGGAAAAAAAAATGTCACGACAGTCCTGATGGAAACATCTAATTTTTCAGTAAACGTTCCAAATGTCGACAAAGAAAAATACGCAAGACAAGGTGGGATCTTTTTGTGTCGGTAAAATTAATTATGCGGGAAATGTCGGTGGAAACGCCTTTATGCACAAATATTTATATAATAACAATAATATCGAAGTAAATTTGGAGTTACCAATGATATGTTGTGCGGTCCTGCCAGGAATTGGGCTACAGATTAAATATGTTGTGGTGAACAGTGATGAGCTTGATGCTCCTTTCCAATAAAAATCGAAGGTCTTATTCTAGTGACATGATGATCGATGCTTGGCTGCCGTTAAAAAGTATCTTTATTCTGCGACCATTACGTGTGTGGTTTAACCACAATGTCCCAGTGGCCTGGCGCCCCCTGGAGGAGAATTTAGCAAAGCCGTACAGGCTCCAAGATCTGGTATATTCCAACATCCCTATCAAAAAAACAAAACTCACCTTTGGCCCTATCATCACGCAAATGCTTACAGTATGGCGTTCAATTGGGAGCAATTGCAAATATATTATTAATCATCACCCCCAAATGCAATTTTTAAATAATTACAGTCTTCTCTTGGGTGGCCAGCCAATATGTTTTCCAGCTCGGAGTGAGAGGGGAATTCATACTCTCTCTGACATTGTGGACAGTTGAAGCCTACATGCGTTCCAAGACTTGAAAAGGCCATATGATCTGCCTGGTTTTCATTTTTATTTTATTTGCAGCTTCGTTCTGCTCTAAGTGCTTATGGAGTACCCTGGGGATCTGATCATCTCATCCTATCCACAAAATAATAACAGCAAGGGTAGTCTCCTAATTATATATATATATTCCTACTCAAACCAACATATTACCAATCTATTAAAAATGGAACAAAGATATACCAGCAGTAGATATTAACTGGAGTTCTGTCTGGTCCAACATCACATTCACATCAAGACACCCAAATCACCAAATGACTCACTACAATTTTGCCCACATCAGTTATGCCACTCCTAAACAACTTTTCCAGATTAACATAAACTCAACCCCTGTCTGTATGCTCTGCCCCAAGGGTACTCTTGGCACATTTATTCATGTTCTGGGAGTGCACAAAGGATCTCTCCTTTTGGCAATCTGTGGCTTCATCATTGTCAGGCATTTTGTCTAAATCCATCCCATGTCTGCCCAATGTGATACTGCTTAATGATGACTTCACTGAAGTTAACATACAGGCAGAGAAGGATTTGGATTGCCGGCCTAACAGCAGCCAATAGAATGGTTGCCTTACAATGGCAAGCCCCACACACTCTGCTACATCAGCAATTTATTTATTTATTCACTTGAACTGTCAATCTCTCAACTGCATGGTGCAAGATCAGAGGATATTAACATATAGACAACAACACTGCAGTATAAAATCGTGGTCCTCTGTAGCTCAGCTGGTAGAGCACGGCGCTTGTAATACCAAGGTAGTGGGTTCGATCCCCGGGACCACCGATACACAAAAAATAAAATGCACGCAAGACTGTAAAGCGTCTTGTACGTTTACATTTTAGTCATTTAGCAGACGCTCTTATCCAGAGCGACTTACAGTTAGTGAATGCATATTTTTTTTATTTTTCATACTGGCCCCCCGTATATGCTAAATGGCATATTATTATTATATTATTATTATATATTATTATTATTATTATAAAATCATTACTTTAAATATATACTGAATGTTACGGATACAGGTATCCTGTGTCTTTTTGTGTTTTTCCTCTCCTTCTGCCCTAATCACAGGTGTCCTGTATGTTCCTGATTGGTGGTCGTTGGGGTGTCTGCTGATTGCTGAGGTGGACCAATCAGTGGACAGTCCTCTGCATTGCACCACCTGTTTCTGGTTTTTCAATCACACATCCCATTGTTTAAAAGCTGGTCAGTTGTGTTTGTAGAGAGAGACTATTTTCCGTATGTGAGTATGGATACTGTGGTGTCCTGTGTACGCACTCATTTGCTGGTTACTCTGTTTGGTAACTTTGTTGTGTGTTTCTGGGAAAAGGGGAATTTAAGCAAGTTGCCATTGGGCATACATTACCCGTAGGAAGAAAACTGTCTAAAAACACTAGTTAGACCTGAGCGGACCACCCACTGTAATTTTTGAATGATTAGCAGTAGCTTAGCGGTTCTTGAGGCAGGCAAGATCAGTTTTTTTTTTTTTTTACATTGTTTCATTTCTTGGGTCCTGCTCAGCCCTTTTCCCCAAACCTTTACCGTGTGTTCAAAAATAAACATTTTATGTTTGACTGTAGTTTATGGTTGTCGTGTAGTTTTTGTTCTCACTGTTCCATGTCACAATTCTAATTTGCATGAATTATGTTACGGGTCTCTTGTCCATCCACCCTAGACGTTTAAAGCCACGGGGTTTGTAACACTGAACAAAAATATAAAAGCAACATGCAAGAATTTCAAAACTTTTACTGAGTTACAGTTCATATAAGGAAATCAGTCAATTGAAATAAATGCATTAGGCCCTAATCTATGGATTTCACATGACTTGGAGGCATAGGCCCACCCACTTGGCAGCCAGGCCCACCCACTGGGGAGCCAGGCCCAGCCAATCAGAATGATTTTCCCCCCACACAAGGGCTTTATTACAGACAGAAATACTCCTCAGCGCATCATTATGGGGTATTGTGTGTAGATGGGTGAGAAAATTATATTTAATCCATTTTGAATTCAGGCTATGACACAACTAATGTGGAATAAGTCAAAGGGTATAAATACTTTCTGAAGGCACTGTATAGTGAAAAAAACAGAGTTGAAAATGCGATGGAAACCCATTTAACTTCAAATTTTGTTTGGTACGTGGGAATTTAACTGCAACAATTATTGTTATGTGCACTACGTCATCAAGCAAATACTTTTATCCGGCATAAATGGCAGTTTGATGGAAACATCCCTCTGGTGGGAGAAAATAAGACTGTCGAATTTGGTCAAACAAATAAAGCTTTCTAATTTGCCACGTGAGGCTTATTTGATTGAATAGAAGTTTCGTAATGGTTAAGTTGTTACAAATGCACGGATATAAGTGGACACGTGGCATTTCGGCAACTTACCTGAAAACAACTTTATATTGGAGTTGTGCCTGTTGTCATAGAGATAGGACTCATCATGGTTATCCAATAACCCGTTTCAGCGTGGACATTGTCGTCAAGGGCTTCCACCATTTTAAAGTAATCAACTGGGTGGGGATTCCTATGAGTTGGGAGCAATCAGCCAATGAAGAAGAAAATGTACTACTTTAAAATGGTGTCACAGACACTATAATGGCACAGATACAAAGATGAGTCCTCTATCTCTCTGGCCTGTTGTTTGCATGCATATGCCCTCTCTTTGGCTAGAATGGTCCCACCATCTTTGAGGACATGTATTTCCATCGTTAGAGCGGTCACTCTAATACAGGGATGGGCAACTTTGATGGGGGTGGGGGCCAAAATAAAACGGAACTCATCAGCTCTCAATAGTAAGTTGATACTCGACTGAGTTCCTAAAAAAAGAAAACACTTTTTTTGGGGGGGGTCCGCGGGCCACCAGTTTTTTTTATTTGTTTTATTTAAATAATAAATAATAATAATAATAATATGCCATTTAGCAGACGCTTTTATCCAAAGCGACTTACAGTCATGCGTGCATACATTTTTGTGTATGGGTGGTCCCGGGGATCGAACCCACTACCTTGGCGTTACAAGCGCCGTGCTCTACCAGCTGAGCTACATTTAACCTTTATTTAACTAGGCAAGTCAGTTAAGAACAAATTCTTATTTACATTGACGGCCTACCAAAAGGCAAAATGCCTCCTGTGGGGACGGGTTAAAAAGGTCAGACATTTGGCGATGATAGGGGCTGTAACCTTAAAGAAGAAAGGGTCTAAACCAGGGCTGCCCAACCCTCTTCCTGGAGATCTACCGTCCTGTGGGTTTTCAGTCCAACCCTAATTTAACACAGCTGATTCTACTTATTAGCTGAATCAGATACGCTAAATTGGGGTTGGACTGAAAACCTACAGGACAGTAGATCTCCAGGAAGAGGGTTGGGCAGCCCTGGTCTAAACCATCTGACCCAGATGGATTTTTGGGGTCAAGTTTAAGGAGCTCCTTCAGCACCTCAGACTCAGTGACATCTGCTCTCTCTCTCTCTCTCTCTCTCTCTCTCTCTCTCTCTCTCTCTCTCTCTCTCAGGCAGTATGCCCATCCCTGCTCTAATATCTTGTCAATATAATAGACAATCTTTGACATTGTGCATCCTCCTAATAGCTGCCATTACCTGGATCCTCACAGTTTCCCATGTGCTGCCAGTGGCCACTGTTTTGGAGACTTTGGAGATCAAGCTGGGGTAGGCAGGATGGTATGATTGGCAGGGTCACTGTCCCATCAGAGTGTTTTTGCATGCAGAACCCAAGGTTCAGAACGCCTTGTGCCTGCAAATGTTTCATTTGTAAAGGACATTACAAAGGAAATACATAGTTACCAACAGAAGAGGCAGAAAAACAAGCCATCCAGTCAAGACATGCAAATCAAAAGTAGGCTAGCTAGCTAGTTTATAGAAATTGAGAATAGCTAGCTAGCTACCTGCAATGTTTTGCATGACGTTGTAGCACCCTCAGAGATATCACAAAACATGAAAATAACGATGCAGGAGCAAGTTGAATATGGTGACTGTTTTCCTTAGCCCTGTCCAACTGGTGGTGAATACATCATTTTTGGTTGTCAAACGCAAAAAAAACAGAAGGAACCGGAAGTAGTCGGAAAACGTCACTCTTCTGCTCTTTCTAGTATTCAACATGGCGTCCGAGGTAGACTAGCTGGACACGGTAGCCAGCTACAACATGAGCTAACGGGCTGTTGCCAGTTTTACCGTTTGGAATTACTGTATACTGTTGATTAGCTAGCTAGTATGCAGGAAAGTAACCCGTGTTAATAATTTACTCAACCGACAGATTAGGCGAAATAATGGAAACTCGAGGAATAGAACAGATGTTTGACTTCCAGCGGTAAGAACAAGATGTGTTGTTGTCAAGACAAGTATCTACGTTAGCTAACTAGCAGCTAGCTAAATTAGCTTATCAGTCCTCCCATAACAAAGATTTCACATAGTCTTGGCTGCTCATAATCGGCTCTGGTTACTAGCTAGCTAGGTCACAGTCTTCTTGCCGTTAATTTAGCTTGTTACGTAGCAAATTAGCCCAAAATATATCAATATTGACTGTTATTAACGACGTTAGCCGGTAGCTTGATTAATAGCCGTAAGTAACATTCGTTTGCTCTCTAGTAACCAGCTAAGCAACATGATGCAGCTGTTATTCTTAATACGTTTAGCCAACTAACGTTAGCTGGTTTATAATCTTGCTAATTTTATAATCTGTCCCGTTGGACTCGGAATTATTATTCCTGACCATGAGCACAGTGTGATTCACATTGAACTGAAAATCTGTGTCTTAAACAGGTTGCCAAACGATGGACTGGTCCTGTTGCTGGTATTGCTTTACTCTCCAGTTGGCGTGTGTTTGATGTTACTACGAATCTTCGTAGGTGCACATGTGTTTTTGGTGAGCTGTGCACTCCCAGACAGTGTTGTTAGAAGGTAAGGGTAGTTTTGCATTATTGACTAGCTGTTGAAGGTTGACTCAGCAATATCACGTCATCATACACCATGGGCTGACTTCCTGCTTATAATAAAACTAAAATCTGGCAAGACTGCAACAATTGGCTTCTCCCAATATGGGTATGCCTCAACCAAAGAAGAGTGCAAATTTGGAGGAGCCACTTGTGGGAAGTCTTGGCAGATTAAGGGGCTGTGTTCAGTATTGCAAAACATTTGGAAAATGAGTTCATGTAGTATCTCAACGTTTTCAAAACATATTCTCCTGTTTCGTGCTTACTGAATCTAACTAAAAGCTTTCTTCCTGTTCCAGATTCATTGTGAGAGTGATGTCCTCAGTCCTTGGTATGCACGTGAGACAGAACAGCCCACGTTTAAGAGACAAAAGCACAAAACTGTACATTTGCAATCACGTGACCCAGTTTGACCACAACATTGTCAATCTTCTGACCTCTTGCAATACAGTGAGTATTTTTGTTGATGAAGTGAAGCTTTTCATTGTGTTGCACTTTGAGCTCCTGGGGTTGTGCTTGCCCAACTGAACAAAGATCTTTGTCTAGAGATGCAGCTGGGTTGACTCAACCGTAGGCCACCAGCCAGTGTGTATTTATTTTGACCATGTCATGTGACCTGTCTGCTCCTCTACACAGCCCATGCTGGAGGACTCTGCGGGCTTCGTGTGTTGGGCCAGAGGCTTCATGGAGCTGGGTGCCATATCGGGTCAGGATGAGATGGAGGAGTCCCTCAGGAGATACTGCTCCTCTCCAGGAACTCTGCCCCTGCTCATCTTCCCCGAGGAGGACACAACCAATGGGCGCGCTGGCCTGCTCAAGTTCAGGTGAGCCATAACACACTGCATTATTCCTGTCCTCGAGCGTATTGGGTTCTGTCTGTCGCTCTCTTTGGTTTTGAAGTTGGTTTCTTCAAACCAAGAGTATCACTGCCCCACAGAGCTGCAGATCAGTGCTTTCCATGGGGTTTATCCTGTGCATGAGACAACTGATTTTTTGTATTTGATTATATCTGCCCTCTTTGTACAGGGGAGAGTGGGGTAAGTTGAGCCAAAGGGTTAGTTGAGCAACCCTTTGTTTCTAGGAAACATACACAAAATTAATCATGTGACCAAATATTTAGGAAGAGGTCATCATTTCATGGAGTCTGTGAAGGAAGAAACCACATGGAAAAAGTGGTAAGCAAGCTAGGTCCAAAAAACAGATTTTCACAAAGTCAAATGAATTTGTGTTATAGGTTTCATGATGCTTGTGTTTAAACGATTGATGTTAACCGTTAATTCAAGGTTTCCCGAACTTTGTCCTCTGGACACCAATGGCTGCACGTTTAGTTTTTTGCCCTAGCACTACACAGCTGATTAAAATAATCAACTAATCATCAAGCTTTGATAATGTGAATCAGCTGTGTATTGTTAGCGCAAAAAACAAAACATGCACCCCATTGGATCCCGAGGATTGAGTTTGGGAAACGCTGCCGAAAATACATTTGACCTGTCATGCTTATCGGTCTATATGTTAATTTGCATTATTTAGTGGAATTAAATATTTTGGAAGCCCAGTCATTGCGCAACAAATAACTTTTCTAAATGCAATGTTAACTGTTTTGATGGTCACGATTTAAAGATCAATTTTTATTTCTCAATCTCAACTCGTAATTAAAGCAAGTCTCCCATTTGACATTCGAGTGCAAAGGCTATAGTAAACGGTAGGCAGACTATCAGCGCGTCAGCCACCACTTTGCAATGTGAGCTTGAGGCAGTATAATTGTTTAAAACCTGAACGTTTTACTTTACTGTAAATAATGAGGTATGTCTTACCTTGCTTCAAATTAGCCTAGTGAAAATCCGTGGAAGCAATTATTTAATAAAGACTTCCTCATGCCATTAACCAACATTTCTCTCCTGTTCTGTTGGTTTTCATATCAACTTTCCTTCATTCGCCAGAAGCCAAAGGAACAATGCTAGTCATATTAGCAACCCATCCTAGTTGTTGCTATTAGATTCCCCTTCTTTCTAAATTTGTAGCGAAGATTTTAGTCTCTGTCACATATGGAAACGCTCGCATTAGGTGCGCTCTTAATGAAAAATGTTTGTTCCTTGTATGCATACATAATATTTTCTGTTGGTCATGTAATTTGACTGTTTAGGATTTTTTTTTGCTGTTAATTGACCGTTTAATGAGGGTCGGATAGTCGGCAGCAAAATTGACATAAATGTGCATCCCTAATCTAAACCAAAGTAGATTGTTTTAAGATGAATTTATTCATCAGTTGGGGTCTCTACTAGCGCTCAAACTAGCATTCTGCCTTCTCCCTACAGTTCTCAGCAGGTAGCTTCGCCCACGACTGGCTCATGTGAACTACAATCCTGACGCTGTGTTTTAACGTTTAGAAACGTAAATAATCATCGCTTGCGATACGGCTTTCGAAACATATGGCCCTTATCTTTCATCAGCGAGGAAGAATCCTTCAAAAAAAAAAGATACACTTACTGTAGCAGCTTTCCACAGATCCATACAGCTATGGGTTCCTCCATCAGACACAACTACACTTCCGCTACACTTCCCGAGTTATGCTGACACACAGGTGTTCAGAGCAGGCGAGATAGCTAATTAGCACAGGTGGTCGCCTCTGTTTTCCATAAACAAGCCTGTAACATGGAGATATGGCCGTGCGGGAACATTAACCCTATAAAGGTGTATATCAATTGAACCTTTTTGTTTTTAGAAAAAAAGTTCTTGCTGATATGAAAGATAAGGTCGTTATGCTTCCAAAACCGTACTGCAAGCGATGCGTGTTAATGTTCAGACCGAGCACCGGGGCTCTTAACAAAACTTCCCGTACAGAAGACGTCTTCGTCTAATGACTCTTGTGTAATGTAATGGAACTGAGAGTCATTATCAAGGGCTAGGGTCTCTATACGCTACAATATGAGGTCCTAAACCTAGCATGAAAATACATCCTTGTACCTGTGTGGGCTAATATAGTCAAAATGTTTGCCTTGGGGTAAGTTGAACCTATGGCTACCATACCCCATAAAACGTATGATTACAATTTGTCAGTTATATGCATAATATTTTTTGCAATGTGTCATGCATATGAACTCAAGATATTGTATTTTTATTGTTACAGAGCAGACATCATCATGTATACAAATGTAAAACAAGCAGGAGTCTAGCGCCCCTTGAGGTTCTTGAGAGCAGCCAAGGAAGTGAGAGAAGGGAAGAAGTCCATTCAAGCAGCAGCAAGGGATGAACAAATAGACTGAATGACACAGAAGAGATACATTGTCAAAAAAGAACTAACATGTACCTGTGTGAAAGAGAGGCTATGATAGAGTAGCAGAGGCACACAAGGTCTTATCTGATGACATGGAGTCTGAGCTTGCTAAAAATATCAAGAATCTTGCGGAACAGTTTCATGGGCTTAGTAACGTCAAATGCAGAGATCTTGCCTACGAATTGGCACATCGAAGCAACATCCCTGTCCCAGACAACTGGTCAAGAAATGGAAGGGTAAGTGATATTGAACAGAGAGCTCTATATCTGAATGTAGGCATACATTAAAGATATACAATACACCACACCCCCATTCCATAAATTAAACTTTGACCTACCAGTACCACCACCCACTTACCCCAAGGCGGCTCAACATACCCTGACCCTATGCTCAGCTTACCCCATACCCGGGGTAAGTTGTGACGAGAACCTTTTTTGGATAAGCTATTTTTTCAAAACTGTTATGTTTACATGAATTCTGATTTATTTCCAGGGATACAACATCCTGAAATATATGTACATATCTTTGTTAGAAAAAATACTCTTTACTTACCCCACTCTCACCAACACAAATACATTTTCTAGTTTTCCCCAGTCACCAATAGGACAGATAACTATTGCTATTAGCAACTTAAATGGTTAGTGATTTATTAGCAGGTGATAAGAGGAGAATCTGTCCTGAGCAGAATGCCAACACTGCTATAAGTTGCCCCTGTACTGCCCGTGTATTACTGGTGCTAAGAGCTACTGAGCAAATGAACATGTTTTCTCTCCCTCAGCTCCTGGCCTTTCTCTTTGACTGACTCCATTCAGCCTGTGGCCTTGCAAGTGAAGAGACCATTTCTAGCTCTGGTAATACTATCAAAACTAAACTGCCTCTTTGTCATATTTAACAATATACATTTGGTGAAAGTTTTTGTTTAAAGAGTTGGGCTTTAAAAAGTTGTAGGGTTCGTCCAGTACTTGTAAAATGGTTTTGCACACCACTGGTAGACCTAATATGATTTTGTGTTGTTGATTTGTCACTATCAGTCTGAACATATTTCTGTCAGACACATGCAGAGGATTTCCTGTAATGAAAGCACTAATGTAGTTTGTTCCTCTTTCACCAGAGCACGCCAGACTCCTTTTGGTTGACAGAACTGTTGTGGACCTTTTTCGTCCCGTGTACAGAGTACCATGTAAGGTACTAAATAATTACTGTATCTTACTACTTCAATCAATTTCAATCAATTTTATTTTATATAGCCCTTCTTACATCAGCTAATATCTCGAAGTGCTGTACAGAAACCCAGCCTAAAACCCCAAACAGCTAGTAATGCAGGTGTAGAAGCACGGTGGCTAGGAAAAACTCCCTAGAAAGGCAAAACCTAGGAAGAAACCTAGAGAGGAACCAGGCTATGAGGGGTGGCCAGTCCTCTTCTGGCTGTGCCGGGTGGAGATTATAACAGAACCATGCCAAGATGTTCAAAAATGTTCATAAGTGACAAGCATGGTCAAATAATAATCAGGAATAAATCTCAGTTGGCTTTTCATAGCCGATCATTAGAGTTTAAAACAGCAGGTCTGGGACAGGTAGGGGTTCCATAACCGCAGGCAGAACAGTTTAAACTGGAATAGCAGCAAGGCCAGGCGGACTGGGGATAGCAAGGAGTCACCACGGCCGGTAGTCCCGACGTATGGTCCTAGGGCTCAGGTCTCTCAGTTGGCTTTTCATAGCCGATCATTTAGAGTTGAAAACAGCAGGTCTGGGACAGGTAGGGGTTTCGTAGCCGCAGGCAGAACAGTTGAAACTGGAATAGCAGCAAGGCCAGGCGGACTGGGGGCAGCAGGGTGTCATCATGCCCGGTAGTCCTGACGTATGGTCCTAGGGCTCAGGTTCTCAGAGAGAAAGAGAGAACGAGAGAATTAGAGAGAGCATACTTAAATTCACACAGGACACTGGATAAGACAGGAGAAGTACTCCAGGTATAACCAACTAACCCCAGCCCCCCGACACATAAACTACTGCAGCATAAATACTGGAGGCTGAGACAGGAGCGGTCCGGAGACACTGTGGCCCCATCCGAAGAAACCCCCGGACAGGGCCAAACAGGAAGGATATAACCCCACCCACTCCGCCAAAGCACAGCCCCCGCACCACTAGAGGGATATCCCCAACCACCAACTTACAATCCTGAGACAAGGCCGAGTATAGCCCACAGAGGTCTCCACCACAGCACAAACCAAGGGGGGGGGGGGTCGCCAACCCAGACAGGAAGATCACGTCAGTAACTCAACCCACTCAATTGACGTACCCCTCCCAGGGACGGCATGAAAGAGCACCAGCAGGCCAGTGACTCAGCCCCTGCAACAGGGTTAGAGGCAGAGAACCCCAGTGGAGAGGGGAACCGGCCTGGCAGAGACAGCAAGGGCTGTTCGTTGCTCCAGCCTTTCCGTTCACCTTCACACTCCTGGGCCAGACTACACTCAATCATATGACCTACTGAAGAGATAAGTCTTCAGTAAAGACTTAAAGGTTGAGACCGAGTCTGCGTCTCTCACATGGGTAGGCAGACTGTTCCATAAAAATGGAGATCTATAGGAGAAAGCCCTGCCTCCCGCTGTTTGCTTAGAAATTCTAGGGACAATTAGGAGGCCTGCGTCTTGTGACCGTAGCGTACGTATTGGTATGTACGGCAGGACCAACTCGGAAAGATAGGTAGGAGCAAGCCCATGTAACGCTTTATAGGTTAACAGTAAAACCTTGAAATCAGCCCTTGCCTTAACAGGAAGCCAGTGTAGGGAAGCTAGCACTGGAGTAATATGATCAAATTTCTTGGTTCTAGTCAGGATTCTAGCAGCCGTATTTAGCACTAACTGAAGTTTATTTAGTGCTTTATCCGGGTAGCCGGAAAATAGAGCATTGCAGTAGTCTAATCTAGAAGTAACAAATGCATGGATTAATTTTTCTGCATCATTTTTGGACAGAAAATTTCTGATTTTTGCAATGTTACGTAGATGGAAAAAAGCTGTCCTTGAAACAGTCTTGATATGTTCGTCAAAAGAGAGATCAGGGTCAAGAGTAACGCCTAGGTCCTTCACAGTTTTATTTGAGACGACTTTACAACCATCAAGATGAATTGTCAGATTTAACAGAAGATCTCTTTGTTTCTTGGGACCTAGAACAAGCATCTCTGTTTTGTCCGAGTTTAAAAGTAAAAAGTTTTCAGCCATCCACTTCCTTATGTCTGAAACACAGGCTTCTAGCGAGGGCAATTTTGGGGCTTCACCATGCTTCATTGAAATGTACAGCTGTGTGTCATCCGCATAGCAGTGAAAGTTAACATTATGTTTTCGAATAACATCCCCAAGAGGTAAAATATATAGTGAAAACAATAGTGGTCCTAAAACGGAACCTTGAGGAACACCGAAATGTACAGTTGATTTGTCGGAGGACAGACCATTCACAGAGACAAACTGATATCTTTCCGACAGGTAGGATCTAAACCAGGCCAGAACTTGTCCGTGTAGACCAATTTGGGTTTCCAGTCTCTCCAAAAGAATGTGGTGATCGATGGTGTCAAAGGCAGCACTAAGGTCTAGTAGCACGAGGACAGATGCAGAGCCTCGGTCTGACGCCATTAAAAGGTCATTTACCACCTTCACAAGTGCAGTCTCAGTGCTATGATGGGGTCTAAAACCAGACTGAAGCATTTCGTATACATTGTTTGTCTTCAGAAAGGCAGTGAGTTGCTGCGCAACAGCTTTTTCTAAAATTTTTGAGAGGAATGGAAGATTCGATATTGGCCGATAGTTTTTTATATTTTCCGGGTCAAGGTTTGGCTTTTTCAAGAGAGGCTTTATCACTGCCACTTTTAGTGAGTTTGGTACACATCCGGTGGATAGAGAGCTTGTCATTGTCAGGCACATCCGGTGGATAGAGAGCTTGTCATTGTCAGGGCTCTGGTTTAACCTTGTAATAGGATAGAATTGATAACTGACAACTTTTGTTTGTCCTTAAAGTCCACTCCATTACTCATTGGAAAATTCCCCTAGAATAAGCAATGGTTTGTGCTAGATATGTGACTCTCTTGCCATTTCAGAGTTAATGTTTTGTCAGGATCAGCAGTACAGTGCCTAGTGAAAGTCTACACACTTCACATTTTGCTGTCTTAAAATTAAATCTTAAGGTACATTACATTACATTGGATTTATTTCCTACAGATCTAAACAACCTACTCCACATTTTCAAAGTTAAATAAAATATAACATTTTCCAAATTAATAATAAAAAAAGATTGGTTAGGTCTTCACACCCCAGAGTTAATACTAGGTGGAAGCACCTTTGGCAGCCATTACAGCTGTGAATCATTTTCAATAAGATTCTACCAACTTTGCACAACCCTTAGGGCAACATACAGTGCCTTCAGAAAGTATTCACAGCTCTTGACTTTTTTTTCCACCTTTTGTTGTGTTTTTGAATGACTACCTCATCTCTGTACCCCACACATACAATTATCTGTAAGGTCCCTCAGACAAGCAGTGAATTTCAAACACAGATTCAACCACAAAGACCAGGGAGGTTTTCCAATGCCTCGCAAAGAAAGGCACCTATTGGTAGATGGGTAAAAAAAAAAAGCACACATTGAATATCCCTTTGAGCATGGGGAAGTTATTAATTACACTTTGGATGGTGTATCAATACACTCAGTCACTACAAAGAAACAGGTGTCCTTCCTAACTCAGTTGCCGGAAAGGAAGGAAACCCCTCAGGGAGGCCGATGGTGACTTTAAAACAGTTACACAGTTTAATGGCTTTGATAGGAGAACTGAGGATGCATCAACAACATTGTAGTTACTCCACAATACTAACCTAATTGACAGAGTGAAAAGAAGGAAGCCTGTACAGAATAAAAATATTCCAAAACATGCATCCTGTTTGCAACAAGGCACTAAAGTAATATTGGGGGAAAATGTGGCAAAGCAATTAACTTTTTTTCCCGAATTCAAAGTGTTATGTTTGGGGCAAATCCAATAAAGTATTACTGAGTACCACTCTCCATATTTAAGCAGAGTGGTAGATGCATCAGATTATTGGTATGCTTGTAATCGTTAAGGACTGGGGAGTTTTTCCAGGATAAAAAAGAAACGGAATGGAGCTAAGCACAGGCAAAATCCTAAACGAAAACCTACTTCAGTCTGCTTTCCACCAGACACTGGGAGATGAATTCACCTTTCAGCAGGACAATAACCTAAAACACAAGGCCAAATCTACACTGGAGTTGCTTACCAAGAAGACGGTGACTGTTCCTGAGTGGCCGAGTTACAGTTTTGACTTAAATCTACTTGAGAAGCTATGGCATGACCTGACAATGGTTGTCTAGCGATGATCAATAACCAATTTGACAGAGCGTGAAGAATTTAAAAATTAATAACGTGCAAATATTATACAATCCAGGTGTGCAAACCTCGTAGACTTACCCAGAAAGACTCTCAGCTGTTATCGCTGCCAAAGGTGATTCTAACATGTATTGACTCAGAGGTGTGAATACCTATGTAGAGATATTTCTGTATTTAATTTTCAATAAATTTGCAAACATTTCTAAAAATATATGTTTTCACTGTCATTATGGGGTATTGTGTGTAGATGGTTGAAAAATTAAATGTATCCATTTTGAATTCAGGCTGTAACACAACAAAATGTGGAATAAGTCAAGGGGTATGAATACTTTAGTCAAAATGCCTCAAGCTCAGTTTGGTTGGGAATCATTGATAGACAGCAATTTTCAAACCTCTGATTTGCAAGCACATTTAAGTCCGGACTGAGACTAGACCACTCAGGAACACTCAACACCTCTTGGGAACCCATTCTGGTGTGTCTTTGGTGTTAACATTTGTGTAATTGTCCCACTGAAAAATAAAACTCTGCTTTGCTCCTGGGTATGCTCCTTTAATATTTATTTTGATCCTGACAAACTCCCCAGTCCCTAAATGTATTTCCCGTGTTATCTTGCAGTATTACTTAACGGCCGTGTTGCAAACAGAATGGATGATTTGGAGTGGATTTTTTTAACAGGCCAGTAATGTGGCGTGAATGCAATCTTCTGTATTTTAAAGTATTGGCAGCATCATGTTATGGGTATGCTTGTCACTGGCAGGGACTGGGGAGTTTGTCAGGATCAAAATAAATATGAAAGGAGCAAAGTCCAAATAAAAAGTTAAAGGAAACCCTGCCATAGTCTTCTGAAAACTAAACCCTGGGATAGACCAATATGTGTTCAGTGTTCCTGGATGGTCCAGTCTCAGTCCTGACTTAAATCTGCTTGAAAGTTAAAATTATTCACAGCTGTAATGGCTGCCAAAGGTGCTTTCACCAAGTATTAACTCTGGGGCGGGTGAAGATGAACGCAATCAATACATTTAATTTTTTTATCAATTAGGAACATTTTCTATAATTTTTCTTTCACTTTGAAAATGTGGGTTGTGTAGATCGATAGGAAACATTTTTACATTTTAGTCATTTAGCAGACGCTCTTATCCAGAGCGACTTACAGTTAGTGAGTGCATACATTTTTCATACTGGCCCCCTGTGGGAATTGAACCCACAACCCTGGTGTTTCAAGCGCCATGCTCTACCAACTGAGCTACAGGAGGCCTGAAAGAAATCCAATTGAATCCCTTTTTTATTTCATTTTAAGGCAGCAAAATGTGAAGACTATGCAAGCGGTGTGTAGACTTTCACTAGCGACTGTGTGTTATAGTCATAACTTTTCAACCAGCTTGATTAGAGGCAGAAGTTTACATAAAGGGGCAAGTTTAAGTTTACTATTACTGCTCACAAAGCTTGTAGAGACCCTGTTTCGTTTGACTTTCACAGATGGCTCCCCCCTGTGTCAAGACAAGATGAAGAGTCCCTTCAAGATTTTGCTAACAAAATCCAAGAGGTATAAAACCTTTGGTCTCATTCTAATTTTTACACACTTGTTCTGCAACGCCTTCTGTTCCCTACTGCACACATTGTATCAAACAAAACCAGTACCGGTATGCATCTTATAGTGCATATTGCAAGTTATCACATTGACTGCCCTAAAGCACCCAATTCCAGGATCTGAGCTTGTGATATTAGAAAATTCACAGTGATATGGAACACTAAAGCAAGTGGTTATTCTATTGTCCTCTGATTGGTCTTTGTGCTGTCCATTTTCAGCTCCTAGCCACTGAGCTCGGCGTGGTCTCGACACAGATTACCAAAGCAGACAAAGCCGAGCATGTGAAAAGGAAACGGCACATTGCACCGCGCACCACAACCTCAAGTAAGAGAGCCCTGAAGAAACCTTCCCTGACAAAGCCACTCCTACAGCATGGTCTTGGTGCAAGTTATGCTCACTTGGAGGGTGGTTGGGACCATCAGTAATGGTTTGTATTTACTACTGTCTGTATCCAGATCTGGGTGCCAGACCACGTTCTCTGGGCTTCGTGGTCCGCAGCTCTGGGGTGGAGGAGCTAAGGATCAGCAGGATGGCCCAGCAGGTGAAGGAGGTTCTGCCTGACATCCCCCTCAGCATCATCACCAGAGACCTTGGTACGCCAACCCTTAATTTTCGCTTTGCGTTTCCAGTGCAGTGACAGAATTTGGAATGGTGACGAGCAGTGCACCAATTCAAGTCCTATATTCGCATGTGCATTTCATTGAAATAGAGTGGTAACACTTGACTTGACACTGGGATGAATACAGGAGCAGATTTCAGGAGCGAGACACCCTCTTTTTGACTGATGACTGATATAAGGGCATGTACGTGATAGGACTATCTGGCTTATATGATTATGATGGTCATAATGCTTATTGACAGTGTCATAAAGTGTATTTTCTACAAGTTATTTAAAATCTGATGAAAAAACATGACTGTAAAGAGCTAATTACAACAAAGGATTTAAGGAACAAACTTTCAAACGAAAGGAAACTTCTTGGCAGGGAAAAAACTAATTTGACAAAATGTGGGTTTAAACACTCTTATGTAGGTGTCATAACCAGCCATAAAATAGTGCAATATATGTCACAACAGGTGTAAATATATGGGTCATGAAAGTGTTATAACCATATTATGACATGGTTATGACCGTGGGTGTCAAGTCAAGTGTTACCAATGGAGTTTGCATAGGCAGAGAAAAAGGCACAGTAGCATGCAGCGTTTCCCAAACCTTTTCCCTTACCCTTTTTGCAGTGCAAACCAACTGCGTGGACACCACTATCACTAACCTGCTGGAGAGCACTGAGGAGTTCCCATTGGTGGCCACAGGCGAAGCCACGTCTGCACCAGGCCCATCCTGGAGGTCCCTCTCCTTTTCTGCTGCACCCGCTCCCACCATTAAGGTTTGCCAATCATCTAAATGATGTCTGTAGTCTACACTGAGTGTACAAAACATTAGGAACACCTGCTCTTTCCATGACATAGACTGACCAGGTGAATCCAGGTGCAAGCTATGATCCCTTATTGATGTTAACTGTTAAATCCACTTCAATCTGTGTAGATGAAGGGGAGGAGACGGGTTAAAGAAGGATTTTTAAGCCTCGACAATTGAGACATGGATTGTGTATGTGTGCCATTCAGAGGGTGAATGGGCAAGACAAAAGATTTAAGTGCATTTGAATGGGGTATGGTAGAAGGTCCCAGGCGCACCGGTTTGAGTGTGTCAAGAACTGCAACGCTGCTGGGTTTTTCACGCTCAACAGTTTCCCGTGTGTATCAAGAATGGTCCACCACCCAAAGGACATCCAGCCAACTTGACACAACTGTGGGAAGCATTGGAGTCAACATGGGCCAGCATCCCTGTGGAATGCTTTCAACACCTTGTAGAGTCCATGCCATGATGAATTGAGGCTGTTCGGAGGGCAAAAGGGGGTGCAACTCAATATTAGGAAGGTGTTCCTAATGTTTTTGTACACTCAGTGTATATTACCTTGCTCGCGAAGTAATTGAGGTACCATCTTGCTACGCTATTATATTTATCAGGAGCTTGCTGTATAGTCAGATTTTGTTCATTTTGACCCATAGCCTGCTGCCAAATCTTTTGGGAAATCACCAGTAGACCGACGCATGTCCCTACAAGAGAGGAAGGAGGCCTTGTATGAGTTCGCAAGAAGGTGAGATCAAACGCTGCAATTCAGTCTTGGATTGATTTTAATTTCAACCACCCATAGAATTGACACATTTGACCCTACATTTTACACTCAGTCGTTGTTGTCCACCTGTCATCTGTTAGTTGTTCACGCCTTCCTTTCCTCTAGACGCTACATCGAGAAGCATGGACTGGAGCAGGATGACAACCACTGAACAAGATCTGATCGCTGGGAAACGTGTTAGGAATGACAGGCGTTAAAATCAAATAATTGTACAGGAGTGTATGGAGAGGAGAACAGAGGATAGTTTTGTTGAGCCGCACGTACTGGAGGAAAACCTTCTGAAGACTTCAATGGATTTTTTTATTTGCTTGCATGGCAATCATGCATGTCTTTTTTGGTTTCTCCCTGCAAAAATATTATTTTGATAAGAATTTGTATTAAGACCCAGTGACCATGATGGCAGAGGGGATGATGAAACAAAGGCCATCTTTCTCTGCTTTCAGAGAAGGCACATCAGCTCTTAGGTTAATTAGGATTCGACAGTATGTGTTTCTGCAGTATGAACTTTTTAAAGTGAATAAAGTTCATAATTTATAAATGCAAGAGATTGTCTTGACTAGAATCACAATTCCAGTATTCATCTTTGGATGTACCCTGGCATGAATCAATTAGTGCTAAGCAGCATTAAGTCATAAAATCAAATTCTACTTCAGAGTAAATACATGTGTATAACTGTTGGGGATTGTCAAGTCAGAAACCCAACTATAACAAACTCTGATAAGCAACTGCATGCTAGGGTTAGGTTTAGAATAAGGGTTAGGTTAAGGTTAGAGTTAGTAAATAGTTGAAATGTTACTGATAGTCTGTAGAACATCTACAAATAAAGTGTTGGCAACAAATGTTTAATAGTCAGATGAAATAACACAACTGTGAAAATGAGTTATGCTTGTGTAGGCGTGGCCTATGAATGTCCTACTGCCTCTGCCCTGTGGCCCAGGGTTTGTTGCGCAGTGAGTATATCATTAGCGTCTGCACAGCAGGATCATAGGGTCGAGACCCGCTTCAGCTGTTCTCCCTCGCTCTCCTACACTTGTTTGTGAAGTAGGCCACTAACACAATACATCACCGATAGTCATCTGCTCCGCTATGGGCCTGGCACCGCGGCAGTATCATGTCGTATGTACAGTATCTCACAAAAGTGAGTACACCGCTCACATTTTTGTAAATATTACTATATCTTTTCATGTGACAACACTGAAGAAATGACACTTTGCTACAATGTAAGGTAGTGTGTACAGCTTGTATAACATTGTAAATGTGCTGTCCCCTCAAAATAACACAACACAGCCATTAATGTCTAAACCGCTGGCAACAAAAGTGAGTACACCCCTAAGTGAAAATGTCCAAATTGGGCCCAAAGTGTCAATATTTTGTGTGGCCACCATCATTTTCCAGCACTGCCTTAACCCTCTTGGGCATGGAGTTCACCAGAGCTTCACAGGTTGCCACTGGAGTCCTCTTCCACACCTCCATGACGACGTCACAGAGCTGGTGGATGTTAGAGACCTTGCACTCCTCCACCTTCCGTTTGAGGATGCCCCACAGATGCTCAATAGGGTTTAGGTCTGGAGACATGCTTGGCCAGTCCATCACCTTTACCCTCAGCTTCTTTAGCAAGGCAGTGGTTGTCTTGGAGGTGTGTTTGGGGTCGTTATCATGTTGGAATACTGCCCTGCGGCCCAGTCTCCGAAGGGAGCAGATCATGCTCTGCTTCAGTATGTCACAGTACATGTTGGCATTCATGGTTCCCTCGATGAACTGTAGCTCCCCAGTGCCAGCAGCACTCATGCAGCCCCAGACCATGACACTCCCACCACCATGCTTGACTGTAGGCAAGACACACTTGTCTTTGTACTCCTCACCTGGTTGCCGCCACACACGCTTGACACCATCTAAACCAAATAAGTTTATCTTGGTCTCATCAGGACATGGTTCCAGTAATCCATGTCCTTAGTCTGCTTGTCTTCAGCAAACTGTTTGCGGGCTTTCTTGTGCATTGTTAGAAATTGCGTAATTCAAATCTGGTATTGGAATAAGAATCAAGAGATCTTCAATCCAAGCTTAATTTATTATATGCAAAATGTATGTAATGATAAGTATGAAGGTTCGTATATACGGGTCCACTAAAATACCTCGCAGGGCACTCAGAGAACTAAAACATTGTTTACAGGTTCTTTCTCAAATACTCTGACAGATAGTTCCCACCTCTTCTGTTGGCCAATCAGAGTAAAGGACTGAGTGTGGTTTAGACTTTACTCAGCCAATCCCTTGGCGCATGGGTTGGTCCCAACCCCTCTGCGCTCCACTGTTCCCAGGCATAAGTTGCTATCATAATAACCTGTGGAGTCAGCACCCAAAAGACTGTACGTTCCTACATCCAAGGACGGTTCACAGACAACGGTTCACAGACAACAAAGAGGCAGTGTTCGTATCTGTAAGAAATACAAGTCTTATCTGTCCTTCCCCTAACGTTCCACACATGAATCACAGCCTGCTATGTGAAACAATCCATATCAGTACAGTTCAAACCTATGCTCCTCATTAATGCATTCCTTCCAAGCTATTCATCACATACAGATCCAATTATGAGAAAAATAGAACCCAACAGCATCATCTTTAGAAGAGGCTTCCTTCTGGGACAAAAGGCTGACCCCACCACCCCTTCAACCTCTGCAGCAATGCTGACAGCACTCATACGTCTATTTCCCAAAGACAACCTCTGGATATGACGCTGAGCACGTGCACTCAACTTCTTTGGTCGACCATGGCGAGGCCTGTTCTGAGTGGAACCTGTCTTGTTAAACCGCTGTATGGTCTTGGCCACCGTGCTGCAGCTCAGTTTCAGGGTCTTGGCAATCTTCTTATAGCCCAGGCCATCTTTATGTAGAGCAACAATTATTTTTTTCAGATCCTCAGAGAGTTCTTTGCCATGTTGAACTTCCAGTGACCGGTATGAGGGAGTGTGAGAGCGATGACACCAAATTTAACACACCTGCTCCCCATTCACACCTGAGACCTTGTAACACTAATGAGTCACATGACACCGGGGAGGGAAAATGGCTAATTGTTCCCAATTTTGATATTTTCACATAGGGGTGTACTCACTTTTGTTGCCAGCGGTTTAGACATTAATGGCTGTGTTGTGTTATTTTGAGGGGACAGCAAATTTACACTGTTATACAAGCTGTACACTTACTTCTTTACATTGTAGCAAAGTGTAATTTCTTCAGTGTTGTCACATGAAAATATATACTCAAATATTTACAAAAATGTGAGGGGTGTACTCACTTTTGTGAGATACTGTATGTATCTCATAATCAAGGGAGAGGGAAGGGAGGAATTCATGATACAAAGAATAGTGTTATTCAAGTAGTCTGAGATTTCAGCCTGACAGTGGTTAGTTTAATGTTACAGACTGTAAAAAAAATAACATTTGATGTGGAACCTTTTAAAGTGAACAATGAAAAATGATTTAGCCTTTAACTCTTATAAATCAGAAGACTGTCTTGAAGATTGCATATAATGACTTCAGCAAGAGGGCAAAAATATAAAATAACCTAGGCTAGGTCCCTGCCTTACGCCTCCACGAAGATTGACCGAATCAAAGGTTATTGATAATTTTTCCCTTATTAATGGAGATATGTTTCGTGATGGAAAAATTCAGATTGAAGGCATTGAATGCTGAAAACTTGAACGAATGAAATCTGTCGAGATGACATGCTAGACTTTCGATAAATGTCATAAACCCAATGCCATTTACAATCTGGCGGCTTTAGTGTAGGCTACTGTACTTTTATTCCCACTTCATTCTTTATGGTCCTATAATATTCATTTTATTACGACACGTGATATCGTAGCATTTCTGATCAGAAATCCACCAATCATGTCGATAACAACGCGGGTACTGGGACCAAACGGACCAATAGGATTGCTATAAATTGACGCGATTTTGGAGCGTGACCTAACAAATTTACTCAGTGCGCAACAGATTGACGATTGTAGTCGCTCAGAGAAGGAACTCTTTGAAAGTAGACTGATTTTATTCTACTAATAAAATGAGGGAGATTGTTCACTTACAAGCTGGGCAGTGCGGTAATCAAATTGGCGCAAAGGTTTGTACACTTTAGGCTTTTAAAGCCATGTCTTTTGATTAGGTTTAGAAGTATGATAAAAATAAACATCTACGACCACGATGCCTCGATATATTGTATTTCATGGTCTTTCAAATTGTGGCCGAGAAAATATATATTTACAATTTAATCTCTTGGATTGAACACAATATGCGGACCCTTTGTTCTCGGTTCGATCAATTATTGTTTGGCGGAAAATATCACATCTTCTTGATCTATTATTTTCCTTCCCGTTTGTTCGAACAAGTTAAGTGATTTTTAAGATGCGTCAACTTATTTTTAACGGGGGAAACCTTCAGCTGATCGATGCAACGAGTGTAATTGAAGGGTGTTGGCCACCCCGCGTTGGATCAGCGCGCGCAGTTGTAATATGGCGGGTTGTCTTGTTCAGCCGGGTGCGCCAAAACCGGCTCGCGCTCACTGCAACTATTAGTTTTAGTGTACATATGCTTATTTATTGTCAATGTTGTAATACATTGAGCACTATTTCATGTTTTATTTTAGCATTTAACAATAAAGGACAAGGCAAAAATTCGAGGATTTTAAAATGGTGCCAACTTTGGAAACTCCATTTTGTTTTCAGCACTTGGCGCAAGGAAGCAAAAACTTTTTTTTTTTTTTTTTTTATAAATTCAAAAATGGCTTGTTTGCTTTCATTTGTATTTAATTTGATTGCAGCCGTAACTGAATTGACTACATTAGTGAATTTTCAGACTTCTTCCAATACTTTCTTTGTCTTTAGTTCTGGGAGGTGATAAGTGACGAGCATGGCATTGACCCCACTGGAAGTTACCATGGGGACAGTGATCTTCAGCTGGAAAGGATTAATGTGTACTACAATGAAGCTTCAGGTGAGTTAGGTTGTGTGACGTCATGATCCACGTTGGTCTGGTAAATCTGGCAATAGTCCTACTCCAGCTACACAACATTGATGTCCTAGTTACCATAATAAGCCTGGTACAATGGGTTTTGAAAGGATTGTAATTTATTTTAAGTACTCTGTGTTGACATTTCAGGTGGAAAGTATGTGCCACGTGCAGTACTTGTGGACTTGGAGCCTGGGACCATGGACTCTGTGAGATCTGGACCATTTGGTCAGATCTTCAGGCCTGACAACTTTGTCTTCGGTAAGAAACTGTGTTGGCAGTTTGACCATAAATCAACTTGGAAGTGGTCTATGTGCCTGGATTAGTTGCAGGTTACTACAGTACACCTTAATTACCTGACTACAGTCACCAGAGACAAACTGTTGGCATTGGTTATTTGAAACAAAGGGTTTCCATGTCACTTAATTTGCTTTGTCATCCCTGACTTTAGTGTTTGCACAATCCATCACTAGGGCCCAGTTTTTCCATAACATCTCATTATCTTTACATTGACGTCATACTTTTGTCCGTTCCAGGTCAGAGTGGAGCTGGTAACAACTGGGCCAAGGGCCACTACACTGAGGGCGCAGAGCTGGTTGACTCTGTCTTGGATGTAGTAAGGAAGGAGGCTGAGAGCTGTGACTGCCTGCAGGGCTTCCAGCTCACCCACTCCCTGGGAGGTGGAACTGGCTCTGGCATGGGCACCCTGCTTATCAGCAAGATCCGTGAAGAGTATCCCGACCGCATCATGAACACTTTCAGTGTGGTGCCCTCCCCTAAAGTGTCAGACACTGTGGTGGAGCCCTACAATGCTACCCTCTCAGTCCACCAGCTGGTAGAGAACACAGACGAGACCTACTGCATCGACAACGAGGCACTCTACGACATCTGCTTCCGTACCCTCAAACTCACCACGCCCACCTACGGAGACCTCAACCACCTGGTGTCTGCCACCATGAGCGGGGTCACCACCTGTCTCCGCTTCCCCGGCCAGCTCAACGCAGACCTGCGCAAACTGGCAGTCAACATGGTGCCTTTCCCCCGTCTCCACTTCTTCATGCCCGGCTTTGCCCCCCTCACCAGCAGGGGCAGCCAGCAGTACAGAGCCCTGACAGTTCCAGAGCTCACTCAGCAGATGTTTGACTCTAAGAACATGATGGCGGCCTGCGATCCCCGCCACGGCCGCTATCTCACCGTGGCCGCAGTCTTCCGCGGGCGCATGTCCATGAAAGAGGTGGACGAGCAGATGCTGAACGTACAGAACAAGAACAGCAGCTACTTCGTTGAATGGATCCCCAACAACGTCAAGACTGCAGTCTGTGACATTCCTCCCCGTGGCCTCAAGATGGCTGCCACCTTCATCGGCAACAGCACTGCCATCCAGGAGCTGTTCAAGCGCATCTCTGAGCAGTTCACAGCTATGTTCCGCCGTAAGGCTTTCCTCCATTGGTACACCGGAGAGGGCATGGATGAGATGGAGTTCACTGAGGCAGAGAGCAACATGAATGATCTGGTGTCTGAGTACCAGCAGTACCAAGATGCCACTGCAGAGGAGGAAGGAGAGTTTGAAGAGGAGGAGGGTGAAGAGGAGTTGGCTTAAGTTGTTTTTGTTCTTTCCTTTTAAGACCTCAGTTTCTTTTTCATACTTCCTGTCTCTGGCAACTTTCAGCTGTACCTTATTTTTGTTTTGTTCACTTGCAATAAAATAAATGTAGTTAAACCAATTTCTCCATTTTGTTTGTCTTTCCGTAAGACATGGGTAATGTAAAGCAAGTACACTAAGTGAAGCAAATAGTAATTTCTTGGAAATTGATAACTTGTTGGAAAATTCAATGGTGTTTGTGATTATCACATTAGCGGTCGAGACAATGGTGTCTACAGTGCATTTGGAAAGTATTCAGACCCCTTGACCTTTTCCACATGTTACGTTACAGCCTTATTCTAAAATGACATAGCAAAAACTGGTTTTTAGGTATTTCAGTGAATTTCTTAAACATTTACATAAGTATTCAGACCATTTACTCAGTACTTTGTTGAAGTGCCTTTGGCAGCGTTACACCCTCAAGTCTTCTTGGGTATGACGCTACAAGATTGGCGCACCTGTATTTGAAGGGTTTCTCCCATGCTCTGTCAGGTTGGATGGGGAGCATCGCTGCACATCTATTTTCAGGTCTCTCCAGAGATGTTCAAGTCCGGGCTCTGTTTGGGCCACTCAAGGACATTCAGAGACTTGTCCCAAAGCCACTCCTGCGTTGTCTTGGCTGTGTGCTTAATGTCGTTGTCCTGTTGGAAGGTGAACCTTTGCCCCAGTCTGAGGTCCTGAGCGCTCTGAAGCAGATTTTTATCAAGGATCTCAATTTACTTTGCTCTGTTCATCTTTCCCTCGATCTTGACTAGTCTCCTAGTCCCTGCTGTTGAAAAACACCCACAGAATGATGCTGCCACCATGCTTCACCGTAGGGATGGTGCCAGGTTTCCTCCAGACGTGACTCTTGGCATTCAGGTCAAATAGTTCGATCTTGGTTTCGTCAGACCAGAGAATCTTCTTTCTCATGGTCAGTCCTTTAGGTCCCCCGATTGCTCAATTTGGCTGGGCGGCCAGCTCTAGGAAGAGTCTTGGTGGTTCCAAACTTCTTCCATTTAAGAATTATGGAGGCCACTGTGTTCTTGGGGACCTTAAATAATGCAGACATTTTTTGGAACCCTTCCCCAGATCTGTGCCTCGACACAATCCTGTCTCGGCGCTCTACGGACAATTCCTTCGACCTCATGGCTTGGTTTTTGCTCTGACATGCACTGTCAACTGTGGGACCTTGTATAGACAGGTGTGTGCCTTTCCAAATCATGTCCAATCAATTGAATTTACCACATGTGGACTCCAAGTTGTAGAAACATCTCAAGGATGATCAATGGAAACAGGATGCACCTGAGCTCAATTTCAAATCTCATTGCAAAGGGTCTGAATACTTTAAGTAAGGTATTTCTGTTTTATTTTTAATACATTTGCAAAAATGTCTAAACCTGTTTTCGCTTTGTCATTATGGGGTATTGTGTGTAGATTGAACATTTTAATTTTAATCCATTTTAGAATAAGGCTGAAACAATGTGGGAAAAGGGGTCTGAATACTTCCCGACTGCACTGTGTGTGTGTATATACAGTATAAATCATTGGTCGAGACCTGTTTGGTCCATTCCTCACCTATTTTCTCAATTTGGTATAAACGTATGTATACTAAACAAAAACATGCAACGATTTTACTGAATCACAGTTCATGTAAGTCAATTGAAATAAATAAATGAGGCCCTAATCTATGGATTTCAGATGACACGGCCACCCAATTGGGAGCCGGAGCCAGGCCCAGTCAATCAGAATGAGTTTTTCCCCACTGAAGGGCTTTATTACAGATAGAAATACACCTCAGTTTTGTCAGGTGGCTGGTGTCAGACCATTCCGCAGGTGAAGAAGCCGGATGTGGAGGTCCTGGGCTGCTGTGGTTACACGTGGTCTGCGGTTGTGAGGCCAGTTGGGCGTACCGTTAAATTCTCTACAACGACGGAGGCCGCTTATGGTAGAGAAATTAACATTAAATTATCTGGCAACAGCTCTGGTGGACATTCCTGCAGTCAGCATGCCAATTGCACGCTCCCTCAAAACATTAGACTGCTGTGGCACTGTTGTGTGACAAAACTACATTTTAGAGTGGCCTTTTATTGTCCACAGCACAAGGTGCACCTGTGTAATGTTCATGCTGTTTAATCAGCTTCTTGATATGCCATACCTGTCAGGTGGATGGATTATCTTTGCAAAGGAGAAATGCTCACTAAAAGGGATGTAAATACATTTGTGCACAACATTTGAGAGATATTATTTTTGTGTGTATGGAACATTTCTGTGATCTTTTATTTCAGCTCATGAAACATAGGACCAACACTTTACATGTTATTGTTCAGTATAGGTAGGCTTACAATAGAATACAAATGTTTTCATATTCCTCTCAAAACAGGTCACAATGGCCTTGTTTTTCAAAACATTTAATCCAGATTAAAATTATCCTGTGTTGTCTTAATCCTAAACCCCCATTCAATTGTCTTCCCCTTCACTTTAGAAATACAATATTAAGCCCAAATGTAATGGGATCATATGGAAGTATCTTTGTTGTAGCATATGTAATATGTTGAGATTTGGTTCAGTTCTCTAAAAACTGCATCCAAAAATCTAAAGGAGAAGAATCTAACACCACATGATCATTTTGATCTGGATTACATTTTTTGAAAATCTGGGCCCTGGATTTCCACCTCTTGATCTGCATGCTCTTAGCTATCCCCAGTGACATAAACTTTAGGCTTAGGTTTATTAATTTAACAGTGTTCATGTCATGTCAGTAGTCATATGTATTTTCACCTAAATACCACTAGGTGGCACTAACCGGCCTATGCCCAAGAGTTGGTTGACTAATGAATTGAATGCCAGGGACGATATGAAAGGCAGAGAGAGGTCCTTTGGGGTTTATGATGAAGCACACCCATGCACTTTACTTTTGAGTTGATAGGTTATAAGATATGTCAGGTTTCCACCAATTCGTTTGACCACAGATAAATAAAATACTGATGGCGCTGGTAGGTGAAATGCTGCATGCCAAAAGATTATGGGCAATACAAGTAGGCTAGTGAACAACAGCCAAGAGTTTCTATTGCATTTGTAAAAACGTTTCGTTTTTATATAATCTAGAGAACTGCACAATGAGTGGTTGGGCAATAGGGTCGCTGGCGCGTTATGGTCGAGATGGCTGCAGGAGCCCCGCAGACCTTCCCTGCTTGTGCTGTGCTTAATTTGTGTTGAATATTCTCTGATGCTGGTCACTCACTCATCATGCCTGGGCGCTATGAGGGCCAACCTTGTGAGGGCGGATGAAAACCGCTGCACAGCTATGAAAACTGCGGGCGGAAGTAGCTAGCAGATTATGTGTAAAAGCTGCCAAAGAAAAACAGTGAGCAGGATAAAAACAACCATTTTAGTTAGCAATTTAAGTCGCTAATTAGTTAGGTTGATACTTGTTGCTTTTATGGATTTTCTTTGAACTTGCTTTCTTGCTTGCCTTACATTTTTTTGCGAGCAAATGGAGCGTTTGCTAACGTTAGCTAGTAAGCGTCCTTTTCATGTTTCCTGGTGACGAGCGACAAGACTGAGTGTTTTGTCAATTAACCATCTTTCTGGATCATTCAATACTTATGTTTATAATTGTTTTGAAATGCTGGGAGCTAACTGCCATGTCTATTTTTGTTAGCTAACTTCATGACCGCTATGGCTCCAGCAGCAGCTGGCACCACTGGCTCCAAAGTGTAATGACACGGCGGTTGGGCATAACGTAGCTGGAGCTCGCTGGTTTTGCCGCTTGGCAGCGGAAACATATTTTCACTCAAACACCCTAGCTACGTTTTCATTATACACGACCCTTGTGGTGCACAGATACGATGGCAAACAGCACTCGAACGAAGAATGAGAATTCTATCATGGAAAGCCCAAGCGCAAGCCCCCTGTCCGGTAGGAAAAAGGCACAACAGTCCCCTGGGTCTCGCTCAAGGTACCATGTCAGTGCACCCGGACATTGTTTTAGGAAAGTGACTCTCACCAAACCAACGTTCTGCCACAACTGCAGTGATTTCATATGGGGTCTTATCGGATTCATTTGTGAAGGTAGGTTGGTTTACATGAGACGTGACAGTTGTTTTTGTTTATTCACTTGATCAGACCATTTGAGTTGAAACGGCTCAACTGAAATGTAAAATGTGCTTGACATTGGGGAATTTACCCAGAATTGTTGAATGCACAACTGAAGCATTTTGAGGTTGACGTAATGCGTATAGGTTCTAAACTTGTCTAGATATTGTCGCCGTGTACAGTATGGCATGTTCATAGAGCAGTACTCAGTGTGTCATAGGCTAGAGGAAGAGCTGTATGTGTGTAGTAACGTTGTGTGCGTGTCTGTTTGTGTGTGTGTGTGTGTGTGTGTGTGAAAGATGCCTTGTCGCTGTGTGTCCAATGAGTTTGTGTGTGTAAAAATGTTTCACTGCAGCCTGTAGGCCTATGCCGTTATCATGCATAGACTGGCATTATGATGCTATCAATGAATGTAAATTCAGTAAAGTCCCTCTCCTTTACTCCATGATGTGTCCATCATGGTTGACATCTGAAAAGGTATCTCCCATGAACATGTGAATATAACATGTAGGAAACGAAGCAATCCCTAGCCTTACACTGAAGCATAGGGACAGCACAGCAGCATTGCACAACAGCATAAGACGATGGACAGCACCCAGTGTTACCAGGCAGAGCGAAGGAAGGGAAACGCAAAGTCTCTGTTGCGCAATCAGCTACAGACAAGTCGTGATATACTTTAACTGGTCGGCATGGCAACAGGGGACTGGATGCTCGAGAGCAACAAAAAAAAGCTAAACACCCTAGACATGGCATAAGAAATATATATAATGCTACAATGGTGCTATATTTTTGACTTATGTGCATTCTTAAATGCTGTAACAGCCTATTTGTTAATGTGTCAAATGTGAAGCATAGACTGCATGTCGCCTCCATGAAGGTGGATGCGATCATGCACTCTTGTTGTTAGACAGCTTGTCTTATTAGAACATTTGTTCCTGTGCCATCTAGCCCAAGCCCATAATATCTCAGTAGATATGTTGTGCTGCTTATGGCCTGGTACAAACAGAAGGACCTGACAGATATGCAGTCTCTTTGATGTTCTTCAGAGATTGCAATGGATGGACAAGGACTTGAGCCTTACCAGCTGAGGTCCACTGCTCCTTTCCCACTGGGCACAGATGTCAATTCAACGTCTATTCCACGTTGGTTCAAAGTAATTTAATTGAAATGACGTGGAAACAACGTTGATTCAAGCAGTGTGTGCCCAGTGAGTTGTGACAAACTAATGCTCCTTTCAACAAAGTTTGAATATAGACCCGAGCCATAACCTTGTCAGGAACCACATTCAGTAGCACTTTCTATAAACCACAAGTACAGTTGAAGTCGGAAGTTTACCTACACTTAGGTTGTCATTAAAACTCGTATTAAAACTTGTTTTTCAACCACTCCACAAATGTCTTGTTAACAAACTATAGTTTTGGCAAGTTGGTTAGGACATCTACTTTGTGCATGACACAAGTAATTTTTCCAATAATTGTTTACAGACAGATTATTTCACTTATAATTCACTGTATCACAATTCCAGTGGGTCAGAAGTTTACATACACTAAGTTGACTGTGCCTTTAAACATCTTGGAAAATTCCAGCAAATGATGTCATGGCTTTAGAAGCTTCTGATAGGCTAATTGACATCATTTGTGTCAATTGGAGGTGTACCTGTGGATGTATTTCAAGGCCTACGTTCAAACGCAGTGCCTCTTTGCTTGACATCATGGGAAAATCAAAAGAAATCAGCCAAGACCTCAGAATAAAAATTGTAGACCTCCACAAGTATGGTTCATCCTTGGGAGCAATTTCCAAACGCCTGAAGCTACCACGTTCATCTGTGCAAACAATAGTGCGCAAGTATAAACACCATGGGACCACGCAGCCGTCATACCGCTCAGGAAGGAGACGCGTTCTGTCTCCTAGAGATGAACGTACTTTGGTGCGAAAAGTGTAAATCAATCCCAGAACAACAGCAAAGGACCTTGTGAAGATGCTGGAGGAAACAGGTACAAATGTATCTATCTCCACAGTAAAATGAGTCCTATATCGACATAACCTGAAAGGCGGCTCAGCAAGGAAGAAGCCACTGCTCCAAAACCACCATAAAAAAGCCAGACTACGGTTTACAACTGCACATGGGGACAAAGATTGTACTTTTTGGAGAAATGTCCTCTGGTCTGATGAAACAAAAATAGAACTGTTTGGCCATAATGACCATCGTTATGTTTGGAGGAAAAAGGGGGTTGCTTGCAAGCCGAAGAACACCATCCCAACCGTTAAGCGCGGGGGTGGCAGCATCATGCTGTGGGGGTGCTTTGCTGCAGGAGGGACTGCTGCACTTCACAAAATAGATGGTATCATGAGGAAGGAAAATTATGTGGATATATTGAGGCAACATCTCAAGACATCAGTCAGGAAGTTAAAGCTTGGTCGCAAATGGGTCTTCCAAATGAACAATGACCCCAAGCATACTTCCAAAATTGTGCAAAATGGCTTAAGAACAACAAAGTCAAGGTATTGGAGTGGCCATCACAAAGCCCTGACCTCAATCCTATAGAACATTTGTGGACAGAACTGAAAAAGTGTGCGCAAGCAAGGAGGCCTACAAACCTGACTCAGTAACACCAGCTCTGTCAGGAGGAATGGGCCAAAATTCACCCAACTTATTGTGGGAAGCTTGTGGAAGGCTACCCAAAACATTTGACCCAAGTTTAACAATTTGAAGGCAATGCTACCAAATACTAATTGAGTGTATGTAAACTTCTGACCCACTTTGAATGTGATGAATGAAATAAAAGCTGAAATAAATAATTCTCTCTACTATTATTATGACATTTCACATTCTAAAGTGGTGATCCTAACTGACATAAAACAGGGAATTTGTACTAGGATTAAATGTCAGGAATTGTGAAAAACTGAGTTTAAATGGATTTGGCTGAGGTTTATGTAAACTTCCGACTTCAACTGTAGGTCTATTGTAATGCACCATGACTGCCACAACTGTGTCCATCTGGGTGACACTGAGAATCAGATTTTCACTTAAAAATGTATGTAAAAAAACAACAACAACAACAACAATGATTGCAAAGTTAAACAAAGCATACAACTCTATGTACAAGGACCACTTTTAACAATTTCCATAGAAAATGTTACAAAAAACATTTACTTAAAGTTGTATGTTTAAACAATTTTTTTGTTGCAATAATTTTTTGGGGTTTGGCATAAATGTTAAAGTAAAAAAATCTGATTCTCATAGTCACTCGGTTACCGTAGAATTGCCCATCTATAAAGACTATTACGAATACTTAGCAAGTATTATAATGCATTATTGGATGAAGGCATTACTAATGCATTTACAGTACATTAACCTATACAAAGGTAGTTTATAGACAGTGTAACACCAAAACCTCATTACAAGAAATGAATGGTACTTTGGAAAGCCTAGTTACTGACACTCCAAAGATGAATTGACTAATTGACTGACTCTGGTGTCTCCTCCCACCCCTAGTGTGTAACTTTATGTGTCATGAGAAGTGCCTGAAGACTGTGAGGACTGTCTGTTCATGCATGGCCCCGACGCTGGTGCGGGTGAGTGACAGCACAAAGTTAAACTGCACTATCACTGCTTGTGATCAGATGGATGACTGCATGCTCCTGGTTAGTGCATGCTAGCCCGACAATCCTTCGGCATGGTCTTTTTGGTCATATTCCTTTTTTGTCCATTTGTGAACTCCAGGTCCCTGTCGCCCATTGCTTTGGTCCAGCAGGGCAGAAAAAGAGATTCTGCTGTGTGTGTCGAAAACATCTGGAGGGAAACACAGCCATTCGCTGTGAAGGTTGGTTTTCAAGAGCTTTCACAACATACAGTATCACACCAGTATCACAATGTACTTGCAACGTATGGCCAAAGTGTTGCAGGTTTACTTAGTAGAAGTGTGCAGGTCATCATGTTGCATATGGAAGCTAAACCTCAACGTATGTGTACATAGGCTACATTGGACAGTAAACACACAAGTGTACACACCCAAAGTAGATTTTAAATACACTCCCCTCCATATGTATTTAGACAGTGATACTAAAATATTACATTACTATACTCCAGCATTTTGGATTTGAAATCAAATGTTTCATATGAGGCGACAGTATCACCTTTTATCATACAGTGAGGGAAAAAAGTATTTGATCCCCTGCTGATTTTGTACGTTTGCCCACTGACAAAGAAATGATCAGTTTATCATTTTAATGGTAGGTTTATTTGAACAGTGAGAGACAGAATAACAACAAAAAAATCCAGAAAAACGCATGTCAAAAATGTTATAAATTGATTTGCATTTTAATGAGGGAAATAAGTATTTGACCCCCTCTCAATCAGAACGATTTCTGGCTCCCAGGTGTCTTTTATACAGGTAACGAGCTGAAATTAGGAGCACACTCTTAAAGGGAGTGCTCCTAATCTCAGTTTGTTACCTGTATAAAAATACACCTGTCCACAGAAGCAATCAATCAATCCGATTCCAAACTCTCCACCATGGCCAAGACCAAAGAGCTCTCCAAGGATGTCAGGGACAAGATTGTAGACCTACAATTTGTAAAGTCACAAGCTTGATGTAGTCATTGAATGCTAGGAATATGGGACCAAATACTCAACTTTTGACTACTTTAATACACTAAGTGAAATTTGTCCAAATACTTACGACATCTTCAAATGGGGGGACTAGATCTATAAAGTGCTTTCACTTCTAAACAGTAAATCAGATATGTATGAAAAGACCCTCAAATAAAAGGTAACATTCTGTACTGTCACCTAATATGAAACAATTTATCTCAAATCCAAACTGCAGTAGTAGGGGAGTGTACTTTTACATTTTAGTCATTTAGCAGACGCTCTTATCCAGAGCGACTTACCGTAGTGAGTGCATACATTTTCGTACATGACATTCAAACTGTATTTTAAACTTCCTTGGGGGAAATCTAACTGGGAGCTGGTCCATCAGTCATAGTAGTGACCGAAGTAATATAACCTCTGTTTTCGGTTTCAGTTTGTGAGCTGCATGCCCACTCAGACTGTGCTGCGTTCAGTTGTGGTGACTGTCGTCTCTGCCACCAGGATGGGAGTCAGGACATTGTAAGTATCTCAAGCCTTCTGTCTTAAAGGTGTATTGTGTTCACAACTTTTAATTTAATGTTAATTCAGCAAACCAAAATTGGTTATTTGAAAGTTCCCTGAACATTTATTAGGTTGCGGCAAATGTTCTCATAACACAAAAACTGTCCAGTTGTGCTGATGATTATACAAAGTTTGTATGAAACATTCGACTGATGTTGCAAGAACATTCCCAGAACACATTTTGTCTGTTCTTTAAATGTCCCCAGAATGTTTCATTAGGTTGTTGGAACAGTGTGGTGGGAAAATTGTGGGGACATCACAAAATATATGTTCCCAAAACACAAACAACTATCCAGTTGTGCTAATGATTACAATGTTTCTAATAGGTTAAAAAAAAAACATTTGCCTGAAATATTTTTTTATGTTCTTAAAAAGTTCCTAAAAAAGTATTTAGGTTGTGGGACATTGTGGGGATATGACAAGAGAGAGGTTCCCAAAACACTAAAACGGATCAGTTGTGCTGACATTCAGATAATGTTTGTATCAGGGTGCACAAAACATTCCTTTGATGTTGCAAGAATGTTAACAGAACAGCTGTTCTGAGTTCTTTAACGGTTCCCAGAGAACACAGTGGCCTCCATTATTCTTAAATGGAAGAAGTTTTGAACCACCAAGACTCTTCCTAGAGCTGGCCGCCCAGCCAAACTGAGCAATCGGGGGAGAAAGGCCTTGGTCAGGGAGGTGACCAAGAACCCGATGGTCACTCTGACAGAGCTCCAGAGTTCCTCTGTGGAGATGGGAGAAACTTCCAGAAGGACAACCATCTCTGCAGCACTCCACCAATCAGGCCTTTATGGTAGAATGGCCAGACGGAAGCCACTCCTCAGTAAAAGGCACATGACAGCCCGCTTGGAGTTTGCCAAAAGACACCTAAAGAGTCTCAGACCATGAGAAACAAGATTCTCTGGTCTGATGAAACCAAGATTCAACTCTTTGGGCTGAATGCCAAGCTTCATGTCTGGAGGAAACCTGGCACCATCCCTACGGTGAAGCATGGTGGTGGCAGCATCATTCTGTGGGGATGTTTTTCAGCGGCAGGGATTGGGAGACTAGTCAGGATCGAGGGAAAGATAAATGGAGCAAAGTACAGAGAGATCCTTGATGAAAACCTGCTCCAGAGCGCTCAGGTCCTCAGACTGGGGTGAAGGTTCACCTTCCAACAAGACAACGACCCTAAGCACACAGCCAAGACAACGCAGGAGTGGCTTCGGGACAAGTCTCTGAATGTCCTTGAGTGGCCCAGCCAGAGCCCGGACTTGAACCCAATCAAACATCTCTGGAGAGACCTGAAAATAGCTGTGCAGCGACGCAAAGTACTGGGTAAAGGGTCTGAATACCTATGTAAATGTGTTATTTCAGTTTTTGATTTTTTATAAATTTGCACACATTTCTAAAAACCTGTTTTTGCTTTGTCATTATGGGGTATTGTGTGTAGATTGATGAGGGGAATTTTTTTTTAAATCCACTTTAGAATAAGGCTGTAATGTAACAAAATGTGGAAAAAGTCAAGGGGTCTGAATACTTTCTGAATGTACTGAGTGTACAAAACATAAGGAAATCCACTAGAGACATTAGATGGTTAAATAAAAATAAAAAAGCTTTGAATATCCCTTTTGAGCATGCTGAAGTTATTAATTACACTTTGGATGGTGTATCAATACACCCAGTCACTGCAAAGATACAGGTGTCCTTCCTAACTCAGTTGCCGGAGAGGAAGGAAACCGCTCAGGGATTTCACAATGAGGCCAATGGTGACTTTAAAACAGTAACAGAGTTTAATGGCTATGATATATTCCAAAATGTGCATCGTGTTTGCAACAAGGCACTAAAGTAATACTGCAAAATCCTATAGGAACACATGGTTCAGTCTGCTTTCCTCCTGACACTGGGAGATGAATTCACCTTTCAGCAGGACAATAACCTAAAACACAAGGCCAAATCTACACTGGAGTAGCTTACCAAGAGGACAGTAAATGTTCCTGAGTGGCCGAGTTATAGTTTTGTCTTAAATCTACTTGAAAATCTATGGCAAGACCTGAAAATGTAAGTCGCTCTGGATAAGAGCGTCTGCTAAATGACGTAAATGTAAATGTAAAATGGCTGTCTAGCAAAGATCACAACCAATTTGACAGAGCTTGACAAATGTTGCACAATCCAGGTGTGGCAAGCTCTTAGAGACTTACCCAGAAAGACTCACAGCTGTAATCACTCTTCTACAAAGTATTGACTCGGGTGTGAATACTAATGTAAATTAGATATTTCTGTATTTCAGTTTCAATACATTTGCAAAAATGTCTAAAAACACATTTTCACTTTGTCATTATGGGGTATTTTGTGTAGATGGGTGAGAAAACAAATCTATTTAATCCATTTTGAATTCCGGCTGTGACACAACAAAATGTGGAATAAGTCAAAGGGTATGAATACTTTTTGAAGGCACTGTATGTTTGGACAATACCTTAATAAAATATAATGACGTAAGAATATTGTCACGATCGTTACAGGAAGCGGACCAAGGCGCAGCGTGTGAAACAAACATGACTTTATTTAATTAAAGTATCAAACAAAACACGACTCGTGAAGTCCACGGTTAACAATACCGACACGGAACAAAAACCCACAACACCCAAGGGAAAAGATACAGTTTAAATATGGCTCCCAATCAGAGACAACCAGCAAACAGCTGACACTCGTTGCCTCTGATTGGGAGTCACATCGTCAAACATAGAATAAAACAAACTAGAATACCCAACATAGAAAATGAACACATAGAATGAACACACCCTGGCTCAACATATAGAGTCCCAGAGCCAGGGTGTGACAAATATTGAAATGACATTTGTTTAAAAGTTTGTCAACATCATATAATAATGTTACATTACACATACATATTGGCAGAACATTGCAGCAATGTTTTCAGAACTACTTCCGTTATCATTGAAGTATGTTTTTAGAATTTCTTTGGATCATCATGTCTTAACCTTACATAATAACTTTATAAGAGTCTCACAGGACTGTTTCCTTTTTGTTGTTATAGGTGTTAGTAGTAATGTCTCCATCAACATTCGCTGAATATTCCAGGACTGTTTTTTTTTGTTGAACAAATTCTATTGCTCCAACATTTTATGACTGAAGTATGTTCAGGGAACGTTATTAGAACCATCATGTGATAACGTCACACTATAACTTTTTGAGACCATTGTAGGAATATTCCCTGCTTGTTGTTATAGGTGTTTTAAATAACATCATCAACATTAGCAGAACGTTCCTGTAATGTTTCCTCAGAACCACTTCTATTGCTCCAACATTTGGTTGCAGCAGTATGTTCTAAGAACATTACTGGAATGTGTTAATATGTTCCCTGGCAACCTAATGAGAACCTTAGGGGAATGTTCTGTGGTAGTTTTTACAGATTTTGTGAACCACATTTTAGTGAATGTTAGAAGAAGATTCCAAGGATATTTCATTTCAAGCATTTTCTTAGAAACATTATTTGGGAATGTTTTAATTCTAATGTTAGAAAAACCTTAACTAGAACTTAGTGGGAATCTTAGGTAATGTTCTGGGAATGTTCCCGGTTTGCTGGGAATTATATACTCATTAGGCCAAGAGGCAAAACAGAAGACTAGTGCAAGGGTAGCACTTTTGAGGCAAAATTTAAGTTACAGATTGTAGCTTTAACACTTATCACCTGCCTCTGTCAGGGGAGGAATCGTCTTGAGCCAAAGAGTTCCATGAGCAAGCACACTGAAACGACGTGAGAGATATTACTGCTGTGCTGAGCAATATCAAATATGTTTGGAAGTTTGGTCCAGTCAGATCTACATAAAAGCAAATCCAGAAGGATAATGAGTGTCTTCCGATGTGGTGACTAATTCATTTATTGCTTTTTGACCCACCTCTCTCTCTGTCTCCTTTTCTATCCTCTTGTCCTAGGATACGCTTCACCACCACTGGCGGGAGGGAAACATCCCCTCAGGTGCACGCTGTAAGGTCTGCCGACGCACCTGTGGCTCCTCGGACGTCCTGGCGGGAATGCGGTGTGAGTGGTGTGGTATTACGGTAAGACTCAAAACGACAACAAAAGTACCGCCACTAAAGAACAACTATAGTAAATAATGCGTTTGTTTCATCCTTTGCAGACACACGCTGCCTGTTATGTCATCGTGCCACCAGAGTGTGACCTAGGACGGCTACGTAGCATGCTCCTTCACCCTGCTTGCGTGCGAATATGCTCGCGGAACTTCAGCAAGATGCACTGCTACCGCATCTCTGAGAGCTGCCAGAATGAGCTGGGTAAGCTTGTGGTCTCCACCAATGTTCCCTCTAAGCTACGCGTGTGCGCGCAGTAGCCCCGATATTGCCACGCAGCTCCCCCCGGGACTGCCGCGCAGAGGAAATATCAGCCCACAGAGAAAAGCACGAGATGTCACCTCCTTATCTGAAGGACAAGTGGATAAATGTCAAGCCCTGCATGTTTTCTTTCAAAAGTCTCATGGAATGTAGGCCTACATTGAACACCACACATTGGCTGCTACTGTAGGCTGAATGATAGTCAGATATTTCCATGTAAAAATGTTGTGGGATGCATTTTCTCCATTGTTTTTGATGGTAGGCCACTCTGGTAGGCCTACATTATGATCAAATAGCCACAGTAGGCTACATGGCCACTGTTAACACTAACTTAAAGTGGGTACAGCCTCAGTGTTCATAGTAAACGTGCGCTGGAAGTTGCACAGACCTGACATTTGCTCAGTACTGAATTTTAGGGAACATTGGCCTCCACCACCCATTACCCCTCCCCACCCCCCTACCCAAAGCCACATCCTCTCAGCAACTGTTTCACACTCAGACATTACCTGAACAAACATATATAGACAGTGTGCACACAAAAAATATACACATTGGAAAGTAAATTAAGAAAGCAATAAAATATAACTGAATGGCTGAGTTTCCATTCTGAAAATGTGAGACGTAGGCCTAATTCATTCTCCGACAATACCACACAGTCAACTTTTCATTCCCTTTGTAAAAAGTCTTACTTGGGCACCTAGGCTGTCAGGAATGACATCTGCCTTTGAGCAAGTGTCAACTTGTCGTTGGGTTTCTTATTCTATGTTAGACTAGATGAATCACTAGTCAGTTGTCAAGCAAGATGAGCAACGGTAAACTGTGCTTGGCTTTGAAATTAAAAAGGCACCCATGTTTCAGACAGTTTCATTTTTACATTTTTAGTCATTTAGCAGACGCTAAATGGCATCCATGTTTCAGACAGTTTTTAGTCATTTAGCAGACGCTAAATGGCATCCATGTTTCAGACAGTTTCATTTTTACATTTTTAGTCATTTAGCAGACGTGCTTATCCATAGCAAGTTACAGTAGTGAGTGCATACATTTTCAGGATTTTTTTGTACTGGTCCCCCTTGGGAATCGAACCCACAACCCTGGCGTTGCAAGCGCCATATTCTACCAACTGAGCCACACAGGACACCAACTGTGTGTAAACAATGTGTGTAAACAATGGGAAAACTGTGGGAAAACAAATGCAACGTTAATTATATTTCCTCATTGTTTGCCTTCACGTACCTATACTTGACCTTTGCTTCATCAGATAACTTGGACGAAGTTGACACCCAGATTCCAGCACCTACAAAGGAGAGCCAGCCGGCAACCGCAGTGGATTCAGGTACGTACAGGATGAGTTGTCACATTGTGTATTTGGCCACTAATGTTTCCCTGTGATCATTGAAATCACATCTAAACCTATACGATTATTCCCATGTTTCAACTATAAAAGAGAGTCCCTAATGTTTCTGTTGGAAGTTATTTTGTGGTGCTTTAACTGTGTGGGCTATTTGGAGCATGACACTGAGCTGACAGGGGTCCTACCGCTCCCAATGTTCAGCAGCATTTGCTAATGCTTAGTAATCTATCCTAATCCTAATTATACAGGTCCATAGAACTGACCACGTTTGTCTAAATAGTGTGTTTTTTTTGCAAACTCCAGGGAAGCAGGTTCTCAAGGTGTTTGATGGGGTCGATGCAGTCAAGCGCAGCCACTTCCGTTTGGTCTCCATTCCTCGGATAACCAAGAATGAGGAAGTGGTGGTGAGATTCTCCCCATTCCCTAAAATGGATTAACACTGGATTAATTCCATTTTTTTTCTGGCATTAAGTGCTTAATTGTTTTTAGAGTGCTTTTTTTTTTTTGAATGCTTAGCAGGACAGGAAAATTGTCCAATTCACGCCCATATCAAGAGAATATCCCTCGTCATCCCTACTGCCTCTGATCTGGCGGACTCTCTAAACACGCATGCTTCGTTTGTAAATTAGGTCTGAGTGTTGGAGTGTGCCGCTGGCTATCCATACATTTAAAAAACAAGAAAATGATGCCGTCTGGTTTGTTTAAATTAAGAAATTTGAAATGATTTATATTTTAGCAATTACATTTACTTTCGATACTTAAGTATATTTAAAACCAAATACTTTACTGGGTGACTTTCACTTTTACTTGAGTCATTTTCTATTAAGGTATCTTTACTTTACTGACAATTGGGTACTTTTTCCACCACTGACTATGTGAAGTGTATAAGTACTACTGGTCAGTAGAATCAGGTCAGGTGTGTTGAAGCCTGCACACCCAATAGGTCTCTCCAGGAGGAGGATCACTGATCTAATCCCTGTCTGCAGGAGTCAGCGTTGAGGACCTTCTACATCCCAGATGACTCGCTGGACTACGAGCTCCAAGACAACGGCCAGCAGGCTCTACACCACAACGACATCCTCAACCGTAACGGCACCCCCGACGAAAGGGCCATCTTTAAGGAGAATGTGCCCGAGGCGTGGCTCCTAAGGGCCAAACCCCAGGAGACAGAGGTCCTCAAGATTTACGCCGGCTGGCTCAAGTGAGTACTGCTGGGGGACAATACTTAGTCATTGGGCAAATCTCAAATGACTATTCCCTAAATAGTGCATTACTTTTTGACCAAATCCTTTGCTGATACAAATTAGTTGTTCCCATGGTAAAAGTTTCCCTCATACCATACCTCTATCTCCCATCTCTACTGCCTGGCTCTGTTTACAGGGTTGGCGTGGCGTACATATCGATCTCCATCTCCAAGAACAGCACGGTGGATTCTGTCATTAAGGAGGTCCTCACTCAACTGGGAAGACAGGTACAGCTTACCAGCAGGTCTCCAACATAACACACCCAGTCCACCTTAACTGCAGCTTGGCACAAACCTTGGCACTAGTATTGTTCACAGAAGTTGCAATTAATGGTTGTACTAGAGCAGGGGTGTCAAACTCATTTTAGCTCAGGGGCCACATGGAGGAAAATCTATTCCCAAGTGGGCCGGACCGGAAAAATCATGGTATATATAACTTAAAAACAACAACTTCAGATTGTTGTCTTTGTTTTAATACGATCAACATACAACATAAAGCTGGAGCCTGAGGACAGTGTGTCCAAAATAGTACAAGCACAACATCACTATTAATCATAAAACACGTCAAGTTTATTTGAAAATTCTAAAGAAAAAGAACACACAAACACACAATGCCTCAGTGATTAACATAACTGTTTCACAGATCACAGAACTATATCAGGGTGTCATTTCTCAGGCAGAAATGTAGATAAAAAATAATGAAATCCTGTTCCCCAAACAAGTGCAAGAACCACAGAGTCAAGAATAGGTTAAATATACAAATAAAATAAAAACAATTAAAAACAATAGCACATCAACATAAAAACATATAAACATAAAGCTGGAGCCTGAGGACAGTGTCCAAAAGCACAACATCACTATTAATCATAAAACACCTCAAGTTATTTGAAAGTTCTGAGGACAAAGAACACACAAACACACAATGCCTCAGTGATTCACAGAAGTATATCACAGATCACAGAACTATATCAGGGTGTCATTTCTCAGGCAGAAATGTAGATAAAAATAATGACATCCTGTTCCCCAAACAAGTGCAAGAACCACAGAGTCAAGAATAGGTTAAATATACAAATAAAATAAAATCAATTAAAAACAATAGCACATCAACATAAAAACATATAAACATAAATCTGAAAGCGTTGCTCAAACTCCAGTAACAGTCCCGTTATTTTATCTTTGAACCGCTTCATGTCTGCCACATGTTGGGTCGCGCACACATTTTTCAGACAGGGGAAGTGAGCTGCATCACCACCGGCGAGTTGCGTCTCCCACAATGACAGCTTCAACTTGAAAGAACGTATGCTGTCATAATACTGCGTGACAACTTTGTTGCGCCCTTGCAGCTGTTTGTTGAAGTTATTCAGGTGCTCTGTAACATCCACCATAAATGCAAGGTCCTGCATCCATTCTGCGGAATGAACTGTTCAATTTCTTCTCGTAAATCAAAGAAACGCCTCAGCACAGCACCTCGGCTTAACCATCTTACCCCAGTGTGGTATGGCAGGCCATAGATGTGGTCTTTCTCTCTGAGAAGGCTGTCAAACTGACGGTGATTCAGGCTTCTGGATCGGATGAAATTAACCAGTCCACTCCGACCCTGTCCAGCGCGCAGACGAGTGCGGTAAAAATATCAGCTGCTGTCGTTGTATCTGTCATCGGCACGAACTCCATGAACTCCTCGGTGACGGTCAATGTGTCATCAACTCCGCGGATGAAAATGGCCAGTTGTGCAACATCTGTAATGTCCGTGCTTTCATCAATTGCAACCGAAAACGCAATAAATGACTTTACTTTTTGCTTCAACTGGCTGTCCAAATCCACTGAAAGATCGGAAATCCTGTCTGCAACTGTGTTTCTTGTCAGGCTGATATTTGCAAAAGCCTGCCGCTTTTCAGGGCACACAATCTCCGCTGCCTTCATCATGCATGTTTTTACAAATTCACCCTCACTAAATGGTTTTGAAGCCACTGCGATTTCATTAGCAATGAGGTAGCTAGCTTTCACTGCAGCGTCACTGATGTCTCGGCTGTGAGTAAACACAGACTGCTGTTTCTTCAGACCCGCCAACAGTTCATTCACCTTCTCTCATCTCCGCTGTCCTTGAAAGTTGTCATATTTGTCGGCATGAAGACTCACAAAGTGGCGACGAAGGTTATATTCTTTCAGCACTGCAACATGCTCTGAACACACCAAACATACAGCTTTCCCATTAAATTCCGTGAATAAATAGGATGACCATTTTTCTTGGAACACTCTGCGTCCACTTTTCTCTTTTTTGACAGAGACATATTGGGGCAATGAGGGTGCCAAAGCACATAATGTTAAAAGTAGAAGCCGTAATAAATATCGCGGGCAAAACTCCTGAGTGGCGCAGTGGTCTAAGGCACTGCATCGCAGTGCTAACTGTGCCACTAGAGATCCTGGTTCGAATCCAGGCTCTGTCGCAGCTGGCCGCGACCGGGAGACTCATGGGCGGCGCACAATTGGCCCAGCGTCGTCCAGGGTAGGGGAGGGAATGGCCGGCAGGGATGTAGCTCAGTTGATAGAGCATGGTGTTTGCAACGCCAGGGTTGTGGGTTCGATTCCCACGGGGGGCCAGTATAAAAAATAAAATAATGTATTCACTAACTGTAAGTCGCTCTGGATAAGAGCATCTGCTAAATGACTAAAATGTAAAATGTAAATGTAAAACAAAGTAGCTCATTGGCTGCACGTGCTTGACCTACTTGCTCTGCCCCGGTATAAACAGTTTGCTTGCTTAACACAATTGCTATTGCGCCATCCAGTGGACGCAATTGGAACAGCAGTTTATTTTATTGAAAAATTGCAGCGCATTTTTATACTTTACAAAAATATTATACAATTATTATTATTATTTTATTTTTTTAATCGGCCCGCGGGCCGGATTAAACCCGTTTGCGGGCCTGATCCGGCCCGCGGGCCGGACGTTTGACACCCCTGTACTAGAGACTCCTTTGCTCTGACTGTATAAACGTATCTGTTAATGACAACCCTAGTTCAATACTCTTGTTTGGTGATGCTCTTTTCTCCAGGATGAAGACCCATCAAGCTTCAACCTTGTGGAGGTTTACATGGGCAGTAAGCAAGGTAAGGAAACAGGAAATGGGAAGGTGTCATACCTATACATCAAGGCTGGGTTTTTACATAGCATAAGAAATGTCATACTCTGTTTATATGCCTTCATTACTGTGTCTTATCAAAGTTCACTGACAGTGTGTGTTCTTTCTGTCTCTACATTCAGTTCAGAGACAAGGGCTGACAGGCCAGGAGCTGCTGCTGTACAAACTGCAGGAGATAAGGAAGGTATGAGGAACTTCAACCTAACATTCAAGTTTATGGGTGATTGGGTGTGCATTCGGAAAGTATTCAGACCCCTTCCCTTTTTCCACATTTTATTACGTTACAGCCTTATTCTAAAATGGATTCAATAAAAGGCACATGACAGCCTGCTTGGAGTTTGCCAAAAGGCACCTAAAGGACTCTCAGACCATGAGAAACAAGATTCTCAGGTCTGATGAAACCAAGATTCAACTATTTGGGCTGAATGCCAAGCGTCACGTCTGCAGGAAACCTGGCACCATCCCTACAGTGAAGCATGGTGGTGGCAGCATCATGCTGTAGGGATGTTTTTCAGCGGGCAGGGACTGGGAGACTAGTCAGGATCGAGGGAAAGATGAACGGAGCAAAGTACAGAGAGATCCTTCATGAAACCCTGCTCCAGAGCGCTCAGGTCCTCAGACTGGGGTGAAGGTTCACCTTCCAACAGGACAACGACCCTAAGCACACAGCCAAGACAACGCAGGAGTGGCTTCAGGACAAGTCTCTGAATGTCCTTGAGTGGCCCAGCCAGAGCCCGGACTTGAACCCGATCGAACATCTCTGGGGAGATCTGAAAATAGCTGTGCAGCGACGCTCCCCATCCAAGCTGACAGAGCTTGAGAGGATCTGCAGAGAATAATGGGAGAAACTCCCTAAATACAGGTGTGCCAAGTGTTGTGTCATATTCGAGGCTGTAATCGGTGCCAAAGGTGCTTCAAAAAAAGTACTGACTAAAGGGTCTGAATACTTATCTAAATGTGATAAACTTCTAAAAACCTGTTTTTGGTTTGTCATTATGAGGTATTGTGTGTAGATTGATGAAGAAAAATAACTATTTAATCAATTTTAGAATAAGGCTGTGACGTAACAAAATGTGGAAAAAGTCAAGGGGTCTGAAGACTTTCCGAATGCACTGTATGTGTGTGTAGGTGTTTACGAACAGGTATGTGTGTTTATCTGTGTATTTTTGTTCCTGACAGATCTCCCTAAGGCAGATGAACCAGACCCGTTTCTACATAGTGGAGAGCAGGAAGCAGGTTGTCCAGGTCCACCTGCTGCTAGAGGGACTGCCTGTACAGCTGAGCAAGGAGGAATATGCAGACCTGCTACAGGAGCACTTAGCTATCAAGAGTGAGTCGACACACATCAGATCACCATGCTGCTCCTTTGCTAGAATTAAAACGGACAGAATCCCACGGTATTCAGTGTTATCCCCCTTTCATTCCGATTACCCCAGAGATCCTCCTGAACATTTCCCTTGAAATGGACTATAGTTGATTTAAATGTGATTAGTACTGTTGTTAACTGACTAGATGTGAATCTGCTCTCCTCTTCACCCCTGCTCCATAGGTCACTTGGTCACCATCACACATGTTTACGGGAGCCAAGGTGGGTACGTCGCCATGGAAACAGCCAGTGGAGCACCACCTTCCCTTCTCCACCCCCCTCCATCTCATCCCACTCTCTAATCCTGCTGTCCCTTCCCTCTCATCCTACTCTTTTCTCCCCACAATCCCCTCCCTGACCCCCTCCCTGTGCCCTCATTCCACATCATCCCCATTCAGTACACACAGGCTTTAGTTGGCTCTGAAACAGACAGCCTGTTCTGGGTTGTATGTCCCTGCTTGACACTGCTCAAGTCACTGCTCTGTTGCTGCAGGCCACTGCAGCAGGATCCTGCCCCATTCAGTGTTACATAAGCCTCTTTCTTACAGACTGTGAGTGTCCCACTGCAGCTGCCACTTCCCAAGAGCTAAATGGTCCATTTATATCAAGCCTGCTGTATGACCCACATCCATTGATCTTGTGATGTCTTTATTATAATAAACAATTTATTTGTGGAGAACGTTTGATGCATTATATCCAAAGTACTAAATGTCGTCATAACATTGAATGTGTGCCAGTCTGGGCTATATGAGATATCCTATTTACAGGGCTTGTTATGCAACGTCACATTGTGAGTTCATCGATCATGAGGTTTGCTTGTCTGCCTGAGTTGCAGGTGCAGTAGTGGTGCAGATATCATGTTTCTCTGAGGCTGAGAGGATCTACATGTTAGCCAAAGACACGTCTGTCAGCAACCAGCAGCTGACCTCCCTAGTCATACCAGAGATTATGGTAATACTGCATCAATGTGAAGTAAACAATCCCAGATCCCAGTTGAATGTGTAATTTATGTGAACTAAACTTTTAAAGAAGATGGCTTGCTTTACTCCATTGACAATGCTGCTGTTGTAACTCTCCTGCAGCACAACAAGTTGCCCAAAGGTGGCTCGCCCCTACTGGTGTTTGTCAACCCCAAGAGCGGCGGGCTGAAGGGCCGAGAGCTTCTCTATGGCTTCCGGAAGCTTCTGAACCCCCACCAAGTGTTTGACATGACCAACGGGGGACCATTGCCTGGGTGAGACAAATGGTGGTTAGCCACATTCAGCAGGGTAATGTCAGAGCTGTTGTGTTTGTAGAAGGGGGGTCTATGTTGTGCAATGTTTTTTTCCACTAGGTCTTTCGAAAGAGTTTTGTCTACTATGTATGTTAGTTAGCCATGACACGGACACAAAGAAATTAGCCAACCAACGAATACATGATTGACTTTAAATATATATGTTGTAGAAAATAATAGAAACATTATTATTTGTGTAAGAGATATATCTAACTAGCTAACTAGGCTACAATTCTAACCAATTAAATAAACACCTTATCTCTTTTATTTTTGTATGTTCTTTTTTCTATCCTCCACAGACTGCACACGTTTAGGGAGGTACCCCGCTTCCGGGTTCTGGTGTGTGGGGGAGATGGGACGGTGGGCTGGGTCCTGAGTGTCCTGGAAGCCATCAGACACAAACTGGTCTGTCCCGAGCCCCCCATTGGCATTGTTCCACTGGGCACAGGTGAGAGGGACCCCTGAGGACACACCCTTCTCTTCTAATCACTGTAGTGTGCATATGTTAGCTTTAATCATCTTACATCAGTAGTTGAACTATTGGATATTGGATATTTTTCCCAATAACCCCCCCCCCCCAATGCCTTCCATCAGGTAACGACCTGGCGCGGATCCTGCGCTGGGGGACGGGCTACAGCGGAGAGGACCCCCACCACATCCTGGTGTCTGTAGACGAGGCGGAGGAGGTGCAGATGGACCGCTGGACCATCCTGCTGGATGCACAGGAAGTCACTGAGGACGGCAAGGAGAACGGCTTCCTGGAACCACCAAAGGTACAATCAGATTCATGTAGATATGATTCATATTATAACTATTGCCATTGTTATAACTATAATGCCAAGAGATACAGTTGAAGTCGGAAGTTTACATACACTTAGGTTGGAGTCATTAAAACTCGTTTTTCAACCACCACAAATTTCTTGTTAACAAACTATAGTTTTGGCAAGTCGGTTAGGACATCTACTTTGTGCATGACACAAGTAATTTTTCCAACAATTATTTACAGACAGATTATTTCACTTATAATTCACTGTATCACAATTCCAGTGGGTCAGAAGTTTACATACGCTAAGTTGACTGTGCCTTTAAACAGCTTGGAAAATTCCAGAAAATGATGGCATGGCTTTAGAAGCTTCTGATAGGCTAATTGACATCATTTGAGTCAATTGGAGGTGTACCTGTGGATGTATTTCAAGGCCTACCTTCAACCTCAGTGCCTCTTTGCTTGACATCATGGGAAAATCAAAAGAAATCAGCCAAGACCTCAGAATAAAAATTGTAGACCTCCTCAAGTCTGGTTCATCCTTGGGAGCAATTTCCAAACGCCTGAAGGTACCACGTTCATCTGTACAAACAATAGTACGCAAGTATAAACACCATGGGACCACGCAGCCGTCATACCGCTCAGGAAGGAGACGCATTCTGTCTCCTAGAGATGAACGTACTTTGGTGCGAAAAGTGCAAATCAATCCCAGAACAACAGCAAAGGACCTTGTGAAGATGCTGGAGGAAACAGGTACAAAAGTATCTATATCCACAGTAAAACGAGTCCTATATCGACATAACCTGAAAGGCCGCTCAGCAAGGAAGAAGCCACTGCTCCAAAACCACCATAAAAATGCCTGACTACGGTTTGCAACTGCACATGGGGACAAAGATCGTACTTTTTGGAGAAATGTCCTCTGGTCTGATGAAACAAAAATAGAACTGTTTGGCCATAATGACCATCGTTATGTTTGGAGGAAAAAGGGGGTTGCTTGCAAGCCGAAGAACACCATCCCAACCGTGAAGCGCGGGGGTGGCAGCATCATGCTGTGGGGGTGCTTTGCTGCAGGAGGGACTGGTGCACTTCACAAAATAGATGGCATCATGAGGAAGGAAAATTATGTGGATATTTTGAGGCAACATCTCAAGACATCAGTCAGGAAGTTAAAGCTTGGTCGCAAATGGGTCTTCCAAATGAACAATGACCCCAAGCATACTTGCAAAATGGCTTAAGAACAACAAAGTCAAGGTATTGGAGTGGCCATCATAAAGCCCTGACCTCAATCCTATAGAAAATGTGTGGGCAGAACTGAAAAAGCGTGTGCGAGCAAGGAGGCCTACAAACCTGACTCAGTTACACCAGCTCTGTCAGGAGGAATGGGCCAAAATTCCCCCAATTTATTGTGGGAAGCTTGTGGAAGGCTACCCGACACGTTTGACCCAAGTTAAACAATTTAAAGGCAATGCTACCAAATACTAATTGAGTGTATGTAAACTTCTGACCCACTGGGAATGTAATGAAAGAATTAAAGCTGAAATAAATCATTCTCTCTACTATTATTCTGACATTTCACATTCTTAAAATAAAGTGGTGATCCTAACTGACCTAAGACATGGTATTTTTACTAGGATTAAATGTCAGGAATTGTGATAAACTGAGTTTAAATGTATTTGGTTAAGGTGTATGTAAACTTCCGACTTCAACTGTATATTTAGTTGATGCATGGGTGCACTGGTCGGCGTGGTCATTAAATTACTGCTGGTCTCCCTTGTTGCAGATAGTGCAGATGAACAACTATTTTGGGCTGGGCATCGATGCTGAGCTCAGTTTGGACTTCCACCATGCCCGTGAAGAAGAACCAGGAAAGTTCAACAGCAGGTAGGAGACCACCTCCAGTAAGAAGTTACTTTAAAATATCTCCAAAAAGAGAACATCCCTAAAACGGCTTATCCTTGGTGTGTCTCTATCAGTGGAGGCTGCTGAGGGGGATATGGCTCATAATAATGGCTGGAACGGAGTAAGTGGAATGGCATCAAACACATGGAAACCATGTGTTTGATGTATTTGATACCATTCCACTAATTCCGTCCCAGCCATTATCACTAGCCCATCCTCCCCAATTAAGGTGCCACCAACCTCCTGTGGTATGTAGGTTCCATAACAAAGGTGTGTACCTGAAGGCGGGTCTGCAGAAGCTGAGCCACACACGGAACCTTCACAAGGACCTCAAACTGCAGGTGGACAAACAAGACATAGAACTGCCCAGCATAGAAGGCCTCATCTTCCTAAACATCCCCAGGTAGGAAATACACACACAAACACACACGACTAAACTCTACACACGGCTGACAGTCAGACACTCATGACGCATGACATTCACTTCAAGATGCATGCTCATGAAGAAGAATGGCCTCTCACACTGGCCCCTTACCCACTCAAACCTAAATGTACATAATGATCTGAAACACAGTCAGTACTTACAACTGCGTGTGTGTCTGTGTTTAGCTGGGGCTCTGGGGCAGACCTGTGGGGATCAGAGGGTGACTCGCGCTACGGGAAACCCCGCATTGACGATGGCATGCTGGAGGTGGTGGGGGTGACCGGGGTAGTGCACATGGTGAGTTCATCGCTCACTACTCTTACTCAGTTGAGTACCATGTATGTCCTGATACCACAGAGAGGAGAGAGATCAGCGCTATGGTCCCAGTGTTTCAGAACGTTTTCTCCAGATAGAAATGTAAATAACCGTCATTGATATGTAGTGTATATGTATTGATGTACAGCGTTAAAATCAGGATACCACAAATGCAGTTTGTATACATGTATACAGATATATCTGTGTTGTGTGGTCCAGGGCCAGGTGCAGAGCGGCATGCGCTCTGGGATCCGTCTCGCCCAGGGTAACTACGTGCGTATCACAGTGACCAAGCCCATCCCTGTGCAGGTGGACGGAGAGCCCTGGATACAGGCCCCTGGAAATATCATCATATCTGCAGCAGGCCCAAAGGTAACAGCTTTTTGCTACTATAATGGGACAAATAGTTACAACTTTACTGTGGTATCCTTCACCATGGTTGAAAACCTCCCATACCTTTCTATAAAGTCAAGCGCTGTTAAGCGATCGTGTCCTTGATGCTGTGTTCAGGTGCGGATGCTGAGGAAGTCCAAACACAAGCAGAAGAAGCAGCCTGCCAGCCTGAAAGAGGGGCGATCCGAAAGCCCTTCGTCCAGCGATGGGGGACACTGATGCACCCCCCCCCCCCCCCCCCCCCCCAACACCTGCTCCTTGGTGTCACCATGTGAGCATGGTGGCCTGTTGGCTGCTCTAAACAGCTGTGGCAGGGGCCCGTGTGCCCCATAGGCTCTCAGATGGTTTGCGTAGCTAGCACTGTTAGCTCCTGGAATGGTACATTGATAAAGGAGAAGATGTCACAAGCATTTAGCAGTCCTCTCATTCTCGTCTTACTGCTTATCAGTTTCACCGCTGTTGGGTTCGGTTGCCCCAGTTAGGATCATTCACATTAGCTTCCTGTCTGATTTGTTAGTTTGTTTTATTTTGCAGTCCTTCAGAGTTGGTATGGCCTGGTATATATCATAGACAAATACATGGTAACAATTGGCCATGGTATTATCTGGTACTATAGCATTTGGTACCAGATGGTTAAAATGAGTCCCCAAGAAACTGAGAGGTGTTTATGAATAACATATAATTACTCTGTTACCATGTAATATCAAAGTAAATACCAGACGGTAAAATAAAGTGTAATTGTTGCTTTTTCAAAGTTCAGACATCAAACTGCTTGACAGTCACTTGCTGGATTAACATCAAATAGTCTAGTACTTGGTAAACAGTCTAGTACTTGACAAACAGTCTAGTACTTGACAAATAATCTAGTACTTTGTTTACAAAGTACTACTACTAATGTAAAACAACAACTTGCCAAAGTCAAAATGCTTACGAGTAGTATATTAGAGTGAAAAAAACTCACTATTCGCCAAAACCACACTGGCCATTCAATAACAATTCTAGGAAGTGGATGTGAGACATTGCATGTTATGTAATACGTACATTTTTCATTAAATTGTAATACTTTGAGGAAGATCAATATTCCAAGTGTAGACTTACGACAGTAGCCTCAGAAATATGCACATCCGCACACACAAACACATCTTAATATTCAGTTAGTCCATACTCAAGTCTGTAGCCAATTTCCTCTAATTGTTTATAACCTGTCTGTAGCAGTCACCCTCGCTGCAGAATATGTACTCACCAACACTTAATGCCTCACAAATGTATTCCAAACATAAGCATCATTGGGTTTGAATGGAATCATGACTTGAATGTTGCACTCCATTCGTTGTATTACATATCTCTGTTGCTGCTCATTTTTTGTAGCTGATGGAATGAATGCAGGGAGGAGACCACCAGCCAATACTAAATATGCATTATAAACTTAGAGAGACTTGTATTGGATTTCTCCAGTCATTTGCTTGGCTTAGAGATCATGTTTCATCCATAGTAGAGATGGTACACCTGAGTACCCGTTCTCTAGTTGTCAGCACTTCGTCCGCATTCCTGGTGATATAGAATTGACAAGAAATGCAATCATGAAATGACTCCTTCATATGAAGGAGGATCTCATTTTTTACACTCCAGCACGTGATGTAGCCGGAACAGTATTTTATTGATTCTGTTTTTTTTTATATCAAAGTCTTTGTATGTAAGTTGACTCACTTTTGTGACTTGGTGCTAGTGTGTAGCAAAACATTTGAATCTTTCACTCCACTAGCAGCTTTGGGCCCTATTCAATTAAAGCTGGTAAGCTGGTGTGGTGGTTGAGTCAGAATCTGCAGGCCTTTTATGCAGTGTGAAAGCATTTGAATTGACATGCAGTTGATGTTCTTGATTTTGAATACAGAAATTCCAACGTGCGTTGACAGCTAACTGGGCTTGAATGAATAGGGTCCTAGACTGTTGGGTCATCATGGCCCATTAGAAACTCACTGTGGTGATTTCACCTGTGGTTCCTCATTGGCCGTGTTCCAATCCTCGTAAGAGCTTCCTTTCCTTGTCCCCTCTCCTTACTGACCACTAGTAAATGAAAGGATTGGATAGATATTCACCATATACCATAGTTTCACCTGTCAAGTCAAGAGACTTATGACAAGGACATGAACCCATTTTAGACTGAGGGGACACAGCTATTGTGTTGTGAAATGCATGTACAGTCAACATCCTGTTTAAAAGAAAACCGTGAGTAAACATAGTGATGTTTTTAGCTGTAATATGAGAATGTCCATGTTTATTCCATTTAGAGGCATAAAGTGTTTCTGTGAATACAGTATGTAAAGATAAGGATTGGTTTTAGATCAGTATGTATCTTTGGTATATCTTTGGTGTCAATGGTCAGCTCTGTTCTGCAGTGCTCATTCGAATAGACAGTCTTTTAGAACCATTGATGTGATGCTTTAATCACACCATAATTCCATCACCAAAAGCAATCCACTCTAAAGATAATACTACAATAGGAATGCCCCCTTAACCCGAATGTCCACAGCAAGGGATGATTTGAAAAGACATGAAAGTGATGACTGATTGCTGGCAAATGCATCAGCGCACTGTTTGATGGCTATCAACTATAAAGTTTTTGTGTTTACCCTGAAAAGTGCCATTATTTGTATTAATTTTTCATTTCTCCTCAATGTTGCCGTACAGAAAAATGCATAACAGCATTGCGTCAATGTCCAAGGTACTGTTTTGTGTTGAATGTCACTTATGTGCATACCGTAGTAAGTTTACAGCTTCTGCGTCATTTGAGCCTGTTGCTGTGCGATGTACCTTCAGGCCAAATTGTCGTTCTGTGGTGTCATTAGATCTAAACTCCACGTAGTGCCTCATTGAAATGCTTCTAGAACCTTGGTGGTGTTACCTGTGTGTCAAAATGTTTAACATGATGTGTGGTCCACTCCTGCTGGTGCAGTGGTTGAATATCTTAATCTAGGCATTTCTAGACCATTTTGAGCTAATGTGCCTATAGATGACTTATGTTGTCAATTCTGTTTTTATTTTATTTTCCGTAATAGAAGTTATTTTACGTTTTTACCAAGTCTCAATCGGAGTTAAAAGGCTAAATGAATAAATATGTATATTTTTGCAGACAAAAGCTGTTTTTAGTTTGAACTGTAAATTGCACTAAATGTATTGTTTTACAGATGCTTTTAGGTGTTACGTTTGGTTACTCTGATGTTTAAATAACTAAATCTAAAGATATATGTGAAAATAACTAAAGATATATGAAAAGATACTGTGTAACAATTGTGTCCAGTTAAAATAAAATCAAGAAACGGGACATCTTATGTATTAATGTACCTGAGTTTTTATTGTAGTTGGGATGTCATGTCTGGGTCGGATATTACAAGGGACAAACGGGTAGCACTTCTTTACGGTACTGAAATCACAAGGTATTTTACATTGCATCAAGTAGAAAATCATTTGGTACCAGATAGTAGCAAATTGATTTTGTTAGTCACTCTCGCTCAGATATCTTAAAAACTGCAAACATTTATCTCCACCCTATGGCAATGTGTAGAATTGCAGGAAATTAGCTTTTAAAACTGCACATTTTTCTTTCCACCCCATTGCAAAATAAGTTGAATTGCATGAAATGAGTTATAAAATTGCAACGTCTTCCCTCCACTCCTATGGCAAAATGTGTTGAATTGCAGCAAACTTACTTTAAAACAGCAACAACAAAAAAGATCTAAGCCCTGTGACAAAATGTGTAGAATTGCAGGAAATTAACTCTACAACGTCATTTTTTTCCCCTCTGCTGTCACTAATGTATGCACTCACTACTAACTGTAAGTCGCTCTGGATAAGAGCGTCTGCTAAATTACAAAAATGTAATGTAAAATGTTGTTAGTAAACGTTCCAGTTTTACCATACTACGTAATGGCCACCAGGGGCAGGTGCTACCATAGATATAGAACAGGGACGTATTCATTACGCCGATTCTTTTGCAAAACGTTTCTTAAACGGAACGAAACGGGAGGGAAACTATGGTTGCTGCAAAGAAGAAGTTGAATATACTGCACCTTCACAAGCCTAGGTCACTGGATATTTCGCTGCGGTTAAGTGAGCCCACACGCGCAAAACGCATGGTGCGCAACTGGGAACTCGGGAAAAAACCCGAGGTCAAATCATGACGTCAGTGATCTTAAGGGCGGATAGTCGGAACTCTAGAAAGACGCCTGAGTCCCCGATTTGGAATTCCGAGATGGATGTTTTTCGAGTTCCCAGTTGTCTTGAACGTACGGAAGTCGGTTATTTCCAAGTTTTGAATTCCGAGCTCCCAGTTGTTTTGAACGCGGCAGTAGTCAAGCTATCCGCGCTTCAGTTTCCTCCTGAATTTGGGTGGGTGAATACACACCACTTTACGGTATCGCGTGTTTTCTGGTAAGGAAACACTAATGAACAGAGACAATAGCTACAAATCATTCCAAGCAAACAGTTTGAAACACAGGGATTCAATTTTCCATAATCAAAATGATCAATCAGGTCCCCTGTAGCTCAGTTGGTAGAGCAGGGCGCTTGCAACGCCAGGGTTGTGGGTTCGAAAAATGTATGCACTCACTAACTGTAAGTCGCTCTGGATAAGAGCGTCTGCTAAATGATGTAAATGTATTTATAAAGCCCTTTTTACATCAGCAGATGTCGCAAAGTGCCATACAGAAGCCCAGCCTAAAACCCCAAACAGCAAGCAATGCAGATGTAGAACCATGGTGGCTAGGAAAAACTCCCTAGAAAGGCAGAAACCTATAGAGGAACCAGGCTCTGAGGGGTGGCCAGTCCCCTTCTGACTCAACCACTACCAGATTTTAACAGTACATGGCCATTAAGGCCAGATTTTTCTCCGAGATGTTCAAACGTTCATAGATGACCAGCTGGGTCAAATAATAATTACAGTGGTTGTAGAGATTGCAAAAGGTCGGTACATCAGGAGTAAATGTCACTTGCCTTTTCATTGCCAGGCATTTAGAGGTTGAAATAGCAGGTGCGGTAGAGAGAGTTGAAAACAGCAGGTCTGGGACAAGGTAGCACGTCCGGTGAACAGGTTAGGGTTCCATAGCCGCAGGCAGAAGAGTTGAAACTGGAGCAGCAGCACGACCAGGTGGACTGGGGACAGCAAGGAGTCATCAGGCCAGGTAGTCCTGAGGCCTCAGGTCCTCTGGGAGGGAAGGGAGAGAGAGAAAATTAGAGGGAGCATACTTAAATTCACACAGGACACCAGATAAGACAGGAGAATAACACCAGATATAACAGACTGATACCCAAATCTTTAATTTCATTTTTGCTCCTTATGAAAATGTATTTGATATCACGGGTAGAGTGAGGCTGCAGAGGCTGCAGTAGCCTTTTTAGTAAATGTTCAGTTCAGATGTGTTTACAGTCAATATATACACACACACAGTCAATATATACACACACAGTCAATATACACACACACAGTCAATATATACACACACACAGTCAATATATACACACACAGTCAATATACACACACACAGTCAATATATACACACACACAGTCAATATACACACACACACACAGTCAATATACACACACACACAGTCAATATACACACACACACAGTCAATATACACACACACACAGTCAATATACACACACACACAGTCAATATACACACACACACAGTCAATATACACACACACACAGCTTCACAGCATGATCTAAGTGAGCTTAATATGTTTTTCTTTGTATTTCATTAAAGAGAGATTATACTTTTTTTAAGTGTTAAATAACTACATTTAGTTGATCTATCCCATATTCTTTTATATTTTATAATTTTTAAGTACTGAACAAAAATATAAACGCAACATGCAACAATTCCAACGATTTTACTGAGTTACAGTTCATATAAGGAAATCAGTCAATTGAAATAAATTCATTAGGCCCTATTCTATGGATTTCATATGACTGGGCAGGAGTGCAGCCATGGGTGGGCCTGGGAGGGTACAGGCCCACCCACTTGGGAGCCAGGCCCAACCAATCAGAATGAGTTTTTCCCCACAAAAGGGCTTTATTACAGACAGAAATACTCCTCAGTTTCATCAGCTGTCCGGGTGGCTGGTCTCAGACGATCCCATAGGTAAAGAAGCTGGATGTTGAGGTCCTGGGCTGGCGTGGTTACACATGGTCTGTGGTTGTGAGGCCGGTTGGAAGTATTGCCAAATTCTCTAAAACGACGTTGGAGGCAGCTTATAGTAGAAAAATGAACATTCAATTCTCTGGCAACAGCTCTGGTGGACATTCCTGCAGTCAGCATGCCAATTGCATGCTCCCTCAAAACATGAGACAGCTGTGGCATTGTGTTGTGTGACAAAACTGCAGATTTTAGAGTGGCCTTTTATTGTCCCCAGCACAAGGTGCACCTGTGTAATGATCATGCTGTTTAATCAGCTTCTTGATATGCTACACCTGTCAGGTGGATGGATCATCTTGGCAAAGGAGAAATACTCACTAACAGGGATAAACTGCAGATTTTAGAGTCTCCTGATTTAGAGTCTCCAGATTTTAGAGTCTCCTGAGTTTAGTCTCCTGAGTGGCGCAGTGGTCTAAGGCACTGCATCGCAGTGCTAGCTGTGCCACTAGAGATCCTGGTTTGAATCCAGGCTCTGTCGCAGCCGGCCGCGACCGGGAGACTCATGGGCGGCGCACAATTGGCCCAGCGTCGTCCAGGGTAGGGGAGGGAATGGCCGGCAGGGATGTAGCTCAGTTGATAGAGCATGGCGTTTGCAACGCCAGGGTTGTGGGTTTGATTCTCACGGGGGGCCAGTATGAAAAAAAATATATATATATATATATGTATTCACTAACTGTAAGTCGCTCTGGATAAGAGCGTCTGCTAAATGACGTAAAATGTAAAATGTAAAAATGTAAACAAATTTGTGCTCAAAATCTGAGATAAATAATATTTTTGTGTGTATGGAACATTTCTGTGAACTTTTTTTTCAGCTCATGAAACATGGGACCAACACTTTACATGTTGCATTTATATTTTTGTTCAGTATAGTTATATTACAGTGAACTTTGATGACCCCTATGTAATAAAATAAAATAAAACTGTAAAAATGGCTACTAGTGAGCGCCACTAGTAGATCATTAATCCAGTGTGATGACCATTGTATACCAAATGATTCCCATATTATGCCAGTTTAAAATACGGGGTAAAATAATTGGTTATTCTACACTGAGTGTAGAAAACATTAGGAACTAATATTGAGTTGCACCCCCATTTGCCTGCAGAACAATTTGTTGGGGCATGGACTCTACAAGGTGTCGAAAGCAGCGCTGCAGTTGTTGACACACTCAAACCGTTGCTCCTGGCACCTACTACCATACCCGGTTCAAATGCACTTATCTGTTGTCTTGCCCATTCATCCTCTGAATGGCACACATACACAATCCATGTCTAATTGTCTCAAGGCTTAAAAATCCTTATTTAACCTGCCTCCTCCCCTTCATCTACACTGATTTGAAGTGGATTTAACAAGTGACATCAATAAGGGATCATAGCTTTCACCTGGATAGTCTATGTCATATACTCAGTATATTACAGTGAACTTTGAGGGTATATACCTCAAGTTTTCAACAGACAACATTTCTGGTAAACATATTTTGAGATGTGAGCCACTATTATTTTTTTTACATTTTAGTCATTTAGCAGACACACTTATCCAGAGCGATTTACAGGCGCAATTAGGGTTAAGTGCCTTGCTTAAGGGCACACCGACAGATTTTTCACCTAGTCGGCTCGAAGATTAGAACCAGCGACCTTTCGGTTACTGGCACAACGCTCTTACACACTAAACTACCTGCCGCCTGTAGATCATTAATCCAGTGTGATGACTGTTGCATTCCATCAGATGCCCATATTATGCCATCTTAAATATGTTTTGTCACGTGAGCCACTAGTAGATCAATAATCCATTGTCATCAATAATGCAAAGCATAACATCCTCATATTATGCCAGCTCCAAGATGGGAAAAATACTTGGTTTGTCCTATTATAGTGAATTTAGGGATTATAATTCAAGAAAAACATATCAAGCTCACTTAGATCTTGTTGTGAAACTGTGTGTGTGTGCGTGTGTGCGTGTGGCTGTGAACTGTGTATGTTTGTCATGACTGTAAACACATCTTGCTTTCACAATTGAATATTTGCTAAACAGCACCCCGTTAGGCTACTGCAACCTCTGCAGCCTCACTCTTCCCGTGATATCAAAGTAATTTTTGATAAGGCGCGAACATTTTATAATTTTGATTATGAAAGATTGAATAAGTGTGCTTCAAACTGTTTTACTTGGAATGATTTGTAGCTATCGTCTCCATCTGTGCATGAAAGTGCATCCTACTCAGTTTCAGAAAACATGCAATACCCTAAAGTGTTGTGTATTCGCGCATTAAATTCTGGAGGAAAGTGAAGCGCAGATGGCTTAACCGCGTTATGCGAGTGTCGGCTCACTTGACCGCAGTGAAATTTCTAGTGGGGAAGTCAAGTGTCTGAACAACTGTATAAATCGATGTTGCTGTCCTTTGGTGTTAGCTGGCACTGACATATTTAATCTTCGTTTACTGATGCAAACGTGTAACAAGTTATGTGTAATATGAACAATTTACCATAGATACTGTCAATGTTTTATTAGGTCAAATTAGTTCACGTCGCAAGTATGGCGCAATAATGTGCAAAACTCGACTCAACTGATTGGATTGGGACTGCCATTGCCTTGGACTTTCATGTTGATGTAGGAATCGCATTTGTGACCTAAGGTAAGCATTGGCTACAATGTTTCAATTTAATGAGTAACTCATTTAGAAAGTTTATTGATAGTTAGCTTAGCTACCGTTAGCTGGTGTAACCAGTTAGCTAACTAGCCTTGTCCACTTCCTCTTTATTAGCTAGCATGCATGCTAGCCAACTAAAATAGTTTATTCGACTATCATGCATGCTAGCCACAATCAAACAACGAAGTAGCTAGCTAGTTAGCTAGATAAAGCCAATAAAGTCAGGTTGCTCTTGTCTTTATTTAGTCATTATGGGGCTATTGGAAAATGTACTTAAGAGAGGGTGCTGCTTTAGCTAATTTATCTTGACACTTGTTTTAGTTAGCTATTAAACGTTAACTGGCTAGTTAGCTAACTTAAGTGGTTTGTGCACAGAGCATTACCAGTAGCAAATCCAAATGTAACGAAAACTGTTTAATCAGGCCACATTTGAGATTGGGTCAGATGCAGGAAATCACTGAAATCGTTAATTCCGTTAAGTCAATTTGATATACCTGTATGTAATATGCATATGTGCACTACTGCTTTATAAGCCATTACTTTTCTCAAGGTCTTTGTCTTCTCTCTCAGACACCATGGCAGAAGAGGAGCCTTACATACCTCACTCACAAGTAAGCTAGGTGTTTAATGTCCATGCTATGTCGACACGGAATCTCTGTATTTGTCTTTTATACATTATAGGCTATATCCTTTGTCACAGAGTTTGAAGCAGAAATCGATTTACCTATTAACCTATAACACTTCAGAACAACAGCCCATATTAAAGGAGAGGTTAACACGGTGGCTAAAGATGTCTCTTCATCTGACAGGTTTGCCAGTGTCTCTTTCATAGATGTTAGTCATACCTTCTACATTTGTCAGTGAAATTAGATTTCAATATCTTTGTTCTCTCTTGTTTTCTTTTCATGTAGTACAACTTTGACGTAGATCCACTATGGGATCCTCTGAATTTCCCTCCCGTGTCACACTCCAACTCACTCCGGACAGGTAAGAAGTCATGTCCCCCTTTATAAACCCCATTATGAGCCATATTGATTACCTGCACCCATCTGTCCCCTTAAGATATGCCCCATGTCTAGGCCTTTATACCCAAATAGAGATGAAATAGGCCTAACTAAAGATGTAATTTAATGAATGCCAGTGGTAGCCTAAAATTGGAGAGTGCTTTCACTGTCGAGCAAGCTCTTCTTGCCACCTCTGTTCTTTTATGAAAAGGTTGTTTTTCTAAACTCAGTTTCATGATATTGCAGAGTTGTAATGTAAACATAAAGCCTACTTCTCCTTCTCTGTGCTTTCACTTCTCCTTTGGTCTCAAGAAGGCTGTTTAATACCAAGGTTTAAGTGACACTAGTAGTAGTTGTTTATGCGAGGCTAGTGGTTGTGGGAATGGGCATATAAGGTTCAAGGTACTGCTACTGACTGCCTTTTTGAACTGCCCAGACATCTGAAGCTGTAAAAGACCATCAACCGTGAACAGCCAGATCCCTGATAAAGGTTGTCTGTTCTATAGAGATCTAAAGCCGAACATCATTTGGAAGATGAGGTTCTTGATTGAGGCTACATCAGTGGGAGGATGTGGCTTAGGCAGCGGGCCCTGCATTAGGCATGAAAGGGAAGAAGCTGGCTCAGCTAACAGTTGTTTGAGGACCAAGATGTTCTGAGACAGAGAGCAGAAGGTGTTTTGTTGACACAGAATTAGTAGATAGCCCAGGCCCCCATTCCTAAAAGGGCCATACCTTGTCAGTTTTGTTTCTTATCTGATTTAAAATACATCCTCTACCACAGCACCTGAGGAAAGTCATATGTTTGTTTAGTAGAGGGATGATCCTGGAGAGCTAGGCTATTGGCTGTGCAGGATTTTGTTCCAGCGCCGCTCAACACCTGATTCCGCTAATCAATGTCCTCACTGGCAGCTGATTAGTTAGCAGAATCAGGTGTGTTAGAGCAGGGCTGGAACAAAAGCCTGCTTGCACACCCAGTACAGAAGCTCTCCAGGAGGAGAGTTGGCCAGTCCTGCTGTAAAACGAACATAAACCATTGTTTATTTGTTCTTAGTTACAGCAGATGGACCCTACCTCCAAATCATTGAACAGCCTAAACAGGTAACCCTTTTCTTCAGTGCTCCTTCTCTCAGTTACAGCATAGGCTACATAAACAAGCTAATTTAACCACATTTCAAAGTGTACAGTTGAGTGTCATTAAAGCTTTCTATGTCTGTTCTAGCGGGGCTTCAGGTTTCGTTATGGCTGTGAGGGGCCTTCTCACGGCGGGCTACCAGGGGCCTCTAGTGAGAAGAACAGAAAGTCCTATCCCCATGTCAAGGTAAGTCCCACCAACATGTCCTTCCTTATGTCATCATTTCCTTCCTTTCTTCCTTCACGCCTTCCGTCCTTCCGTATTCCGTTCCTTAATGAGTTATTTCCCTCCTTTACTTTACTTTCTTCGTTCCGTTCCCTAATTGCCTGCTGTCTGTCCTTCACTCCTTCCTTCAACTGAACAAGCAGAAGTAGAAATTCTGCTTGAGATTCCTAGGAATTTTCTGTCTATCATGTTTGAGATGTAAGTTTTTTTTGTGTATAAATTAATAAAGTTATGATCAGTTCCGCTTGTATTTCAAACTAACATTTACAGGCCCATCCTGACAGAAATCCTTTCATGGCATTTAAATAAATCCATTCTCTCTCACTCACTCACACACCACAAATATTAATTTATCTTAGGCAATTTGAACTATGTTCAGACTAAACTCTGGGAAATCACCTCTTCTCGTGCCTCCACATATTTTGCTCAAGTAGTAGGATTAGGTATTGTCACTTTCTCCAACCTCTCATTTGCCTAGCGTGGTTTTCTTTAAATACATTTGAACCTTTGTGACAGTAACACTCAACTCCTAACTGAGCCTGTCACTCAGCCAGTCAGCCAGCCAGTCAAGTCCTTACATTTACATTTCAGTAATTTAGTCATTCATTCGTTATGACTGAACTAGCTGCACAGGCTAAGAGCCAATAACCCTGAGAGCACATGTTAGAAAATTAGGTGTTTGAAAACGGGTATATAAATCTGACCTGCCATTTACTTTGTTTCAAGCCTGTTTGAAATTTCCTCCTGTGTCATATGGGTAATTACTAGGAACTGCTGAGTGGCGTCACCGACAGGAAACAGTGTTTTCAGCTCGCCCCCACGGTCTCAGACAGACTCACACATGAAACGACTGCCTCAGAGCGAAGAACATGGTGTCTCTCAAACCTGTTCTAGAGGTTGTGGAGGCACATGTAGCCCACTATCTGTGTTGTGCTTCTGTACAAAGAAGTTACACAGTACATTGATATGAGAGTTCTGTTTCTGTGCAACATATATGCTCCCCTACGTATTTATTTGGACAGTGAAGCTAAAGCTTTTAATATGGCTCTATACTCCAGCATTTTGAATTTGAGATCAAATGTTTCATATAAGGCGACAGTACAGAATGTCACCTTTTATTTTAAGGTATTTTCATACATATCTGTTTTACCGTTTAGAAATGAAAGCATATTATGTATCTTGTCCCCCCATTTGAAGGAGTCATAGATATTTGGACAAATTCACTTGTGTATTAAAGTAGTCAAAGGTTTAGTGTTTGGTTCCATATTCCTAGCACGCAATGACTACATCAAGCTTCTCACTCTATAAACTTGTTGGATGCATTTGAAGTTTATTTTGGTTGTGTTTCAGATTATTTTGTACCCAATAGAAATGAATGATAAATAATGTATTGTGTCATTTTGGAGTCACTTTTATTGTAAATAAGAATAGAATAGGTTTCTGAACACTTCTACATTTAATGTGGATGCTACCATGATTACGGATAAGTTACAGAGGTACAGTGAGGGAAAAAAGTATTTGATCCCCTGCTGATTTTGTACATTTGCCCACTGACAAAGAAATGATCAGTCTATAATTTTAATGGTAGGTTTATTTGAACAGTGAGAGACAGAATAACAACTCAAAAATCCAGAAAAACGCATATCAAAAATGTTATAAATTGATTTGCATTTTAATGAGGGAAATAAGTATTTGACCCCCTCTCAATCAGAAAGATTTCTGGCTCCCATGTGTCTTTTATACAGGTAACGAGCTGAGAATAGGAGCACACTCTTAAAGGGAGTGCTCCTATTCTCAGCTTGTTACCTGTATAAAAATACACCTGTCCACAGAAGCAATCAATCAATCAGATTCCAAACTCTCCACCATGGCCAAGACCAAAGAGCTCTCCAAGGATGTCAGGAACAAGATTGTAGACCTACACAAGGCTGGAATGGGCTACAAGACCATTGCCAACCAGCTTGGTGAGAAGGTGACAACAGTTGGTGTGATTATTCGCAAATGGAAGAAACACAAAATAACTGTCAATCTCCCTCGGCCTGGGGCTCCATGCAAGATCTCACCTCGTGGTTGCAATGATCATGAGAACGGTGAGGAATCAGCCCAGAACTACACGGGAGGATCTTGTCAATGATCTCAAGGCAGCTGGGACCATAGTCACCAAGAAAACAATTGGTAACACACTACGCCGTGAAGGACTGAAATCCTGCAGCGCCCGCAAGGTCCCCCTGCTCAAGAAAGCACATATACAGGGCCGTCTGAAGTTTGCCAATGAACATCTGAATGATTCAGAGGAGAACTGGGTGAAAGTGTTGTGGTCAGATGAGACCAAAATCGAGCTCTGGCATCAACTCAACTCGCCGTGTTTGGAGGAGGAGGAATGCTGCCTATGACCCCAAGAACACCATCCCCACCGTCAAACATGGAGGTGGAAACATTATGCTTTGGGGGTGTTTTTCTGCTAAGGGGACAGGACAACTTCACCGCATCAAAGGGACGATGGACAGGGCCATGTACCGTCAAATCTTGGGTGAGAACCTCCTTCCCTCAGCCAGGGCATTGAAAATGGGTTGTGGATGGGTATTCCAGCATGACAATGACCCAAAACACACGGCCAAGGCAACAAAGGAGTGGCTCAAGAAGAAGCACATTAAGGTCCTGGAGTGGCCTAGCCAGTCTCCAGACCTTAATCCCATAGAAAATCTGTGGAGGGAGCTGAAGGTTCGAGTTGCCAAACGTCAGCCTCGAAACCTTAATGACTTGGAGAAGATCTGCAAAGAGGAGTGGAACAAAATCCCTCCTGAGATGTGTGCAAACCTGGTGGCCAACTACAAGAAACCTCTGACCTCTGTGATTGCCAACAAGGGTTTTGCCACCAAGTACTAGGTCATGTTTTGCAGAGGGGTCAAATACTTATTTCCCTCATTAAAATGAAAATCAATTTATAACATTTTTGACATGCGTTTTTCTGGATTTTTTTGTTGTTATTCTGTCTCTCACTGTTCAAATAAACCTACCATTAAAATTATTGTCTTTGTCAGTGGGCAAACGTACTAAATCAGCAGGGGATCAAAAACTTTTTCTCTCTCACTGTATAACCTCCCCTGTTATTGATAATGGTGAGGGGTTAGAAAGTCATTGCAGGCTAGGGATATGGGACCAAATACTGAACTTTAATACACATAAAAGTGAATTTGTCCAAATACTTATGATACCTTCAAATGGGGGGACTAGATACATAATATGCTTTCATTTCTAAATGGTAAAACAGATATGTATGTAAATACCCTCAAATAAAAGGTGACATTCTGTCGCCTCATATGAAACATTTTATCTCAATCCAAAAGGCTAGAGTATGGCGCCAAATTAAAAGTTTTAGCTTCACTGTCCAAATAAATATGTAGAGGAGGGTATATCTATAGCACAAATGTCTTTGTTTTCTACTAGGAATCAGTTTACAGTAATTGTTAGGTAAGTGTTAAGCAACAGTATCTCTGGCCTTTCAACCCCCATGTAGAGGAGGCCTGTTCTCAGTGAGAGAGCCTGGAGGATGCACAGACAGATTAAAAGGCTGAGTTCTCCTCAGCTCAGTGCTTGCATCCATCCCTGGGGGGGCAATTTTAATTTAATCTGATCTGCAAGACAAGGACAACACAATAGCAACGTGTGTGTGCTCTGTGCAAGTCAGTGACTCCACCATGAACTCTCCAACAAGACCTGAATTCTCACTGCAGCCTCACTTTTCACCTTGTAAAATAACCCAAATAGGTAACCAAGGTAGGAGTTATATTCTAGTCCTTATATTTTAGTTAACTGTATATGTATATGCTGTGGCTAAAGATGGGGTTGAGGAAAAATAAATTTGAGCGCAAAAGCAGGCTAGAGACTTTTCTAGGTAGGCAACTTCAAAATGTACTTTTCAGTCTCACCCTCTGGCTATTGCACCTAACAGCATGTCCTGTTTTTAGGAACAGGGTTGGTTTTGTATGTAGGCCAATTTTGTCTCGGGGGAACCAGAAAGGGGCGAAGTGAAGGCCTAGTTCAGTGGCATTCGTCTACAGCAGGGTTTCCAAACTTTTTCCTGGAGCCCCCCCGGGTACACGTTTTGTTTTTTCCCCTAGCACTACACAGCTGTTTCAAATAACCAAATCGTCATCAAGCTTTAATTATTTGAATCAGCTCTGTAGTGCTAAGGACAGCTTTGCACACTCTTGGCATTCACTCAACCAGCTTCACCTGGAATGCTTTTCAAACAGTCTTGAATGAGTTCCCACATATGCTGAGCACTTGTTGGCTGCTTGTCCTTCACTCTGCGGTCCGACTCATCCCAAACCATCTCAATTTGGTTGAGGTCGGGGGATTGTGGAGGCCAGGTCATCTGATGCAGCGCTCCATCACTATCCTTCTTGGTAAAATAGCCCTTACACCGCCTGGAGGTGTGTTGGGTCATTGTCCTGTTGAAAAACAAATGATAGTCCCACAAAGCCCAAACCAGATGGTATGGCGTATTCTTGCAAAATGCTGTGGTAGCTATGCTGGTTAAGTGTGAATTCTAAATAAATCACTGACAGTGTCACCAGCAAAGCACCCCCACACCATAATACCTCCTCCTCCATGCTTTACGGTGGGAAATACACATGCATAGATAATCCGTTAACCCACACCGCGTCTCACAAAGACACGGCGGTTGGAACAAAAAATCTCAAATTTGGACTCCAGACCAAAGGACACATTTCCACTGGTCTAATGTCCATTGCTCGTCTTTCTTGGCCCAAGCAAGTCTCTTCTTCTTATTGGTGTCCTTCAGTAGTGGTTTCTTTGCAGCAATTCGACCATGAAGGCCTCATTCACACAGTCTCCTCTGAACAGTTGATGTTGAGATGTGTCTGTTACTTGAACTCTGTGAAGCATTTATTTGGGCTGCAATCTGAGGTGCAGTTAACTCTAATGAACTTATCCTCTGCAGCAGAGGTAACTCTGGGTCTTCCATTCCTGTGGCGGTCCTCATGAGAGCCAGTTTCATTATAGCGCTTGATGGTTTTTGCGACTGCACTTGAAGAAACTTTTTAAAAGTTCTTGACATTTTCCAGATTGACTGACCTTCATTTCTTAAAGTAAGATTGGCTGTCGTTTCTCTTTGCTTATTTGAGCTGTTCTTGCTATAAAAGGACTTGGCCTTTTACCAAATAGGGATATCTTCTGTATACCTCCCCTACCTTGTCACAACACAACTGATTGGCTCAAACGCATTAAGAAGGAAAGAAATTCCACAAATTAACTTTTAAGAAGGCACAGCTGTTAATTGAAATGCATTCCAGGTGACTACCTCATGAAGCTGGTTGAGAGAATGCCAAGAGTGTGCAAAGCTGTCATCAAGGCTAAGGGTGGCTATTTGAAGAATCTCAAATATAACATATATTTTGATTTGTTTAACACTTTTTTGGTTACTACATGATTCCTTATGTATTATTTCATAGTTTTGATGTCTTCACTATTATTCTACAATGTAGAAAATAGTAAAAAGTAAGAAAAACCCTTGAATGAGTAGGTGTTCTAAAACATTTGACCGGTAGTGTAGTATTAATTTTGACAAGGAAGCATGTGTAAGATTTCAAAGTGGTTAGATGGCATACGATTACCTCCCCCTGTGTCAGCCTTTGACAGATCAAGTATGTTGTTTACCTTCTATTGTTAGATCTAGACTATGTTGGCTTCCTTTTAGTCAGAACAGAACTCTGTGAGACACTGGTCTGTGTGTCATAGAAAGTGATTCACCTGCATGAAATGCGTATGTGATCACTGAAGAGAAATGCACATTGTCTTTTCTGTGAAGAATTGGTGACGGGTAAACTGAGGGGTTTCCCGTGATGGGTAAGCCAAGGAGTTTTGGATTGGCCGGGAAACTTTAGCTGAACTGAACCTTTCACCGTTGTTTGAAAATAGCTCTGGTCACGTATGAAACAGTGTGCAAAGGCTGAGGTTCCCAACCTACCCTAAACCTGTGTGTCAAAATCTGAGCCATGTGGAACACTGTTTTCATCCATCCTTTCCTTCATGTTTTCATTTGGTCGATTCATCACTCAGGTATTGTTTACCGTTTGGACTGGCATTTTCAACCATTTTGAATGCTTGTTGCGTGTGTATGTGTGATTGTATGTGTGTGTTTTGTTGATGCAAGAGTTACTCATTTCCCCCCTAGAGAAAGTGTCTGAATAACCACATGACACACAAAACACAGTGACAGTCACACTCCAGCGCCTAACTGAGCCTGTCAGTGACAGTCACACTCCAGCGCCTAACTGAGCCTGTCAGTGACAGTCACTCCTTCTCCTAACTGAGCCTGTCATTGACAGTCACACCCCAGCTCCTAACTGAGCCTGTCACTCAGCCAGTCAGCCAGCCAGTCAAGTCCTTACATTTACATTTCAGTAATTTAGTCATTAAGTCGTTATGCCTGAACTAGCTGCACAGGCTAAGAGCCAATAACCCGGAGAGCACATGTTAGATTTGACAAAATTGTATTTCATTACACAAAACACCACACTACCATACTATGTAAGCATGAGAGCGCCTAGCAGTCTGGCTATAACCCAAATAGGTAACCAAGGGAGGAGTTGTATTCTAGTCCTTATATTCTAGAAAACCATATAAGTATATGCTGTGGCTAAGGACAGGGTTGAGGAAAGAGACGTTTGAGCTCAAGAGCAGGCTAGAGACTTTTCTAGGTAGGCAAATTCAAAATGTGTTTTTCAGTCTCACCCTCTGGCTATTGCATCTAACAGCACGTGCTGTTTTCTAGGAACAGGGTTGGTTTTGTATGTAGGCCAATCTTGTCTCGGGGAACCAGAAAGACGCGAAGTGAAGGCCTAGTTCAGTGGCATTCGTCTACAGTAGGTGTCTCCAACAGCTGCCAGTAGCTCGTAGCCCACCTATGAGTAACTCGCCAATCAATTCTGAAAGTACATGCATTTTTGTCATGTGTTCCATCGCAAAATGTCAAACATAAAGCTCCTGGCTATCATTGGCTACTATCCAATCAAAGTCACATTGACATTATCCCACCCCTGGTTAGCCACGATTGGTTTAAAAAGACAAAACTTAACACAATATCTGCCAATTAATTTCCATCAATATTGCCCCCGTCTGTCTGTTTTGGTTGCGCGTTTGTCTACTACTCTGTATGTGGGTAGACAGAAAGACTTTCCCCAAAAACATTCTCAATTAAATGTTCATCGCAAAGTAGGCTTACCTGACATAATTATATCATGATTATTTGTACCATTTGGGTGGCGATTGTTTTGCTAACTCTGTCATGACATGTGCTTCAGTAGTAGGCCTAACAGCATAAATATGGCTAGACCAACACATTCCTCTCTTGCTAGATGCGCAATTAAAGGGGAATTCATGTTTCTCTATGAATACTTGTAATATTGAGAGTAAAAAACTGGAGAAAAAAAATCCCAAACCAGGAAAGATAACAATAGAAAACAGAATTTGGGAAAATACTAAATATATTTTTATGTGGCATGTCATGCCAAATAATGTTTATTAACCATTTTACTGAGGGGTTTCCCGTGACGGTATGCCGAGGAGTTTCGGATTGGATGGGATCTTTGGCTGAACTCAACCTTTTACCGTTGTTTGAAAATATTTCTGGACACTTATTAAGAAGTGTGCAAAGGCTGAGGTTCCCAACCTACCCTAAACCTGTGTGTCAAAATCTGAGCCATGTGGAACACTGTTTTCATCCATCCCTTCCTTCATGTTTTCATTTGGTCGATTCATCACTCAGGTATTGTTTACCATTTGGACTGGCATTTTCAACCATTTTGAATGCTTGTTGCGTGTGTGCGCCTAGCAGTCTGGCTCCCGGGGCTGTAGTTTTAATATCTGGTCTAAAAAGTGTCTCCCTCCCTCTTTGCAGATCTGTAACTACCAGGGGATGGCGCGTGTGGTGGTACAGCTGGTAACCAACTCTAAAGATGCCCACCTCCATGCCCACAGTCTGGTGGGCAAGCAGTGTGACAAGGGCATCTGCATCGCAGACCTACAGCCCAAAGACTCCAGCATCAGGTGTTTGTCTCCACTTTTCTCTCTCTCTAGCTAACACACACACACACACACACACACACACACACACACACCAGTTAGCTTACCGGTACATTTAACAGCTTTTAATATGCTTACTTATTGACAACATTGCAGAAATGTCAGGACTTCCTATAAGATGATTACAGGTCCTTCCTTTGATATCCTATGTATTGATGTCATTTCTCACTTAGGGTTTCCCCATCTAACCTGAACGTACTTTGTTGTGGTGTTATCTTGCATGTTTACGTAGCCCTCCCCATTAACATCCCGTATATGGGTTGAAATGGCAGATTTTGTCATTGCTAAGCGCCTAAATTAGAACGCAGTGGCTGTACAGTAACATGCTATACATGATGTCAGAGCTCAGGTTCTCTGCTTCACAGCGCTGTATCGGTTTTGACTGACAGCCATTATAAACTTGAGCACATGTGTTATACCCTGGGTTGTCCTGAACAGAATGAGCCTATGTTTGTCGTATTGTGAAGAAAACTAGCCGCGGAACAAGCACTTGAATGCACTTATGACTCCTTTCTATGCGCACCAAAATTGCAATCTGTTTGTCTGAAGTGCCTTTTGAAAGCCTAACACTGTAAGATCGTATTTTATCATTTAGCTAGCCATGTTGGCAATATAATAAGCTTTCAAATGATGCCCACCTGACCCAAATTGTGATTTATAATAGAATGTTTTTGGATTGCGTAAACAACAACAGTAATTGTGTGATGGTGGGGACGCTGGGCTGTGTTCCAAATAAACAACTGTGTGTGGTCGCTTCAGTTCCTCAATGGCAAAGCTAGGAAAGCTAAAAAAAATAAGCTCTTTATAGTTGAAGGCTCTGTCCTTGAGTCATAAAAGTGCATTGACATAATTTCGGAACTGTGCACAGTTTGGAGAGGTGTGTGGGCACTTGGAGACACTAGTTAGACCTCTCACTCAAACCCTTGTAATCATTGACAAATGCTGTGAAAAGTACAGTATATGTAAATTGCACATAAAATCAACAGTGTAATGTTTGGATTCAGTCTTGTGTCAGGTGAACTGTTGTATCCTCATCCTTGGTCTGATCATTTCCCCATCATCTCCAAGGTGTTCTCTTTCAATTGCTGCCATGGTCATGCATATGCTTTTCATAGTTCTTCTGTTAGAAACATTTCAATTTGGCCGTATCCATATAGGCCAATTTCCACAAGTGTAAGGGGTTAAAAACATACCACATATAAATCAATAACTCCATGTGACAGTTTCCCCAACTTGGGCATCCTCCACGTGACCAAGAAGAACGTGAGTAAGACCCTGGAGGACCGTATGACTGAGGCCTACAGGATGGGCTACAACTGTGGTATTGTCATCCAACCCGAGATGGATGCCTTCCAGGGAGAGGTCCGCATCCCCCGAGAGCTCACTGGTCAGTCACCTTTAAGACAATGGACTGAATGAATATATTTCTCCAGAGCACTAAGAATATTTTTTGTTTTGCATACAGTGCCTTCAGAAAGTATTCACACCCCTTGACTTTTTCCACATTTAGTTGTGTGACAGCCTGAATATAAAAAGTATTACATTGATAATTGTGTCACTGATCTACACATAATACCCCTTAATGTCAAAGTGGAATTTTGTTATTAGAAATCTTTGCAAATTAATAAAAAATGAAAAGCTGAAAAGTCTTGAGTTAAAAAGTATTCAACCCCTTTGTTATGGCAAGCCTAAAACATTTGCATAAAAAAATCACATAATAAGTTGCATGGACTCACTCTGTGTGCAATAATAGTGGTTAACATGATTTTTTTAAATGACTACCCCATCTCTATACCCCACACATACAATTATCTGTAAGGTCCCTCAGTCGAGCAGTGAATTTCAAACACAGATTCAACCACAAAGACCAGGGAAGTTGCCTCACAAAGAAGGGCAGTGATTGTAAAAAAAAAAAAAAAAAAAAAAAAGCAGACACTGAATATCCCTTTGCGCATGGTGAAGCTGTTAATTAGGCTTTGGATAGTGTATCAATACACCTAGTCACTACAAAGATACAGGCGTCCTTCCTAACTCATTTGCCAGAGAGAAATAAAACCGCTTAGGGATTTCACTGAGGCCAATGATTTTAAAACAGTTACAGAGTTTAATGGCTGTGATAGGAGAAAACTGAGGATGGATCAACAACATTGTAGTTACTCCAAAATGCAAACCTAAATGACAGAGTGAAAAGAAGGAAGCCTGTACAGAATAAAACAAATATTCCAAAACATGCATCCTGTTTGCAACAAGGCAATAAAGTAATACTGTACAAATGTGGCAAAGGAATTAACTTTTGTCCTGAATACAAAGTGTTATATTTGGGGCAAATCCAACACTACAACAAATCACTGAATACCACTCTCCATATTTCCAAACATGGTGGTGGCTGCATCATGTTATGGGTATGCTTGTCTTTGGCAAGGACTGGAGTTTTTCAGGATAAAAAGAAACGGATTGTAGCTAAGCACCGGCTAAATCCTGGAGGAAAACCTGGTTCAGTCTGCTTTCCAACAGACACTGAGACGAATTCACCTTTCAACAGGACAATAACCCTAAAACACAAGGCCAAATCTACACTACAGTTACTTACCAAGACGACATTGAATGTTCCTGAGTGGCCTACTTACAGTTTTGACTTAAATCTGCTTGAGAATCTATGGCAATACTTGAAAAAGACTGTCTAGCAATGATCAACAACCAACTTGACAGAGCTTGAAGGATTTTAAAACAAATAATGGGCAAATGTTGCACAATCCAGGTGTGGAAAGCTTTTAGAGACTTACCCAAAAATACTCACAGCTGTAATCACTGCCAGAGGTGTTTCTAACATGTATTGACCCGGCGGTGTGAATACTTATCTAATCAAGATATATTAGTGTTTTATTTTTCATTTGTTAAAAAAAAAATAATATCCTTCTACTTTGACATTACAGGGTATTTTGGTACATTGTTGGCATCCATTTTAACCCCACTTTGTAACACAACAAAATGTGTAAAAAGTCAAGGGGTGTGAATACTTACTGAAGGAACTGTATGTGAATTTATGCATTGCCTGCTTCACATTCAACCTTCACATATGGGGTGTGTGTTCAGATCACCAGAAAAACCTGATCCACAATGCAGCGTCCTACCAGGCTAAAGAGATGGACCTGAGCGTGGTGCGCCTCATGTTCACAGCCTTCCTCCCAGACAGTGACGGTGGCTTCTCCCGTAGACTGGACCCCGTCATTTCAGACCCCATCTTCGACAGCAGTAAGTCACTAACAGCCACATAGTCACTTAGCGCCAATTCCACCAAATGTTTATAACATCTGCATATGCAACTCAATTCTCCCATTGACATCAATGCATGATTAATGCAAAAGTCTGGCTAAAGTGGTTTGATCTCAAGTTAGGATTAGGCCATTTGTGCTGTGCTTTCCAGTGCACTCTGACCCCAACAAAACAATGACTAGCTAGCTAGCTAAAACAGTCTTTAGCCATGACCCAAATGGTCCACCATTTTGTTTCTTCTTTACATTATCAGTGAAGGGTGGTCTATCTATGACAAAGGTCCCTCACCTCACCATAGAAACACACCATATTAGGCTACATGCTACCCAGTAGCAACAAGACCAAGTGCCTCAGCTTAATGAAACTCAGGAAGGTACTATTGTTTAAACAAATGAATAGAACCGCTCTCGTGCCTTTATGTAGTGCATCATTGAATTCACGTTTTTATTCACAGAGTTTAAGATGTATTGAAATTAAACCATATATGTGTGCCCTGGTTTCATTTGCCTAGCTCTGTGAGTGTATTTTCCTCTACATCACATTTGTCACTCGGCTTCCTCTCCCAGGCTGAAACTAGGCCTCCACTTTAAATGTTGATGCCAGCCCTTTACTGCGTGAAAGTATCCACACAGTTTGTGTATGTCAAGTCTTTTCTTCTTCACATTTGGGGTGTCTGTGGTTTCTTGAAATTAGAAAAGATTTAGAAGAGAAACAAATAAAATGGTGGTTTGAAGTTTGATAACAAAGGGCAATTTCAAGGATTTGTAAGGCATCCAATAGGGATGATGCACCGCAAAGAATAACGTTTTTTTAGTTACCTATTAGCTGTCAATAAATGTAATTCTGCCTGCACTAAACAGAAGATCTGAGCTGACCTATTGACCATCTCTCTATTCCCTTGTCCTGTCTGCAGAAGCTCCTAATGCGTCTAACCTGAAGATAGTGCGGATGGACCGAACAGCTGGCTGTGTGACGGGTGGAGAGGAGATCTACCTGCTCTGTGACAAGGTTCAGAAAGGTACAGTAGTTCCTTTTTCACACTCCAGAGCTGAGTCAAACTTGAGCCGAGCTGTACTCCGCCGGCCTGGTTACGCATCCACCATAGTTGCTGGAACTGTGCTGGAAAGGAAAATATCAGAGCCGGTACAGTTTGGCTCTTAAAATCAACACGGTACATGTCTCTCTGTGACATCATCATTCATCACACTACTACTCATGAAGGAAGTCCTCCAGCCTGCTTTTCCAACCTCAGGGAATTCCCCATCTGTTATGCAAGTGTAGGAGGAGGAAGAGTTATAGTGGCGTATTGTGTTCTCGCAACCTTTTTTTGTTTGTTGCTGCATTGGCCTGTTGGCAGTACGTCAACAACCCTGGAATGAAAGATCCTCTCTTGGGACAGAAGTTCAAGTCTCTGTTGGGCTCTGCTGTTTGACTTCCAAACAAAGGGCCTCATCTCCAGTCTACAGTATTTCTACCTCACTGTGTATCATTCTTAGGAGACTCAATCAGTGATATCCTATTCCTGTCCTACAGGCTTTTCTTTCAGCCCAGCACTAAAACACTTAATTCAAACAATCCATACTGAAGAAGACAATGTTCAATGATTCTTTGAAATAGGTGTGTTAGTGTTGGGTTGGAACATATGCCTGCATACACAGTAGCTTTCCTAAGACCGGAGTTTCCTTGTCGAGGAAATATACAGTGCAGTCAAAACATTTCTCTTGGATATTCAAATACTTCTGTCTGGAGTTGTGGGGCACCATTTCCTTGTTACCTTGGAAAGATGTTGACATTTACTTGTGGTTCCATGACAGATGACACATGAAAGATATTCAGTAACACTTGAAGGCTTTATTCACAAACTTGTTGGTTTGGATGATAAATAAGTATTTTTTCTAGTGTACTTGTATTATCCTCCAATATCTTTCACAACACCAGTTTCTTACTTTACTCATAGTTTAGAAGTGGGGTTGTGACAGTGTACCTTTTCCCCTGTCGTGACAGATGACATTCAGGTGCGCTTCTATGAGGATGACGAGACAGGGCTGACATGGGAGGCCTTTGGGGACTTTTCCCCCACTGATGTCCACCGACAGGTCAGTGACACACAAATGTTACATTTCCTCCCCTGTAACAGTACTATAACCTAACCTTGAGTAACATCTCCACCCCCTTCCCCCTCCACAGTTTGCCATTGTTTTCAAGACCCCCAAATACAGAGACCTGAACCTCCAGAAGCCCACCTCAGTGTTTGTGCAGCTGAAGCGTAAATCGGACAACGAGACGAGCGAGCCCAAGCCCTTCACCTACCACCCGCAGATCATAGGTGAGCTGTTCTGAAACATCCCCAGACCTGGTCCTGGAGACCCCTTGTGCATGCTGGCCTCCATCCCAACCCACTGTAGTTTGTGCCATTCTTAGGGCACAGAGTTCAAATTGAAAATAACCCATTATTCTGTAATCTGTCAAGTCAATCCGCTCATCTTGCCCCTGGTCTTCATCCTCAGATAAGGAAGAGGTGCAGAGGAAGAGACAGAAGACCCTGCCTAACTTCCAGGACTACAGCGGCCAAGGTGGAGCAGGGGGCCTGTACCGGGGACCAGGGGGAGGAGGCTCCTCTGCTGGGGGAGGACCCGGCTCCGGGGGAGGAGGTACACCAAACATGTTTCTTATTAGTCATACATTTTTACATAACAGAATAAATGTAATGAAATGTGATTTAAGGTGAACGAGACAAGCCATGTAAACTTCAAATGGGTAGTGTCTAACCAAAGTCCAAAACACAAGATGAAGTACCATTTCAAAAGCTTTATTGTCTATTTAGGCTAAAATAACAACTTTTGATTATATTTTAGGTTTCTTCCAGGGCTATTCCAGCTACAATAACTACGGCACCGGCTATAGCGCTGGCTTTTCCCCTGGCATGAGTGGTGGCGGGGCGGTCATTAAACATGGTGAGTGTGTTTCTGTCTGTTTTCCAGGGTTTAGAGATCAATTCTGTTTGAGTTCAGGATAGGAATGACGCTCAACCCATGTTCCCTCTCGACACAGCTCCACAGGGCAGAGCGGAGGACAGTGGTGATGACAGCGACATGGATGATGACCTGGCCTCAGGGGCAGTGGTGGGCGTCCGAGCCAAGTCAGAGGATGCCTCTGCTGGGGAGACGAGTGAGGAGAGAGGGGGCGGTGTGGAACTAGGACCAGGGGACAGGACTGGAGGTGAGGTCAACAGAGACATTTGTAAAGTGATTACCCAGAGTGAGTCAGACTACTGTAGGATGTCAGTGTGTGTGCTGGAGGCCAGGGTGTTGTGTATCCAGTTAATGACAATGTTTTTATATTTGTGTAAAGAGTGTGTGCTGGAGGCCAGGCTGGTGGATGTTGCTGAGAGGCAGGCTGAAGCCCTCTTCCAGTACGCCGTCACTGGAGATGTCCGCTACCTGCTGGCTCCACAGCGCCAGCTCATGACGGCTCAGGACGAGAACGGTGACACGTACGTCCCCTCTCCTACCACCCAACCTATCACTTCAGACCTAATTCTAACGTAAACATAACTGTCACTACATTTTTCTAACTTTTCTAACTGCATTGATTTGGCCTCCGTTTTGTGTCCATCTGCATTGAGTTTTGCATTGATGCCAATGGGATATATAACCATGATATGTGGCATAGTTTCTCCAGTAGCACATGCCAATCTGTGCATGTCCTCTGTTTCTCCAGTGGTCTCCATCTGGGAGTGATCCACAGCCAGACAGACGCAGTCAGGAATCTAGCTCAGGTCCTCTCTGTCCTGCCTGGAGAGGAGGTCCTCAACATGAGGAACAACCTCTACCAGGTAACACACACACACACACACACACACACACACTGACGAGCCTGGTATTTCTGTGGTAACCTGAGGCAGTAAAATCAGAACCCCATATTTGTCCCTCTATCCCAGACTCCTTTACACCTAGCGGTGATAACCCAGCAGAAGGCGGTGGCTGAGGCCCTCCTATTGGCTGGGGCTGATGTCACTCTGTCTGATCGCCACGGAAACACAGCTCTTCACCTGGCCGCCCAGCAGAAGGAGGGAGGGATGGTGGGATTTCTACTGCGACACAGAGAGGTAGTGGAACTGGTGGACCTCCCCAACGCAGCAGGTACAACACACAGAAACACACACACACACACACAGTACAACGTGAAGCGTCCACTAGAGTATGACAGTGCTTTTATCCTCCAGGACTGTGCTCCCTCCACCTGGCAGTGCTGGCCAACAGCCTGTGTTCCCTCAGGGACCTCCTGGTGAGCGGTGGCAGTGTGGAGGTCCAGGAGAGGAGCTGCGGCCGCACAGCGCTCCATCTGGCCACTGAGCTGGACAACGTCTCCCTGGCAGGCTGCCTGCTACTGGAGGTACGTACCGTAGAAGCCTTGCCTACCTCCATACCTACCACCCTGCATCTTTCTACTGGCTGGCATCTTGAGACTAAGCAGAGTTGGGCCTGGTCAATACCTGGATGGGAGACTAGCACAACCCAAGTAGCCCTTTCCTTGTGAGGGTCGATGGTCGTGTGCGTAAGACGGGTGTGTTGACAGTGTTCTCTTCCTCCCTAGGGGAATGCTGATGTGGACTGCTGCACCTACAACGGTTCCAGCCCTCTCCATATAGCCACAGGGCGGGGCTCTGTCAAGCTGACCGCTCTCCTCATGGCTGCAGGTGTGACTACGTTTCTTCAAACTGTCACCTTTGTGCAAATGTCTCAATTTGATGACTTTGTCTTGATGTTTGCTCTGGAACTGCCCCTTTTATAATATTGTCCAAGCTCAAAGACAGAAATGACTTTATACATCTTTTCATGTCTAGGTGCCGATCCTCACAAAGAAAACTTTGAGCCCCTGTTCTTCAGAGAGGATGACTGCTGTGTGGATGAGGAAGAGGAGGAGCAGGACGAAGGCTACATCCCAGGGACAACTCCTCTCAACATGGCTGCCACTCCTGAGGTGGGTCCCGCGTGCACACACTTTGATGTTTTTGTCATTAAGCTCCATGTTCTACTATCTGACTAATATTGCTACAATCCTTTCTCACACCTTTTAATTTTTACTATGAAAGTCATTTTATGACTGTACGAAACTACTGGTGTGAATTCAAGAGTTGAAAGCATTTTTGAGAATTGACTTTTGATCAACTGGAATGTTCGCTAAATATTCTCCCTCTTCCTTGTACTTCTAGGTGTTGGAAATTCTGAATGGAAAAGAGTACAAGCCAGAGACCAACGCCTCAATCTTCGTCCCCCCTCAAGGTTGGCTCATGCACTTCAGTGTTAACGAACCCCTTCATTGTAATCTCTACAGCTTAAGCCATAGGGTTCCCCTGCTGTCTCATCTTGGTTCTTGTCCACTGTGGAGTACAATGGTGTCATATTTCTGTAGGTGACATGCAGAGCCTGGGCTCAGACACAAAGCGGGCACTATGCCAGGCCCTGGAGTGCCCGGAGAGGGGCTGGGAGAGCCTGGCACACACGCTGGGGCTGGGCATCCTCAACAGCGCCTTCAGACTCAGCCCCTCCCCTGCCAGCACACTGCTGGACAGCTACGAGGTACACGCACACACACACACACACACACACACACACACACACACACACACTATCCCAACCTAAGGCAAAGACATGAGGGGGAAATATAGGGCTCGTGAGTCACACAGACATTGTAAGATTGAAATTTCACTTTCATAGTCTCTCGTCTTTCTTGGTCAGATTTCTCCCACCTTAAATTAAAATCAGAACAGAAAGTGAATGAATATGTTCTCATTGAAACTTGGGGACTTTTTTTCAACACTTCCATTGAATTTTGACTCAATTGTTGAATGATGCTGTGCGTCAGGGCCCCCACTGACCCAGAGGACTGGGTGATCTCGCTCTCCGAGGCTGACGTGAGTAAGGTCTTAAACACTCTTATGACCGCGAGGCCGGACGGTATTCCAGGACGCGTTCTCAGAGCATGCGCATAACAGCTGGCAGGCATATTCACGGTCATTTTCAACCTCTCCTTGACCCAGCCTGTAATCCCCACAAGTCTCAGGAAACCACCATCATTCCAGAACTCTAAAAGGCTACATGCCACAATGACTACCACCCAGTAGCACTCACATCTGTAATCATGAAGTGCTTTGAAAGGCTGGTCATGGCTCACATCAACCCCATCATCCCAGACACCCTGGACCCACTCCAATTTGCATACCGCCCCAACTGATCCATAGACAACGCAATCTCAATTACACTCCACACTGCCCTCACCCACCTAAGTAAGAGGAATACCTATGTGGGAATGCTTTTCATACACTACAGTTCAGCATTCAACACCATAGTCCCCTCCAAGCTCAGAACCCTGGGACTGAGCACCTTCCTCTGCAACTGGATTCTGGACTTCCTGACGGGTGGTGAGGGTAGGCAACATCACCTCCACCACGCTGACCCTCAACACGGGGGGTGTGCTTAGTCCCCTCCTGTACTCCCTGTTCACCCACGACTCCAACTCCATCATCAAGTTTGCTGATGACACGATGGTGGTAGGTCTGATCACCGGCGGCGATGAGATAGCCTACAGGGAGGAGGTCAGTGATCTGTGGTGCCGGGACAACAACCTCTTCCTCAACGTCAGTAAGACCAAGGAGCTGATCGTGGACTACAGGAAATGGCGGGCGAGCATGCCCCCATCCACATCGACGAGGCTGCAGTGGAGCGGGTCGAGAGCTTCAAGTTCCTCTGTGTCCAAATCACTAAGGACTTAAAATAGTCCACTCACACGCGCACAGTCATGAAGAAGGCGCCTCTTCCCCCTCAGGAGGTTGAAAAGATTTGGCATGGGCCCTCAAATCCTTGACTGGCTGCATCACTGCTTGGTATGGCAACTACACCGCCCTTAATCGCGTGGCACTACAGAGGGTGGTGCTGACAGCCCAGTACATCACTGGGGCCGAGCTCCCTGCCGTACAGGACCTCGATATCAGGCAGTGTGAAAGGAAGGCCCAGAAAATCTTTAGAATCCAGCCACCCAAGCCATACTGTTCTCTCTGCTTCTGCACAGCAAGAGGTAACGGTGCATCAAGTCTGACACCAACAGGCTCCTGAACAGCTTCTATCCCCAAGCCATAAGACTGCTAAATAGCTAACAAAGTGGCAACATGGACTATCTGAGTTGACTCTTGTATTTAATTTACATTTTTGCACTGTCTTTATGCACACTCACAGGACTCTACACACTCAGGCACACTGACACTTCAACACACTCACTCACTCACTTAATTTGCTCACACACACAACACGTACACACATTTTTACTGACTCTACACACACTCGAAGTCATCATTTACGCTGCTGTTACTCTGTTTATCATATATCCTGATGCCTAGTCACCTTACCCCTATACATATCTATCTATATATATGTATTTTCTTGGTATTGGAACTGACCCTGTATATACAGTGGGGGAAAAAAGTATTTAGTCAGCCACCAATTGTGCAAGTTCTCCCACTTAAAAAGATGAGAGAGGCCTGTAATTTTCATCATAGGTACACGTCAACTATGACAGACAAATTGAGGGAAAAAAAATCCAGAAAATCACATTGTAGGATTTTTAATGAATTTATTTGCAAATTATGGTGGAAAATAAGTATTTGGTCACCTACAAACAAGCAAGATTTCTGGCTCTCACAGACCTGTAACTTCTTCTTTAAGAGGCTCCTCTGTCCTCCACTCGCTACCTGTATTAATGGCACCTGTTTGAACTTGTTATCAGTATAAAAGACACCTGTCCACAATCTCAAACAGTCACACTCCAAACTCCACTATGGCCAAGACCAAAGAGCTGTCAAAGGACACCAGAAACACAATTGTATACCTGCACCAGGCTGGGAAGACTGAATCTGCAATAGGTAAGCAGCTTGGTTTGAAGAAATCAACTGTGGGAGCAATTATTAGGAAATGGAAGACATACAATGAATGGGGCCATGTATCGTGAGATTTTGAGTGAAAACCTCCTACCATCAGCAAGGGCATTGAAGATGAAACGTGGCTGGGTCTTTCAGCATGACAATGATCCCAAACACACCGCCCGGGCAACAAAGGAGTGGCTTCGTAAGAAGCATTTCAAGGTCCTGGAGTGGCCTAGCCAGTCTCCAGATCTCAACCCCATAGAAAATCGTTGGAGGGAGTTGAAAGTCTGTGTTGCCCAGCGACAGACCCAAAACATCACTGCTCTAGAGGAGATCTGCATGAAGGAATGGGCCAAAATACCAGCAACAGTGTGTGAAAACCTTGTGAAGACTTACAGAAAACGTTTGACCTGTGTCATTGCCAACAAAGGGTATATAACAAAGTATTGAGAAACTTTTGTTATTGACCAAATACTTATTTTCCACCATAATTTGCAAATAAATTCATTAAAAATCCCACTATGTGATTTTCTGGATTTCTTTTCTCATTTTGTCTGTCATAGTTGACGTGTACCTATGATGAAAATTACAGGCCTCTCTCATCTTTTTAAGTGGGAGAACTTGCACAATTGGTGGCTGACTAAATACTTTTTTCCCCACTGTAGCTTACTTTACTTTCTCTTGGTCTTATTTCTTATCTATTTCTCGTTTGTTCTACTTGATTTTATAGTACTACTGATATTGATTACTGTATTGTTGGGATAAGCACTTGCAAGAAAGGCATTTCACTGTACTTGTGCACGTGACAACTTGATAAGTAACACTTCTATGCCACCGTCTGTAGGTGTCTGGAGGAATGGTCAAGGGCCTTTTGGAGGGACTCAGGACTGTGGGAAACTGTGCCGCTTTGACAGTACTGCAGGGGGCACTGTGTGAAACAGAACAGGCTCCCCAAAGCACCACAGAGCTCTTAGGTAAGCTCAAAAACAACTCAGCCAGTATACCTTATGTGATTTCAATAGAATAATCTGGGATAAGAAGTCCCCTGCTCTTAACCCCTCCCCCTTTATCTCTCGCTCTCTCTCTCTCTTTGTGTTGCAGGGTGTCTCTCAGAACGTGTGTGGGATCTGAAGCTGGAAGGATGGGAGGACAGTGGAGTTTGTGACAGTGGGGTGGAGCTCTCCACAGCGTGACAGACAGATTGGTCCATTACATATCCTGGCCCTGCCTATGTCAGGATTTCATGAAGCTTCTGCCTCCTATAAGCAGGCGACAGACAATTTCTCTCTGAAAGGGACAAATCCTACAAGCACACCTCCTCACACATCATGCTAAATATCCTCACTTTTCTATTTGGCCCAGTAATGTTTTGAAAGTGATTTTTGTATACGTGAATATAATGTGCAGGTTATGTTTGAATAATGTTTGCATAATAATCTATTTGAATCTTGTTGTTTGTATAAACATCATGAATGGGTTTTATTCAGGGGAAAAGGTGTTTCCAAGGTAACAGCATGTAGTATAAATCCTTAAAAATAAGGGCAATCAAATAAGGCATTTCAATAATTTTTAATTTATGAAAAATAAATTGACCAAAATAATTATTAGATTCAAAATGATATGATCTGACATTTTCTCCCCACACTACAGTTAATTTAGTCATAGTCAAACATGCAGCCAATTCTAATAACACATTTGTAGTATGGCCCTCCGGACCTTGTCAAAGACCGTGTGGCCCCGGGGCAAATTTATTTCCAACACCCGATTTTATAGGGCAAGGACCCCATACGGAATGGATTTTAACTGTAAGCCGCTTTGGATAAATTATATTAAATTAAAATGTCCCCCATATACAGCAGTAGTATGCTGCCAAAAGGATAGCTCATTGTTATGAATCACCCACTCATAAAAAGTGATTACGTAGCTATGTAAATATCACATGGATATGCTAAACATGGATAGATTGGTGACTGTACAATGGTTTGTTTTGGAACCAAGCAACCACTAACACCCCCCTCCTGCAATGTTTTTGTATTGTGTACATCAAATTACATTTACTATGGAAGTGGTGCTACCAGTCATTTTTAGGTATGATGGATTATTGCAATAATCATGAAGCATACTGTCTCCTCCACTATGCACATCTGTTAAGAGCACAATCCTCATCCTGGACTACAGTACAGAAACCACTTTTGGATAGCCTTTAGTTCATTCCTGTGTAGACAAGTGGGGCGGCAGGTAGCTTAGTGGTTCAGAGCGTTGTGCCAGTAACCGAAAGGTCGCTGGTTCTAATCCCAGAGCCGACTGGGTGAAAAATCTGTCAATGTGCCCTTGAGCAAGGCACTTAACCCTAATTGCTCCTGTAAGTCGCTCTGGATAAGAGCATCTGCTAAATGACTAAAACAAAACAAGCTTTCATCTTACCAGACAAACTGATGTTTTCTCCATTGATGGCTGTGTGTTGAGTTGGGGGGTAAACTGATTTTTGGAAGCCATTTGTTTCTAGTTTTGTGTAATTTTTAGGTGTAATAATGTTATGATCACATTCATAATCAGGTTATCGAGTTCTGCTTCAAGACAGTGGTGAAGATGTTGGAGATAAATGGTGCATTATTTTCTTGTGTTCTTTAGTTTCTTCCCCATTTTGTAATGAAGTATTCAGCGTCCCCATTGATATTTCATGTTATCAACAGCAGATGAATTGAAAGACATTTGTTTCATTCAAACTGTTCCAACATCTTCCTGACAACACTGGCATTTTTAGAGATTAGAATTTGTATCTGTCCCAAGCCAAACGTTTGATAGGCACTGCATCACCTTGTGTGGGGCTTCAATATTTATACCTGTACCATGTGAAACAGCTTTGTACAGTCAAAAATGTTTGCTTTTTAATAAAATTGTTAATTGTGTGCGATTTATTTTCCACATATTTTAGTAGCTACATATCAAATTGTATGTGTCACCGTGTTTAGCAGATGTTATAGCGGGTGTAGCGAAATGCTTGTGCTTCTAGCTCCGACAGTGCAGTAATATCTAACAATTTCACAACATCTACCCAATACACATAAAAAAGTCAGGAATGGGATTTAAGAATATATACATATGGACAAGCAATGACAGAGCGGCATGGACTAAAATACAGAAGTATATTATAGAATAGAATGCAGTATATATATATGAGATGAGTAGTGCAAGATATGTAAACATTAAAGTGACTAGTGTTCCATTTTTTAAAGTGGCCTGTGATTTCAATAGGCAGCAGCAGCCTCTAATGTGCTAGTGATGGCTATTTAACAGTCTGATGGCCTTGAGATAAAAGCTGTTTTTCATTCTCGGTCCCAGCTTTGAAGCACCTGTACTGACCTCGCCTTCTGGATGATAGCGGGGTGAACAGGCAGTGGCTCGGGTGGTTGATGTCCTTGATGATCTTTTTGGCCTTCCTGTGACATCGGGTGCTGTATGTGTCTTGGAGGGCGGGTAGTTTTCCCCCGGTAATGCGTTCGGCAGACCGCACCACCCTATGGAGAGCCCTGCGGTTACGGGCGGTGCAGTTGCCGTACCAGGCGGCGATACAGCCCGACAGGATGCTCTCAATTGTGCATCTGTAAAAGTTTGTGAGGGTTTTAGGTGATAAGCCACATTTCTTCAGCCTCCTCAGGTTGAAGAGGCTCTGTTGCGCCTTCTTCACCACACTGTCTGAGTGGGTGGACGCCAAGGAACTTGAAGCTTTTTCTCCACTGCGGTCCCGTCGATGAGGATAGGGGGGGTGCACCCTCTACTGTTTCCTGAAGTCCACGATCATCTCCTTTGTTTTGTTGATGTTGAGTGAGAGGTTATTTTCCTGGCACCACACTCCCAGAGCCCTCACCTCCCCTGTAGGCGGTCTCGTCATTGTTGGGTGAGGTCAATGTAATGTAGCTAAGGACACGGAGGGGGGGGTCTATAAATAACCCCACAGTTGAGGGGTTCTCAGGGGCATATCGTTTGCTACTTGTAATGCGACCAACAGCCCCAATGCATCTCCATGTTCATATTTTAAAGTCCTGCTACAAAAAACTGAATACCAGAGAGTTTTGTTCAACTTTATTGAGAAAAAAAAAGTAACCATTAAATAGCAGAGCTATTAGTTGATCGATCAGCCATTGAGAACTTTGAATAACATATTCAGTGCAAAAGAGAAGTGTTTTGGATGATGGATTAACTAATGGCTCCCCGTTATAAAAACAAGAAAAAGTAACAAAAAAGATCAAAGTGAACACGTTTGCTCTCAATCCATTCTCAGCATCACATAAACCAATTATTTATCTTATTAACATGCATAAAATATGTTTCTTATTTACTGCAGATATCTTCAGCAATTCTCCATTCAAACAATTAAAGTTAAGATTCACTCATTTTGAATGTTATAACGTTTTTGTGCATCTCTGAGCGATGTTCTATCGATTCCCGTGGTTATTCCATGTGTATCTGAGCGATTGCCGTTCAAGCAGACAGAAATACAGCCGGTATGACAAGTTTTGCACCGGCTGTATTTCTGCCTGCTTGAACTGTAATAGCTCAGAAAAACATTAAATGACCCGGGAATCGATAGAACATCGCTCAGAGATGCACAAATACGATACAACATTCAAAATGGGTGAACCTTTCCTTTAAGAGAAAGTGTATAGTGTATTACATTCACAGACATCAGTTCTCTAATGCTATTGGAAAAGCGTACAAAAGTGTGATTGAACCATGTTGATTCTCTCAATACAGAAATGGTGGCATTTGGAGAATCTTTATTCTTTTTAGTTGGCACCTCCTGCGTGAATTCAGAGCAACGAAGAGCTCTTCACAAAGTGGCTGTGGTTGGCTTTATACAGACATACATGCTTCACTGAGAGTTCAGAGCAATTGGCATCTTTTGTAAAGAAAACAAAAAGGGGGGCCTTGGAGACATTTGTCCTTGTTAAGAGCATGTGAATACATTTAGGGGGCAAAACAAATAATACATTACTGTTATTTGCTGATGGTAAGGGGTTGTGGCCAAATGGGCAAAAAAAAAGAACAGTAATTTAAAGTTTATTCCAGCTATAATGAAAGTTGATACGACCATGACCGACTATCACATGGCGTACTTCTGAGTCCATTCCCGGGCTATTCTGTTGTACCTGTGGAAAACAGAAAATAAATCAATCCACAATAGACAAAGGGTGGAGCTTCAAGAACAACACCATGCCTTACAACACAGCAACCACCCAAGATAAACCTGAGATGCATGATGTTCACACACAGAGGACTCTCACATAGTCCCACCAAAATGGCATACAAATACTGTCAATAAACAGTCCAAGACAGACAATTAGACAGTGGGAATACAGGTCAGAGCCAAGCCACCATCCACCAAGGCAAATGTATTTAGTGGCAAAATATGTCAGCCTCATTGAGTTAGTTGAAGTGCTGTCAATAGCATAAATGTCAGAACCCACAACAATGTCCTCTCTCTCGACGATGCAGGGCAGTCTTACCCTAAAGCATAGCGTACTTTTCTGTCCATTCTCTCGCTAGTCTATTATACCTGATGCAGAAGGAAAAGTCCTATATTATAAGTATCTAGATCTAACATTATAGGGTATAACTCACTCGGCACCGATCTTGTTCACGCCTTCGGATCAAAAAGTTATATTTTTCACAAATGATTAGAATACAGTATACTAACTTTTCCGTATCTGTTTTGTAGATACGGGCGATCTCTGGCACTAACGGGTCGTCAGGGTTGGGGTCACATAAGAGTGAACAAATGGACAAAAGTACTGAAAGGGAGATTAAAAAGAAGGATTAGGAGTGGATCTTAGGCATGTGAATCGAAATGAAGTCATGGTAAAAATGCGTAACACAAAGGGCACAAAGAATGAAAAACAACACCCTACCTTTAGAGATAGTTAATGCTGGAGACCACTGTGATCTCAAAATATCCAGACAGATGCTGCCGTTACTGTTAATATTTGGGTGATAAATTCTTGTGGTGAATGCAAGCTGCAATGAAAAGGTTGGAGGAGCAATCAAACACATTGATCCACAGAAACCTCATTCCTCAATCTTCTACATACATCAAGAAAACGATTAATTATAAAACATAGGAACAAGAGCGGAAATAATTACCTTAGGTGGTTTGAAGGGGTAGTCTGTAGGGAAATGAATAGTCAGGAAAAAAACACCTCCTTGGTATGGGCTGTCATTCTGAAAAGGAAACAAAATTAAATCTCAATGGTCACACTGAGCAGCCAAAGCGAATGCAACTTCAAATTCATCAACGAGGAAACACTTTATAAATGATACTCACAGGCCCCATAATTGTAGCTTGCCAATGAAACACTGCCAAAACAGAAAGGGAGACAGTTGAGGAATGTTTCAGATGCCATGCTGTTGATAATTTATTTTTTGCACTTGAGATTATTCTGTATAATGAAAAGCGCTTTACACATTTTATAAATTATGTTAGGCCTAATACAAGTGCTCAGTTTGGCCTTACTGTCGTCTCCAACCGGGCCGGCAGAACACTGTGCAGGAGGGTCCCTGCCCAGGTCGTTCAGCTCCTGAAACAGAGGGACCAAACCAGGACATCATCACTCCCACTGTTCCCCTACCAAGTACCAACATTGTTAACTCATCATTGCTACTCATCACCTCACAGTCGTACTTGGAAGAGCATTTACTTTGTATTTACATTGCTGGCATTGCAAAGAGCAAGGTGCACTGCACAGGAAGTACTTTTAAAGTTGAATTAAAGACCGATGAAAAGAGGAATCAATTTTATAATGACTGTAGCTCAATGATTAGCCTAGTCTTGGCCATAATGAAAGTGGGCAGTGACTTAACAGTTTATTGTATTGCAGTGATTGAGCATTTGGTATCTTGCAGAGCCCTGTCAGAGCAAGCACTTCAGGACAACAGATCAGGTAAGAACTTCTTGGGCCAATAGTAATACTGTCTATATTGCATGTGGGTTCGAGTGGGAGTGACATGAGGATGAGACAATGTTAAGTCATCGAATTTATCAGTAAAATAGGTGCAAGCCTTGAGCAGGCAGGAAGCTGTTGGCTGTGTTGCCGTCAGGCGAAGGTGGTGGATGTGCAAAGCTGAGGTAGAGTACAGACATACACAGCCGTCACTCAACCTGTAACAGCCTTCGTTGACATTGGCTTAGGCTTCCTCTCCCATGGACAACTAACAGGTTAGAAAGGTCAACATTTTACCATTATATAAAAACAGACCTGCTATACCTCAGCAATAAACATAGGCCGGCATAGACTGAGTGATGCGTACGTGAGTCGAGGAAAATAATTAGCCTAGAGTGTAGCGATATCCCTGACAAATGGTGGCAATGTCTCAAACACCCAAATCAGAGTGTGGATTGGCCTGACCAGTGCTCTACTGTAGGAGCCCAAAGGGGAGGGAAAGACGACAGCAGCACTGTTGACGGTAGCTAGGTTTCCATAATATTTGCTATAGTATTTCATGCAAAAATGATAAAATATGCATGTAAAAAAAAAAGTGCATTTCCCAACCAGAGGTGTTTCCATCAGACTGACTTTGTTGCGGATAAAATGCAGCGCGTGATGACATAGCGCACATAAAACACTTTTGTGCTTAAGTTGTGTACAAAAAATTATTATAATAATAACAACACACTAGTTTGTTCCAACTTCAACTGTATGTGTAACTGATAGATGCACACACACACTACATGTGTTAATGTTTTTAAATGTATGTAAATTGTAAAGTATTTTGTCTGTAATGTCTTCTTTGTTATATGTCGGACTCCATATGGAGAGATTGAAAATGTCCATAAACACTCCAGCCAGCTGGTTTGCACATGCTCCAAGGACACGGCTTGGGATAAAATTAAGACCCTCAATATTTATTGGAAAGGAGCATCAAGCTCATCACTGTCCACTTTCACCACCCTGTAGGTTAAAAAGTGCATGATTTTCAAGTTGCAGTGGGAGGACCACACAACATAGCATCGTGTGACTGTAAATTTACATCAACATGATGGTTATTCTATCAACAATTGTGCAAGAAGTTGTTTCCGACGCAATTAGTGGCATAATTATTTTTACAGACATAAAGATCCCACCATGTCGAACTAACAAAATTGGCGACATTTATAAAAATGTACCAACACTTCCTGGTTCGTGATATTTTTATTTATTTACGGAATAACTTGACTATAATAAAAACAGTGGATGGAAACATTGTTAGTGTGTCTTTCTGCACTCAATAACTTCTCTGCTCTCATGAAATTAGATTTTTTTTTGGATAAGAAGCAAATTATGCATCATGATAAACCAGAGTTTACATGCATCGTCCTGCATGTTTAGGCCTACATTCTGTTGCTGGTTTAATAAACGTATGTTCAATTCAGTTCAATTGTGTCAGTAAGTTTACAACGGCAACATCCAATTCGAATAGGTTGGTTATTAGGCTATACATTATTTGTACAGTAACATCCAATGTTTCCCCTTTATTTTTCAGGCAGGCCTCAAAGGGCTTTGAAGCAACATCCATGGTTAACAACAATTTATTTTTAGGCACTGGGCCGGTCCCACTCAATGTGAGCAATAAGCTAGCTGGCAGCATAGGCCTACATTCGTTTACACCTAATCAAACTGAATGTTTGTAAGCTAGGCATAACGTAAAAACAACACTGACGCCCAATGTTTTCATGTTTCAAGGGTACAGGCTCTGGTTTAACCTCTACTACAGCAATGTAATGTTGGTGACTTCATCCATAGTGTTTTAGTTTGAATGTTTGCCAATTACAATCGAATAGGCATACTTTTAGATTAATGCCATGGCCCTGTAACATTAAAAGCCGAGTAGCTAATAGGGCGTGCTTTTAACGAGTAACTACATTCTCTTGCATTTTTATCTTGACTTCTGCGTCATAGTCAAGTGTCAGTGCATGCATGACACTGCTCTAAACCAAGATTAGGAGAGGTGTTGAATGTAGAACTTGGTTTGGGGACGCAAGAATTCCAGACTATTATAGTTTAGTAATAATTACCACAGCAGCAATGTATATTTTTATGCCAGAGTTTCAGAATAGAGGCCAGAGAATATACCCAAACGAGGATGGCACTCGACTTGGCCAGCTTGTATGACAAGTTTTATATTTCCAGCAAGGAACCCCAAACCGAAACTTGCCACGAGCTTATCCTCCATCTCATCAGGTTTCACCATGACTTGTTAGTTAATTAGTTAACTAGCACCAGACCGTTTAGGGGATAACTTAACGTTACTAGTTAACAACATTGACACCGACTAAGCTAACGTTATACGACTCATATAACTTGGATTCTGAGCTAAGGTTACTGCTAACTAGATTCTGAACTAATATTTAGGTCACATTCACTTTAAATTGGCTAAAACTAGCTAACGTTAGCTTAGCTACTTAAATAGCTAAGCTACTAGGCCATGCTACTGCTAGCCAAGCTGGCTAACAACCAAATAAGCACGCTTGTTATAGCTATTTGGCAACTGCTCAATGTACGACGTTAGCTAGCTGACTAAAACGACAAATATAAATGTTACTACATTACCTGTAATATATCTAACTTATTAAGCAGTGTATACGGCAAAGTCTCAAACAACAATCCATTTACCTTGTGAATTCGTTTTAAGGCCATTCTGCTAGTGCGTAGGGACCGGTTGTCGAAGAAGAGGGAGAGCGCAGGCTTGCTGGCGTATCTTTGGCTTAGCTACGTTGCTAACTAGCATATAGCAATTAGCTGTCGTGTACGGCTAACTACCTAGTTACATAAACTGACAATATTACTTTTATAGTTGATAAACGGGTATCAATATAGATATACTGGTCTTTTCTTTGGTCGACAGCCTTTGGCCGCTTTGACTGCACTGATATTATAACGTTGCCGTTACAAACTTCACCAGCCGATACGTTAGCTCGGCTCGTTCTTCTGGTCACGACTGTGAAGTCAGCAATATTAGCGATGAGTTGAATCAGTGGTTTGCCTTCATAATAAAAGTCCCGCACTGAAACTGATGCAAACGGATACAAATAGTCGAATCATGCCACAATTGGACTTAACCCAAACAAAACATCACAGAAAGTAGTGTATATTATACAGAAGTCAAATAATAAACTATGCAGTGGTGTTATTTGTGTGCATACAAATATAATACATTGCTAAAACATTATCCAGGCTCTGTCGTAGCCGGCCGCGACCGGGAGACCCATGGGGCGGCGCAGAATTGGCCCAGCGTCGTCCAGGGTAGGGGAGGGAATGGCCGGCAGGGATGTAGCTCAGTTGGTAGAGCATGGCGTTTGCAACGCCAGGGTTGTGGGTTCAATTCCCACAGGGGGCCAGTATGAAAAATAAAAAAATAATGTATGCACTCACTAACTGTAAGTCGCTCTGGATAAGAGCGTCTGCTAAATGACTAAAATGTAAATGTAATATTATATACTTTAAACATAAATCATACCTTCAAAAAAGTCACATGCTGGTATAGTTGCCACAATGCCTACTTTCAGTTGTCATCACAGAAAATATTAAATGAAAGCAGTATTCATGATAAGAAATGTTATACTGTACAGGCGATGCTGCACTACAGTTAAATGCAAATAAATTCCTCAAAATACACCACCGTTTTCCCACATCCTCGCTCAATGACAATTGGTAGTTCGAAGAATGGAGCAGAGCATTTACACAGAAAGGCAACAGGACAAAAGATGCCATAGAATTGGGCACACAGAGCAACAGTCAGAGGGGTAGTGTTCAATTATATTCTGCTGATGTAAAAAGGGCTTTATAAACTGGGTGGTTCGAGCCCTGAATGCTGATTGGCTGACAGCCGTGGTATATCAGACCGTGAGAATGCTATTCATTGACTACAGCTCAGCATTCAACACCATAGTGCCCTCTAAGCTCATCACTAAGCTAAGGATCCTGGGACTAAACACCTCCCTCTGCAACTGGATCCTGGACTTCCTGACGGGCCGCCCCCAGGTGGTAAGGGTAGGTAACAACACATCTGCCACACTGATCCTCAACACGGGGGCCCCTCAGAGGTGCGTGCTCAGTCCCCTCCTGTACTCTCTGTTCACCCATGACTGCATGGCCAGGCACGACTCCCAACACCATCATTAAGTTTGCCGACGACACAACAGTGGTAGGCCTGATCACCGACAACGATGAGACAGCCTATAGGGAGGAGGTCAGAGACCTGGCCGTGTGGTGCCAGGACAACAACCTCTCCCTCAACGTGACCAAGACAAAGGAGATGATTGTGGACTACAGGAAAAAAAAGAGGACTGAGCATGCCCCCATTCTCATCGACGGGGCTGTAGTGGAACAGGTTGAGAGCTTCAAGTTCCTTGGTGTCCACATCACCAACAAACTATCATGGTCCAAACACACCAAGACAGTCGTGAAGAGGGCACGACAAAGCCTATTCCCCCTTAGGAGACTGAAAAGATTTGGCATGGGTCCTCAGATCCTCAAAAAATTCTACAGCTGCACCATCGAGAGCATCCTGACTGGTTGCATCACCGCCTGGTATGGCAACTGCTTGGCCTCCGACCGCAAGGCACTACAGAGGGTAGTGCGTACGGCCCAGTACATCACTGGGGCCAAGCTTCCTGCCATCCAGGACCTCTATACCAGGCGGTGTCAGAGGAAGGCCCTCAAAATTGTCAAAGACTCCAGCCACCCTAGTCATAGACTGTTCTCTCTGCTACCGCACGGCAAGCAGTACCGGAGTGCCAAGTCTAGGAGAGCCTCTAAAATGATCAGTTGGAGACAAACTTTGCCACCGCTGCTGAAAGAAATCCTAGGGGAAACACTGCACTATTATACTGGTATAATAAAGCTGCTATAGGCTACTCACCCATTCAGACATATGAAATACCCAGCAAAAGAACCAACAGCAACAGGGGACACAAGTAAAACAACAAAGAAGTAAGTCACATGACCATAACTTTTCCTCTTAATGATGTCACACCATTCATTTTGAAGCAGATATAGACATATCTGCAGCACCCCCTGATTTTTATTATTATAAAGAAATGTATTAATTATTTTTTTTATTATTTTGTTGAAAAAAAGGCATGGGGCCTTTACTAGTCCTATATTAGTGGACCGATATACGATATAGCCGTCTGTAGCAAGGGCAAAATAAATAATTCAGCACTGCAGCACCCCCCCCCCCCCCCCCCAAAAAAACTACTTCAGGGGTATGGATATCAACATGTAAAGTGTTGGTCCCATGTTTCATGAGCTGAAATAAAAGATCCCAGAAATGTTCCATACGTACAAAAAGCTTATTTCTCTAAAATGTTGTGCACAAATTTAATTACATCCCTGTTAGTGAGCATTTCTCCTTTGTCAAGTGTGGCATATCAAGAAGCTGATTAAACAGCATGATAATTACACAGGTGCACCTTGTGGTGGGAACAATAAAAGGCCACTTTAAAATGTGCAGTTTTGTCACACAACATATTGCCACAGATGTCTCGAGTTTTGAGGGAGCTTGCAATTGGCACGCTGACTGCAGGAATGTCCACCAGAGCTGTTGCCAGATAATTTAATGTTAATTTCTCTACCATAAGCTGCCTCCAACGCCATTTTAGAGAATTTGGCAGTACAAACGAACCGGCTTCACAATCGCAGACCACGTGTAACCACGCCAGGCCAGGACCTCAACATCCGGCTTCTTCACCTGTGGGATCGTCTGAGGGGGGTGGGGGGGGGGTGCTGAGGAGTATTTCTGTCTGTAATAAAGCTCTTTTGTGGGGAAAAACTCATTCTGATTGGCTAGGTCTGGCTCCCCAGTGGGTGGGCCTGGCTGCCAAGTGGGTGGGCCTATGCCCTCCCAGGCCCACCCATGGCTGCACCCCTGCCCAGTCATGTGAAATCCATAGATTAGGGCCTAATTTATTTATTTCAATTGACTGATTCCCTTATATGAACTGCAACTCAGTAACATTTTTGAAATTGTTGCATGGTGCGTTTATATTTTTGCTCAGTATAGAATCTAGACGCTACTGCACCACTAGTAGCACCGGTTCAGTGCACAAAGAAACTTTCACAGTGAGCATCAGATTAGTTAGTCACACAAGTCATCTTCAGAATTCAGTTTTATACGGAAATACAGGGACCCAGAAAGTTGTCTAAAATTGCCTTTAGTGTGGGGGAAGCGTTTTGTAAATGGATAAACATACAGAGAGCCCTTTCTGGGTCGCTGTATTTCCGTCTTCCTGTTTAATGTAGGATATCAACTGGACAAGATATAGGACACATTCCCCTGCTCAGGTGTTGCATGCATCATCCAAATGGTCGG